TGCTATGACTTCACCAAAATGTGCGCTCCTTTGTGGCGGTTCCGCGAACGCATATCAGCATATCTCGTGTTCAGTGAAAGCAGGCGGATCTCGTGCTTAGAAAAAATGGGAAGTTTACTATGGGGAACGACAGACTGTGGGACCTGATCCGGTGATACAGAATTGACTCAGCTAGTATTTCAATTCACATTGAAACTGAATCAAGAAAAATGTATCATCGTCACTAGACCTGGAAAAGCTATGACAGTCCGTTACCGTTTGCTCGATACAGCTACTGGTAAGTTACCGCATATGATTTTTGGAATTTTTTCAAATGGGGAATGGTAGACTGCGGTATCTGATTTTGTAATACATAGGTGACTCGGCTGCTATAGGCTGATTTCAATATACTTTATATACAACGTTACAAAAGGCCTGATTGCAGTATCAGAGGAGCGGACATAGCGCCGCCCACATTGAGTATATATTCTATATAGATTAGCGTTTCCCAAACTTCTTTGGCCACGGAACACTTACACTTATTATCTCGCCTCGCGGAACAGCAAAAAAATGAACGGGTAAAATTGATAATGAAAAACGGTGTAATGTAGCGGTTTTCAATGGGTTCATCGTGGCGAGTTGCCAAATGCGCCGCGAAAACAAATTGTGTTGAACGTACTGAAAATTTGATTCAATATTTTACATATTTCATTTAATATGAATGTTTTATTGTTTCTCATTGTAAATGTTGTGTATATGAATCCACAAATTCATTTTACCGTTTTATATCGTTTACTTCCTATTACGTATTGGTTGCGTCTAATGTTACGTCTAATAGAGGTATATATATGTATATATAAGTACTTGCTGCAACTTCACGAGATGAAGTTTATTTATCTGCTGAATCGATTTTAGCGAACATTAGTAATTTTTTCAGCATTTCAAAGTAAAACCAGGCAGAGATGGCAGAAGAAGAGTTGACTATTTGCCTCTATTCTTTAGACCTACTTGTTTAGAATTGCTGCAAACTTGATAATGAACGTAACAGTCAAAAATCTAGTCCGATGGTTAATGAAAGTGCCACTACCCCACCTTAGTAAGTCCGCTTGAGGCCGACGGAGGTATTGAACGGTCAGTTGGGAGACAACTTCACGATCCCTAGATCGCCATGGCGACCCATGCAGGCGTATTTTTTATTTATTTTTCAAGAAGCACTCTTAAGAAGCTCGCGGAACACAGTTTGGGAAACGCTGATCTAGATGGTTTGAGAAATAAAAATAGCCTAGCGTTATAGCATTTATACAGCAAGTATACAGCAATAGCCTACCTCTAATAGTTCAGTAGAGAGGTCGAGTACATTTCAACGTCAATTTGTTAAGTTTTCAGTTATATCTCTAAGTTCACCTTCGTTTCCACACTAGTACACTATTCAAAACAAGAGAGCTATGCTCATCAATTCCATGGGACTCACAGAAATATTTGAAATAAATGAAAGTTATAGCCCTCTAGCGAAAAATTCAATTTCTAACTATGAAAATGCCAGAGCAATTGGTCCAGTAATTAAAGAGAAAGGCGATTTTTTCATAACGATAAAAAGAACAACATAATACCAAAACGATCTATAGGTCCAAGCCGTGTCCAAAAAGAACAATGAGCGCGCTAGATGCCTCAAACCTGATAAAAATTACGCCCACGGGTCCACAATACTACGTCATCAGCGGACCATACTAATTTGTGATCGATTTACGCAGGGATGACTTTTGAAAATTCGAGTCGCACAAACAAATTCCGCTTTATATAAGCGGTGAATGACAAAACTTATAAAAAAGTTTTGATTAACAAATTACATAGAATATAATTCACCACAAGGGTTTTTCGTGACATCCCATCTTCAAAGCTGCGCTTTTGACACCGACAGGGGACCATTTCTTGTTTTGTATGATATACGGGCCAATCATGGTTGGTTAAAGTGTGTTCATTGAAATTCCTATTCCCCCAATTCTAATCTACGTGAACCCTGCGATGTTAAAGCTTACTGCAGCAGTTTATACCCAATGTGGATATTCATGATGATGATTTTTATAGCTATACAAATAAGCATAAAGTCTGGTACATATCCGTTAGCATTATCACACAGATAATATATTTATAACGTTAAATCTATCTTTTGTACTATTGATAATAACATAATACTGAGCCTCTCGTCACCACCTTGTGCGAGAGCTCTTTTAATGCACGTCAGAACAATTCGCATATCCGCATTAAGGAGCTACAGACCTATTATAACATGGTTACAACAACTCGTATTTCAGCTCGAGTCATCAATATTCGTGACCGCATGTACACTGCGGGGGAAACGCGTACGTTTCATTCCTGAGCACGAGCAGTCATATTCAGTATTCAGCTGGACCTTGCACGGTGAACCTAATTATATATATACACATCTATAAATTGAGGCATGTTAACTATTTCAAGTTGTTCATTTCATCAGTTTCCTTTAACATAAATATTATTCAGTTACGTATTCACAAATATAAAATTCAAGTTGTTACCCATTTAATATTAAATTCCCTTTACTTCGCAAGACTGTATGTGTGTACTTGTGACCATTTCCGATTCCGAATGAGGAGACAAATGTCGCAGTCCATCACCCTTGATATGCCAATAATTTTGATGAAGCTACGCAAGAATAAACCTATAATAAAACACTTTAAATAATATTTGAAACTAAATACACCTCTAACTAGTATTACCGACTGATCTACATTTTCAAGTATAGTAAATTCAATAATAAGCCTAATGTATGTCAGTCCAAACGGTGGCAGAAATCGGGTATGTGCCGCGCTGCCATGATATTTTCTTGCCAAAATGAGAATTTTTTTTCGTCGCGCTTTTTATTGGACGCTAAATCTTGTTATGTATAATGTTCGATGATGAAAATATACGTTTTTGAAAAGAATGTTTGCAAGCATAAATGTCTACACGCCACACGACAGTTCACCATTTTTGTCTTTTTAGCGGCAAAATAATTTATTACCACTGATCTGCATGTGCATACTCTTGCGAAGAACCTGATGGCCTGACCGATTCAAAACTCGTCGCGTCTGTTTCTTTTTGAAACGTCAGACGTTCTCCCACTCGTCCAAGCCACAAAACAGAACGTCATATCGGAGAGAAGAGGGCCTGGACTGCATAAACCGTTGTATTCAAGGCACGAACCAGATGGCCGAGACAGCTGTGCGCGATTCGCGTGAAGTACCAGGCTTCGTCGTTGCGAGATGCTAAATCGTATTTCAAAAGATAAACGACTCGAGGGAAAAAGGGAGCGAGCGAATATGTCTGGGACACTGGTTGACTGTACCATTTTAGAGTGCGCTCTGAGGCGTCGCGTGTATCCGGTGACACGTAGATGGCCTTTGGCAACAAAATAGTTGCCTTGTCAGACAGAAGCACGGTAAAAACCTTTGAAAGAAATGTTATTGGGCAGGCATGGCAGAGTTAAAATCGAGGCGCTATTTTGAAAATACGTCGGTGAACTTTGTGTATAATTGATCAGGCAAAAATGGATAAACATTGAATATAACTGTGAGGCTCTGGGACACACATTGTAAATAAGTAATCAGCACTAGAAGTATTGTTTATCGGATGGGACAGATAAAGCTTGTCTGGTTTGCTTTTGAATCTGCCCCTAAGCGAAACTGGCGAAAGCGGAAATTTTCTGGCGCAACGGCGGGATTTTCATAACGTCACGAAGGCGGGTACGTGCTTTATGGTTTAACCACCCATAAGATAGTAATTTGTCTGGAATTTATCAGACGGCTGGCTGGATAACTGTAGATGAATCATGATTTACCAAGGTTTTCAAGGGCCATATTCTGCGCCAGTACAACGGCAGAGATGTTGACATAATACAGAGTAGCATCGAGCAAATGTTGCTCTGGGGCGATGATTTAATGTATATTTCCCCAGACTTCTATGTGTCTATGTTTGTTGTTTCGTCTCCGTCATTGACCAGTGAGAAATTTAAACCTCGCAATAATCGAGTATCTATTTGCTTTTCGAAATAGCACAATTAAGTTTCGCGCGAAATATTCACAGGTGATAATTACTAATCGCGCCAGCGAATCGTAATTAATTTAATCGATCGACCTCATATCAGCACGAATGGCTCAAGCCGACCTAACGAGGGGTCGATATTCCAGTCGTAAACAAAGAAACAACCCCGCTGGGTATTTTTGCAATAGCGTGGTTTGTAGTTCGGCGTAGACAACGGCCGTCGAGTCCGTTACCGCATGATCGCTTCCGGGCCATTGAAAATCCTCTGATAACCTGTATTTAAAATTGGCCTTTTTGTTTTTTCCTATACTCTCCGAATCGCTGAATTATACTAGAAAAAGCCCAAAACGTTTATCGTAGGACGGGGCGGCGATAGCCTTTATTTTTATTCCAGAAATTAGAAAAACCAACACATGAGCGGTCAATTTTTTATGGTTTCGACATTCACCACCACTTCCGAAATTAATCAGTTCATGTTTAAAATGTTCTTGCGATAGACGAGATGACGGCGAATTCGGTCAGGATATATTCCATTGCGCTTACCAACATATTTTGGTAGTCATATAATGACTATGCACACATTCGCCTGAATTTGGAACTCGTACAACACAGCAAGATGACACATGGCTAGTATTGATAACACGGCCAAGCAAATGAAATCAAATCGGGCACGGTTTCGGTGTAATTTTTGCTCAACAGTCCAGGCTTTCGGCTAGCACCACGAATGACTACATACGGCGTTCGAGACTGCGTCGATTACGAAGAATGGCTTGCACCTATTTTGTGTGTGTGTTGCGCACACATGCGCTGCCACTTATGCCAAGACACGGATGACGGTGCCCTGCCTGTTAGCCTAATCGCGCATCGTTACACTATGTACAATCTTACACCTTCCTGTCCCACATGTTCTGAATTCGCGTTGTGCGTCTCAGGCGTTTCGAGGTTATCCTGTTACAATAAGCTGTTCTAAATCTTACTTTTTTGATTTTATATTTTGCCTCATAATAACCAGTATACACCTGCATATGGTATAATCTTAGAAATAAATAATATATATAACTTTTGGTATGCCACGTTTAAAGAATCCAAATCCTCGTCAAGTTACTGAAGGCGAAGACAACAGTGAGTATTTCATTTCTTCATCACAATATTCATAAAAATATTTAAATTGTGTACTGAAAAAGACTATGTATCGTCTTACTAACCGCTACATAATTTGCGAAGTCACGTGATATATTGAAGTTGTCTCCGTGCAGGAATTATTGCGTAGACCTAAATCTACTGCAGTACTGGTTTTATTATAACTACAATTTTTTATGCGTATAGCACCGCAAAGATTAACCCATTCAGCCGCGCTTCACGTGAATGTTGGATAGTTTGCAGTAAATTATTAGAGTATCATTCAAGCTTATATTTTTAGTTTGGCTAATTACTTTTGGGTCAGTTTCACACTGCTTGGTAATCAATAGCTTATCTTGAGGCGAGCCTAAAATTTGGTCGCAACTCACGACGTGTGGATTTACACAAAAAAACAGTAAATTTCGCTTTTTGTTAATGCTCGTGATACCGCATGTCTCGTTTTGAACTTGTAAAAACAGGTTTGTTGCCCGCTGCTGTGGCTACGTTTGATTTTATTGCAACCTCAACGCTGCATTTTTTAGAAGTTATAGTCTATATTTTTCACGAGTAACTTGATTTGCGATATAATAATTAATATATTGTGCGTTGTCCATCTCTGTTAATAAGCCCAGGTATCGGAACGAAAATTATTTACGTGTAACATTCGCACAAAGACATAAATTATGTGCTAGGCTTATGCATTTTGCTCCAATACCCTCGATGGGATTGAATTGGGTCGATATTTGAGCCACGATCGAATGTCCCAGGTGTCTTTAGACGAAAGACGCAAAGTTCATAGACACGATATTGAAATTTGGTTATTGAACGGACGAGAACCGGCCATCATCACCGATATCTATCTACTAAACCAGGGGTGTGCAACCTGCGGCCCGAGGGCCAAATGTGGCCCGCGGAGAAGTGCCAATTTTGAATGATGTGCGCCCCGCGAAACAAGTTTTTAATTTAATTCAATTTGGTACCTGCGAGTAATTCCAATCTTTTGCGTTGCGAAGCTATACCTATGTTTATCTATGTCTATGACTTTACAATGCCTTAACAGCTAGCTTGTGCGAAACACGCGTGTCATAAGATCAATAACCAATATTTTTTTGTATCTTAATTAAACTACTAGGTAGCCTATATGAAGGTGCGACCCGCGGTTCCACCCAGTTATTTTATCTGGCCCACCTATATTATAGGTTGCACAAACCTGTATTGAACCATTGTTACGCCACTATATTGAATTTGTTCCCCGCCGTTACCGACAATGATTCTAAACCTGTAACTGCTATCATAAATTAACAAAATTGTTATCGTATGAAATGATTCTACTGACAATCCTTTTTTGATCATTTGCTAATTCTGTATCAGATGCTATTGGGGATGTCGACGTAGATCATTCAGCCCGTCTAGCCGACTCGCCATCTTCAGATCCTCATGGTATCGGCGAAACATCTGCCGCAGTTCAAGAGGCCACATTGTTTGAAAAATGCGAAAACCAGCAGACATCACAGATGGAAACTTTGTCACATGATTCACCTATAACAGCGACACCGACAGCAAGATTTTCCGCGTTTAACGAGAGTAATAAATTTGAGCCGGTGGACAATACATTCATCCCATTGGATAACGGCGTTGAACTCGACGGCCACAGCGACAAACAGCATGGAAATCAGAAATCGACCGACAAACCCAATTTAGAACCAATGCATTTGCCTACTTTCCGCCCATCCTTGCCTAAGCAATCAAGTCGCGCTAGTTTAGTTTATTCAATGCGAGCTTCCAAATCTACCTTGGGTAGATTTACTCCAAAAACGTCACCAATGGAAATCAAAAGACCGAAAAGTACGTCACCCGGAATGCTGAACCCCAAAGTGATGATATGGTATGCAAATATAAATCAGTACACCAGAGAATGCAAAACTATTCCCTGCTAAATATTTTGTTTCAGGAAAAATATCATGTTGTAACAAAGTTCCACAGTAGGTTTAACTGAATTGGAAAGCCAATGCTATTCTATTCGTCTATAAATTTTATTACTTACTGTAGAAAGAATACTTATTTTGACCCCCATTTCCAAATATTTTTTTGTAAATTTCAGGATGAAAAACCGTTTCCAACTTAGACCAGGAGGCAGAATATCTGCATCTGATATTATATTATTGTACCAATCTGATACAAAAGACCTTCCAGATCCACCACCTGGACTACAGAATTATCAGGTAGCAGTTTGCGCTCTTTATAGTAATCGTTTGTGATAGTAAATGCATGCAACTACTAAACTTAATAGTTAACAGTAGAAGTCAACATTTAAATGATTATCTTCCCCAGTTATTTAAAACATCAAATTCATTGATGCATACAAATTATAGAAATATTCCTAGTGTATACAAATGGGGGGCAGATGACACTTGATTAAATAGTAATAAAAATGTATTTCAAACACTTTTAGTTGATCTTGTTTTAATTTATACCATCTCCTCATGGTCCATATATAATCCAGGTTGGTCAGCTTCTACGACGAGTGTTTCCAAATATATCTCGTGCAAAGATCACTGTCAACAGCAAGAGATTGTGGATTTATAGGCATCTTAATCTTCGTGAAAATCCACCAGCTGATCTGTTTGAGGAGCAAAAATTTTCATTAGACTTAGAAAGCTCAGGTATGTGCGCGAAACTGGTTGTAAGTCATTAATAAGAAACTATAATCCAGACCATTTAAAAGTCAAGTTATATGGGCAAGGCAAATCAACAAATTGAAAGTTGTCATTTGTAAATCTGTTAATCATTGATGTTTTTAAACCTCGAATTATTTTTGAAAATTAGTTAAAAAGTGAGGATAAATAAAAAAAATTAAGATAGATTATTAAACATATGTTATTTTGCTGCACTCGACCATAGGATTTTGCCTCTGATTAGAAGTTAAAGTCATGTGAATTGAATAATTCGAAAAACATACCTCACTTATTTTCAAATCAAGTATATTGAATGAGTATTTGATTGTTTATCATTTAATATATTTGTTTACAGAAAATGGGATTTCTGGAGTGGATCTTTCAGTAGATGACAATTGCAGGTGAAGTATTATTTTTTTATTTATTTGTGTGAGAATTTTGAGATTCATCCAAAGTCATATTAATTCAAAATAACGCTGCTGGTTTGTCTGTGTCTAAAATTTGAAACTGATAGGTTCAAAAACTGTGTGATGCCAGTCTGCCACACTACATAGATTAGATAGATACCTAATTTGTGGTATGTTGCCAAATATCTGAAGCATTTCTTAAAAAAGCATCAGCTGAGCGATTGAGTGTTCACCTTCACAATTCTGAACTGCAAATTAAACTCTTGAAACTGATCTATATATAGCTGACATGGGCAAACTACAGCCCGCTGGCGAAATCAGACTCGTTGGGTAATTCAATCTGGCCCACCTGATACTGCCAAAACTAAACTAAAATCCAAAGTGTCATGTTTCAGCTAAAAAAATGGCCCAAGGAACTTGGTGAGATTGCGATTAAATTCAATTTTGACACGAGGCTCATTGTTATCCACTTTTGCTTTTGGAACACTGTAAATATTGTTCATTTCGAACTTTTTACATCACACTTAGATGGCCCGCTAGGTAGACAAAATGTTTGGCACATGGTCAGAGACCCTTGCCCACCCCTGATATATAGCTTCGTATGGGCCTGTGAAAGCAACCATGGTATAATATAATGGAATATAAAATAATTTACAGGGCTTCAGATTCTCCAATGTCAAATTATGAAGATTCAAACAGTCCCAGTCCTATTAGTATGGAGGAAGACAGTCAAGGTGTTGATGCAGAGAACAAACAGAAAAGCAACACCATTTTGCTTGAACTGTTGGGCAATGGAATCAAAACTGAAGCTGATTCACCCACATCTTTTGGAATAAAAGAACTTTTCAATGCAGATGAAAAGAAAGAACAATCATATTTAGAAATGGGCCACAGAAATATCGCCGATGATGGTTTGCAACCTAAAAAAAAGAGAGACAGTGAAGTTATGGAATGGTAGGTATAAGAATCTGAACAATCAAAGACATTTACTCTCATCATCAAAAATGACCATATCTGTATTCAAGTCTAGATTTACAGATCAATTAAGATATGCTACTTACTATAACTATGGTGTGCAATATGTATGTAATGATATGTAATATTTTTCATTATGAAATTGTGTAAGTTGCATTATCAGATAATATCCACATTTTTGATTCATAACATCTGAAAAATTTTATTCAATGTTGGCTTCCATGTGGCGAACCAATACTCTTCTTCTTATACTATGAGAGGCTATATTGACCACATGGATTGCAATTGCATGAATTAATCGTATATTCATTTACCACTCATTATACCAACTGAAAATATGTGGATTGCACAAGTAATAAAATTTGGTTATAATATTCAACAGGTTGCAGGAAAATTATAAATTCAAACCAGGTTATTATGTGAAGAGCATGGATTTATTGAGGCAATATAATCATGGTAGAGATGAAATGGTCAAATACCTTAGTCAAGTTGGAAGAGTAATGAAGCATGTTTTTCCATCGGTTAGGCATCTAAGAAAGTAAGTAAAAAATTATGTGTATATTAATATTATTGTAAATGAATTGGATTTTCCATTTCGAAGACTTAATACTTTATTTACCAAATTTAAACTGCTTATACATAGTCGCAACACTACTCATTTTATGCAGCCTTTTCTAAAAGATTTCAAATTTTTTCGCAAGATCTCCATTTCTTTTATGTATTTAATAACATTCTTATCTAAATATTTCGTTAAAACAAGTATGTTTGTATTTTCAAGGTCATTTAAAGGTGGAAAACGTGAATGGGTTTATTTGAATATAAAGCCAATTGATGTAGATAGTGATAGTGAAGAAGGAAAGAAAATGTTGATGCCGACACTTAGACGTTCTGCTGCAGCTTTCAGTACTTCAATTTTTGATAGCAATATGCGCAGCCAGTTATCAAGCTGGAATGACGAGAGAGCAAATATGTCTCACAATCCTTTATCAATGGTACCAAGCTCTTTGTTCAAGTCGAAACCTAATTTCTACCACAGTGTATCTCGTGTGGATGGAAGCAAACTTGTGATAAGCCGAAGCCCTACTGTAATTCCGACCCAAGATTCAAACTCTCCTAAAAGGAATGAGAACTCACCCAATAAAACCCAAATTGTGTTGTATAATAAAAATTCAGTTCCCCCTGAAAATAGTGAAGTGACTGGCGCTCCAATGGAGCTTGAGCGTGATCTTTTCGCTCCCTTTGCAAAAACATCCCAACATTCAGACGATCCAAGATCGTTAAAGAGGTTCAATGTAAATTTGAGGAATTACGTAGCAAGCTGTACTAGCCAAAATCCTGATAATAGAAAGACTCTAACGAATCCATCATCTGGCATAGTTTTCAGTCAAGCAAGTATTACTATGAGCTGCAACACTGATGCTGCCCAATCTACTGAATTTCAAACAACTGGGGATGATTGTTGGGCATCAAAGAGGCTTCGTCTATGTGCTACATTGGACTCTGATCAAGCAGATGGACAGACAAAAACAGATATTAATCTATCAAATGGTTTGGATCTCAGTATCAAACGTGAAGTGCAAGTATCTGATGTTATTCAGACTGAGCCACAGAAACTGACTGTAATGGGAAAATCTGAAACTGCATCTGAATTTTTCACTCCATCGGGAATATTAAACCTTTCCAAACCAATCGCTACGAAAACAAGCATACAGACTGTTCTGTCAAAGCCTCCTACATCTCAAACGATACATTATAAGCCAGAATCTTTAATAACACTGAAAATTCAAAAAAATCTACAAGGTAAAACTGTTGTTATTGGGAGCAATGGTCGGCGCCATTCTGCTGATTCAATCAAAAAACCTTTGATAATTCCAAAGGCTGATAGCAGCACTGCTACCAAAAGGGCTTATGTGGATGTGGGTGGAAGTTATAATAATGATATTCCAATAACTTGGAACTCTCTTCAGGTAGGAAAAATACAAATTTTCAGTATAGGGTAGAATTGCATAAAGGTAAAAACTATGATAGACGTTGGTAAAGGGCAATTCATGTTCAATCTTGCTTGCTTTCTCTGCATGTTTGTGTACTAGTAGAAATGGTAACATATTGCAATGGAAGTATATTTCAAATTTTTTTCCTAAATTGGTATTGAAATTAACACTACTTTGTTCATAGAATTTTGCAGCTCAAAGATATGGCTGGCTGAAATCATCCAGCACATCTTGCAGTAATCGAAGAAACAATGAAATTGATGGAGGAAGATCCGCTAAATTTGTAGAATGGTTTCTATTTTCTGGTCAATGGCTTGTAAATGGACAAAGGGCGTTGAGAGAAATTAAGATTTACGATGATTGGACTGTCGTCATTCATGCTCTTGGACGAAGAGTGTATCCCAATGACCTGGGTGGCATTACAGATTTGGAGAAAACTTCTTCTAGTTTGAGCAAGGTGAATTATCGTATATCCTAACCCAGAACCATTTCAGAGGTTATTTTGTGAATTGCTCTAATAAATGATGTTTTTTTACAGGTGTTCCGTGTATTGGCAGAAGCAAAAATGTGCATGGGTTTCCCTGCACCATGCATTAGCGACTTGTATATTCATGGAATTTTAGTCAGTAAGTTTGAAGTCTGGTCATCTAGGGAAGGCCCAGGAGAGGACATAAGACAACGAGCTGTGAATTGTCAGGTAACAATATGGATTAATTAATACAGCATTTAATTCATTAAAAATCTTCATTTTTTTTTCTTTGAAAGCTCAATTGTAATAGGCTTCTGTTAAGTCATTGTCAAGCTTTTTTCACTGGTAAAAGAGACTTAAGTGATTTTTACATACCTATTTCAAACCTTCATATTTACGATACTATTTTACAGTCTTATTTTCTTTTCTGGGACAGATATTATACTCTGGTACTGGAACATGTTGCACAAAATGCTCTCGAATAATGAAATTACACCAACAGCAAAAGCGAGGACCTGGTCAAAACCGAAAGTTTGACAACTCTGTTGATCTTGATAGTAAACATCCCACAATGTAGTGTGATTCAAGACCAGACTTGATAGCATGCTACTTAAAGCTTGGGATTCTGGATTCATATAAAATATGAATCAAACATATCCCATCAAAAGCTGTTTAATTTTGTCTAATATGGCATGAGAATGGCGTCAAGAAACAACATCAACTACAAACTACTGTGTTAACATTTTTTCGAAAATTGGCTTATTGGTACCAGTCATATCTATGTTACTTATTGTCAAAGTGCGGTAGTTGGTTTGCTCAAGTACACAATGTGATTTTTTAGATTAAGTGTTTATCATGCTTGGATGCTAATTTCTTGCATTTTTGTTATGGTTGTGTGCTTATCATGAATGTTTGTCGCTTCAGATTTTAGTTTTGTTTTAAATTTGTACGACTAACTTCTAAGTTATTTCTGCCGGTTGAATATTTATAAAAGTCTTGGGGTGTCATCTTAAAATTTCAAATTAATTCTTTTGTATCTTCCTTTTAATCACCATAGTATTGCCAGGTAGAAGTTTGAAGGCAGGGATTGCTTTAAATTGACTCCCTTTTGATCTAGGAAAGTTTGAAAGATCCACTAGTGTTTGAAAATTTGAATGTTTTTTTTTTATCCTGATAGAATGCTACTATCGTTAAAATTTTATTTGGACTATGCATTCGATAAAAATGGCAACCACGAATTTTAAACACATGTCAACTGATGGCCAGCAATTTTATCACAAGCGTAATTTTTAGCCATGTTTTTATATGTATGTGCACGAAACGTGATTACACATGCTTAATATATCATAAAATAAAAGATTTTTCTTACTCTCCATTGAGCTGAAAGTTCGGTCAGGAAATATCTGTTTTCAAACTGTTATGCTCTCAAGTGTTTGCCAAGAAATTCGGTGTTTTCGTGGAGCTGCTCAAAAGTCTCTCGTCAATCAGTCTCCTTTTTTGGAGCGAGTGCGCATGACCTTGGTCAAATTTTCCTGAAAGGTTGTGCTATGGATACCTGTGGCATGTTGTGGAGATGAAGATAGTCGAGTCATCTATATTTACACGCAGACACGCTTGGACAGTATCGGTGGCATTGTTATCCTTCAGCGATGTTCCAATAACGTTATCTTTCGTACTGTCGACCGAACAAAACTTGCGCCAAAAACGATCCCTATAGCAGAAGTGTGGCACGTAGTGGAAGTGGGGTAAATAATATATTATATGTGGGATGTATTTTAGACACTATGTAATGAATATTTGGGAATTAGATATCTTACTCAGCATAGATATGAGATCTGACTTCGGGTTTAGGTTTTTTATTAATCAATTTATATAACAAGGTACATTTTACTTACCTAGGAACAAGCGACATCACCTTCGAGAATAGACAATCGCAGACGACAAATGCAAGAGACATTTATCGTGGCTATTCTCGTGAATTAGGCTACCACCGCATACCATATGATTACACACGCTGATACTATAAAATTTGTGTTTACTTACCTATATGCAGTGGTGGGATTCAGCCGGTTCGCACCGGTTCTAAAGAACCATCTCACGGAATTTTATGAGATCGGCGAACCGGTTAGCAATACTGGTTACTGTCAATGTTTTGTTTGTAACAGAACCGGCTGAAAAATAAGACTTTTGTGAAGGAACCGACTGACAAAAAATTTGAATCCCACCACTGCCTATATGTACGAATTGCTCACATTGAACGTGGAAGCATTTATAGTAGCAATTTGGGCCACATCGCATTTGCGACACATCACTGTAGTAAGTTTGTATGTGCAGAGTTCAATCAAACAGTGTGGTTTTGACTATCAACGAGGAAGCAACTGCCCCCGCCATATACCGATATACAATATATAATCATATAACACAGTTTAAACACACAATTCTTGTAAATCACCCATACTGTGAACGCTCAGTGGGTTGCGTTCCAAGTTATGAAAAAGCTATTTGGCTTCCTCTGCACGTTATCACCGTCAACAAAGGCAAGATGTCAGGAATTTTATTGACATCATCATTATATTTTCACCTAACGAATGCTTTTCATTATTTTTCAACAAAAATCCTTCCGAATAATATACAAAAAAGGCATAAGAAAATAATATTGATATATCATCAATCATAATAAGTAGTTTCAAATTGGAAATAAACTAATGACAACTACAGAAGTGCCAGTAACATTGGGAATTTTTCTTCAGAGAGGGCTCTTTTTTCCTATTATACAGGTTGTCTCAAAAGTATGTATACACTTTTAATTTCGATTTGCATCTTCCCCCCAACCCACAGAATGACAAGGAGATTAACCCAAGAAATGAGGTGCGAAATTGCTGTTTGGCAAGAAGCGTATAAATCATTAAGGCAAACTCAGCTAATCAGATGTACCACAAGGCTTTTACTCAAAATTGCAGTAACTCACTAGGTCGCTGGAAATTTTTCTTAAAAGAGTTGTTTCCCCATTCTATAATACCTCTCACTGTATCCCAAATAATGCATAACCTCTGCTAAACCTTTCCACTTATTTGAAAAAACAAATTTACACACATATGAGGACACCAGTAATATATTACGAAAAACAAAACAATTGCATTCAAATACATGCAGAATCATCATGAGTTACTTTCAAACTGCAGGACACAGTTATTCTTTACTGGGGGTATTATACTGTAATACTCTACCCAACTTTAACATCCGAAGATGGGTCTTTTCATCGAAGGAGTATGTACATTGGCTTATATAAAATGAGTATATTTTAAAGAGAAGTTCAAAACCAATCAAATCTATATACATGATCACGGGAAGAACACAACACCTTGCTCTAAAAATATCAAAAACCAAACAAGAAATATAATGGTGGTGACAGGTAATGATGATTACTTTTTAACACTCTATCCCTAAGTACGCAATAATAAGAGTGAGAAGAGAAGTGAAATGGGATATAGCCTTGGCTCGACCTCACCCTAACAAATTTTCAAAGGCAGTAATGAATGTTTTTGTCACTACATAGGTTAAGATCAATAATAATATCTTTTGAGCACTTTAGTTTGTGTTAAGCATAAATCGTGGCAATTTTTGCTTAATTTGGTAATTATCAAGACCGCATTATATAATTGGTAAAAATTCAAATGAAAAATATATAATCTTGATAGCCCACTTTTACTCCATTTTATGTACAACATTTTACTGGTCTGGTTTCATAGGGGACTGTTTGATATTATAGTCCTTCAGAGCCGCTTGTATGGCATCTTCCGCTAACATAGAACAATGAAGCTTGACAGGTGGGAGTGAAAGCTCTTTTGCGATGTGAGTGTTCTTGATTGTTGCAGCTTCCTGAATGCTTTTTCCCTTTATCCACTCAGTAGCAAGCGAGCTTGAGGCAATCGCAGAACCACATCCAAATGTTTTGAACTTCGCATCTGTAATTTTTCCATTATCATCAACTTCAATTTGCAGACGCATGACGTCACCACAAGCAGGTGCACCAACCAGTCCCGTACCAACATTTTTTAGTTTCTTGTCCAAAGTGCCAACGTTTCTCGGCTTCTCATAATGATCAATAACATTCTTATGGTATTCTCTGTCCTGAATTGCTGCTGTCTTTTGAAATTGTTGACGAGCCTGGGCGACAAGTCTTGATGCCACCACAGCCTTTGTTGTTAACATGATGACTAATTAATGTTACTTTAATATGATGTTAACTGGAAAAAAACAATTCAATTCACTTTAGCTGAGTTCATCATCTAAGCCTAGTTTGGAGTTACATTTGGAGTTACTACATTTCAACTTTATAGTCTACATTTGCAACACATTTTCTAACCTAGGCTATATCTATTAAAAAAAATTGGGTGCTCCCGAAGTATGCGAACCAAGATGGCGGACATCGGAACGTAACAGGTAAGGGTTAGGCGATAATTTTTTTCCAATTTTCCTTATTTTAGTCCTATTATCAGTTCGAAGACTAGCCAAGAGCCTCCCGTAGTATTTATACCTAAAATTATGGCCTAACCCTAACCTAGTACACATAGACTATTACATTCCGATGTCCGCCATCTTGGTTCGCATACTTCGGGAGCCCCAAAATTGACTAATACTGTAATACCGGTATCTGAATATATAAAAATAGGATGTAGACTATGTCCGAAAGTACCGTAATCAGGTAATTCCATTCTCCCCTAAAACTGTAAGTAGACTATAAATCAGACATTTTGCTGGTCATCCTGAAATAGGTAATAGTTTAATTGACTTTCTCCTATTTATTATTATTAATGTACTGTATTTTGGTATCATGGCAACTACAAAATGCAAAAAGACCACGGCTTTGCGTTTCAATCATACATCTCCTAGACATACCGTACTGACATACGGTACACAAAAACAATTCGAACACGAATTATGTGAAGGTGCCTGTGCGGATGAGCGAACCTCATGCACATCGGTCTGCATACACATACAAAACTTGTCTGTTTGTCATTGTTTTACGCTAGTGTTTTTCCTAATAATTGCTTTTATGAGTGTCCGCACACCGAATTTGCCGCCATGGTTTTGCGTTTGTTTGTATATTAAACCACTTATCACCTTTTCCGCAATGCCCAATCTAGCAATCAGTGTAGTTTTTCATGGCTTGGTTTTTCTTAAAGCTTTCATGGCTTCATGAGTATGACTATCGTCGCAAATTTATTACATTCCACTCCCCACATTATCTTTGCATGAGGTTGTAGGTATTGGTCATTATCAACGTAATTGTTGAAAGAGAGTACAACAGCCCGAAAGTTTATTACGATCGTGTATTTTGTTTTTTAAGTTTGAAAGAGAGTACAACAGCCCGAAAGTTTATTACTATCGTGTATTTTGTTTTTTAAGTTTGGCCCAAGCCTCATTTAATTGGGCTTGTGTTTTTGTGTGCGTGCTGGTGGGCAGGCACATGAGATACTTCATGTTTTAAACTTTTTTGTAGGTTTTGCTTGCCCTCCAGAATTCTCCATTTTAAATTTAGGTTTGTTATGGAGTTTTCGAAATAAACTATCTATCTATCTATCTAGACATCTACTCATCTAGCCGCGACTGCATAGTCACTTTGGTTGTTGCATAACAGCATTGTTATTACGCCATCTTGCAGCCAAATTTGCTCTATAGTGCCCCACGTGACCACCAAATAATAAGAGTATAAGTTTATTTCTACTAATTGATAAAAACAAAATGAATAAAACTGATTTTAGAATCGGGAAAGCAAACGAAACCTACAGGTTTGGAGCGTACAGATTTCAGATGAAAGAGAGTTTATTTCATTTTGTCAAACCAAGAAAACAATTTATGCACACATAAACAAATATCAAAAAAATAGTTTTCGGTATATGACTGGGGGGCAACGATACGACCTTTGGGGATCATCAGAGTCAGTTGCCACCCAATTATATTAAATAAGCATAAAAATAACAGGTTCGTGTCAATATATAAATGTCTCTCACGATTTATACTATGTACAATATTTACATGAATTTACTATTTTCAATTATGGAAGCATAATGGTATTTTGCACCAATTGAAATTATATTGCAAAATATAAAATGATCGAAACGAAAAAGAGGGAAGAGGGAAGGTATTGATAAAAAAAGTAGTACGTGTTCGCTTACCCAAAATTGAAACTAATTAACCTTTTATATCGAGAAAAACAGCTACCTTGGCCATCATGTCCATGCATATGGCAACTGGCTAATCCCACACAAGAATATGCTAATTGACCAGACATGGACGAGATTTCAGATATGATTTGGCCATTCTATTATATGCTATCAACTCAGATATTACTAATATAAAGAATTATGCACCATGCAAACCAAAAGTCCTGCTGCACACTAACACCAAAGTAATCTTGTAGCGTTTCGTCACGTTAGTTACATCTTCAATGTGTACATGTGCCATGGAATGAAACATTTCTGCAAATAAATTCACATATGCAGTATAAATTATTTGAATTCGTTCAGTGTAATTATAGTGAAATGGTAATATTAAAAAAACGCTTTTCTCTTTGATCACTGGACCAATTGCTTTGAAATTTTTAGTGGTTAAAGATGAAATTTTTCTCCAGAAGGCTATTACTTTTATTTATTCAAATATATCTGATAGCTCTGTGAGATTTGTTCTTGTTTGCTATGACGTCATTAAACGTTCTGCGGGCATCGGACGCCATTTTGTGTCCTACTGTACTGCTTCGCTTGGTGTGAATTTATTTTTGGACACGTAGTGGACATAACGATCGTTTCAATATTATGTTGGTCTTGTTGTTGTTGTTGTCCTTTGACACTTTTTGGACATCTAATGGAAAATCTAAAAAAACGCTTTTCTCTTTCATTACTGGACCGATTGCTTCGAAATTTTTACTGGTAAAAGATGAAATTTTTCTCCAGAAGCCTATTACTTTTATTTATTTCAAATATTCCTGTTAGCTCTGTGAGATTTGTTTTTGTTTGCTATGACGTCAGCGAACGTTCTGCGGACGCATAGCCGATACTCCTCTTCTTTTTGATCACGTGCCACGTCCGTAACGAAGTCCTTACGGTACTTTGCTACAATTTTTTCCTTACGCTGATCGACGGTACGGTAAACAGTACTGTACTGCGAACAGACGTGTCCATATATTTGGGCGTAGCTCTCTTGTTGTAGACTGTGATCTGACTGTACGGTAAACCGTACTGTACTGCGAACAGATGTGTCCATACATTTGAGCGTAGCTCTCTTGTTATTATTGGGCACGTAGTGGACATAGCGATCGTTTTGTTGTTCTTAGTCTTGTTCTTGTTAATATTACGATGACTGTTATTTCATTTTGATTGACAAAAAAATAAATCTCTCTCTCTCTGATCAAAATCAGATTTCCTCAGACAAGCAGTTGTAAACAAGCATAGCAAAGTACCTATGGATGTTTCCCCGAGTATCGTTTTCCTTGTTTGTTTCCGTAACAATGACGTAACATTTGCAATTTGTTGAACCGCTTAGTTTAGACGGATATATATGAGCATGCTTCCAAAAATCGCCCCGTTTTCGTGGGTTTGCCTGTTATTTGTCGATTTTAAGCGTTGGCTGTGAATCAACTAACCTGATTGCCATTATGTCTTCCGGGGAGTTTTAGTTCAGCTCAAAATTAGTCCAGAAAAAGCTACGATATACCGGTACTAGGCTTGAATTGACAATCAGTAAGCGGCACGTATTTGAATATTTTCAATAAAAATGGCTGTTTTAAACTTGTTAAGCAGTTTGCAAGCGACATCTAGCTGTATCACTCCCGAAAGGATCAAATCTTGCGATGGTGGAGCATGGACCTTTCCCCGAGCATCGACTTCCTTGTTTACTTCGTGACATTGGCCAATCAGCAAAATGCAAAACGTGACGAAACAGTGCTCCCTTTTCGCATCCGCTCAGACACTTTTCTCACTCAGACAGATCGTCAAGTGTGGTGTAAACATTACCGCGTCTTCGCGTTTTTGAACTCTATCCGTTAGTTTTCAGTTGTGTTTCGGAAACTTAAATATAAATCAGATAATTCAATGAATAATGAATAAGTTTCCTAGGAGTTTTAATTTAATTGCAGTAATAAAAAATTAGTGTAGAAATCTTGTGATAGACTAAGCTAGAATTTATTATCGGTACTTCTAAAAAAACAGATTGTTGTATGCGATGAATCGTAATGATAGTTTGAAACACATACCCCATTTTACAGGCGCCAACTCGCAAAAGCACTCTTAAAATATCTCCGAAAATTTTGCATTCCGGGGGTCAAAGGTCGGGGAAAGGTCTATAGAAAAAATATTGTGGGGGTCAAAGGCCGGGAAAATACATTTCTGTGTGGTTAGGGTCTCGATGTGATGGGGTTCTTGCTCATTCACTCTCTAATCGCGGGGCAATATCTGAACATGGGCTTCATACAGCTGTCTTATGATACGATACTTGTACCGGTATTTGGGTCTCACGTAGTTTCGTACCTAACATACCGTACTTCCACCTTCTCACCTCCTGACCTCTGACTACTCTGGGGCCAGTGGGTTTCCCCCTTAGTTAGAAGTAGGCCTACTTGTCAGAATTGTGGTTCAAAACTACGTTAGTCCCCGAAATTGCAGAAAATTTAGTGACAGAATTGCATTGTATACTCAGATATTTGTTTCATGCAGTAGTTTCTACACTAAAATTTCAAGTACCGGTACGGTAACAACCAGAATAGGAATTCATTTTCAATCACTTTGAGTGAAAATTCGCACCGTATTTTTTACTTACTATATATTTTTTCAGGTTGATTTGCAGTAATTAAAAAAATAATGTTTGACTGCCCATGAAAGTATGATGTTTTAGATATTAGAATGAAATCTTTTGCAAGCCTTCTTCAGGATCTTGCCTTGCAAAATTGTTTTTTATTCCAATAGACTGTTTTGGACTATATTGTTAAACTATTTCGTTTACAACGCTGCACTATTGATTGATTTCCATGGATGAAATAATATTAAGTTTCGGAGACAGTTTGTTGTATACGTCAGACTTATTACTTCTGAATGATTCACAATGGCTGAATGATAAGATAATCGGATTCGTTTATGAGTATTTTGAAGTCGAACAATTCAAAAACTCTAAAGACATCGTTGCCTTCATGAATCCTAGTGTGGTGCAATTGTTGAAAACACTCACAACCGAAGAGGCCTCAGCCATAATAGGGCCACATAATTTCACTTCGAAAAAACTTGCATTCATACCATTGAATGATAACAATACACTTTATCCAGGTGGTATTCATTGGAGTCTGATCATTTGCGACTTTTCGTCAAAATGTTTTTTTCATTTTGATTCTTTATCTAATTCATCAACATGTTTCAATAGACAACCTGCTAACCAGCTATGTAAGCAATTTGCTGCTTTATTTGATTTTCCAAGTGTTACTATTACTCAAATGCAATGTCCTAAACAAACAAATGGTAATGACTGTGGTATGTATGTAATTGCAATAACCGAGTGTTTATTTGAATATTACTTGAAGAATGAATCTTTTCAAAATGGCAGTATTTTAGATAATGTTTGTGCTTCATATATAAAAAAGAAAAGGGCTCATTGGAAAAAGTTGATTCAACAGTTGGCTGAACAACATGCAAGCAGCTAAAAAGCAGCTCAGAAAGGAGATTAAAAAGCGAATTTCTTCACTAACAGAAGAGGAAAAGTTATTGCAGTCAAATAATGTCACCAAGCAAGTTCTTCAACACCCTAAATATGTATCCAGTAAGAGGTTATCTATATTCTTAAGTATGAATGATGAGGTTAAGACTGATGCAATATTGAAACAAGCATTTCAACAGAAAAAAGATGTTTATATACCAAAGTATATAGGGAACACCATGGATATGGTAAAACTGGAATCTTTGGAAGACTACAACAGCCTGCCCGAAACATCATGGCATATTAAGCAGCCATCAGATAATGATAATTCAAGACCAAATGCCTTGGTTACAGGCGGCTTGGACCTAATATTAATGCCTGGTCTTGGCTTTTCAACTGATGGGAAACGTCTTGGCAGAGGAAAGGGATATTATGACAATTACATTAAAAAGTTACAAGAAAATGGATACCACCCATATTTATTGGCTTTGGCTTATTCTGTGCAATTATGCAATGAAATCCCAGTGTCAGAATTCGACTATCCTGTTCATGAAGTTTTGTATTCTGATTAGTTCAAGTCACCAGTAAATTATGTATACTTTGAAATGCTTTGTTCAATATTCATAGAAATATCTTAAAAAGGTTTTTATCACACAAACCAAACATTTAGCGGTACTACTATTTTCACTCTCCAGATAGAAATAATTTTATTTGTTTTGTTATGTAAAATCTTAAAGAAATATTAGGTGCTGTGTAATTCATTTTTGACTGTATTCATTTTTGGTAACCCTTATATTTATATAATATTTAAATAGTAGAAAATTCAACTTAAAGAGTTGAAAGAGCGCTGGTGACCTCTGGGCATTCTAGTTCTAGGCGGAGAAAGGGGTGCGTTATGATAATATAATATATGTATAATATAAAACAAATCCATGTGAAACCGCATTTCACCGGCGACAGTAAATTTTAGGATTTGATTGATGCTGCTTTTTTTAGTTCGTGCTAGCTGTTCGCAAATCCGTCCAAGAACTTCCTATTTGCGGCCTCTGCAATTATTTAATGCCTCGCCCACTTCAGTGCTAAGATAATCAAAACATCACAAGGAAAGACCAATGAGTAGAGCTTGGTAATAGTAAATTATTGGAATCGGTTCAGATGGGAATTTCGAATCGTCGCCATTTTTTTTCTGTCCGCCGGCGAGTCGAGATAAATCCCTCAGTTTTTTATTCATGTTTAATTTTTAAAATGCTATTCTGACATGACTCTATTCTTCCGATTGAGTTATTGATGCAACATGTTAATTAATGTGCGTGAACACTCGGCGAACTGTCTTAATGATAGATGACGTGTTTCCACCAAATAATATGTCTGAAGGGCCCAATGCAATAAAGCAGTCAATACATCTTCGAAGTATTCAAGAATTGATTCGAAAAAATATTCGATTTTAAAATCATTCAGTGGTTCCCAACCTTTTTTTTATGTCGCGGCACAATTATTGAGTTATTTAAATATTCGCGGCACAACTATCACACACAAAACAGGAACATTTCCTACTCTTGAAGCCATTTAGCAATAAAATAAGAAAAAACATAGAAGATCAGATAAGTGAAATTCTATCCTTCTTAATATAACATATCCTGTATTTAAAATGAATGGTTAATAGTTACCGATATTATAACTGTTTTCTTACAATAATGTACACGAGACCCACCTCCGGAGCACCTCACAATATTTTAAAAGATGCGCGGCCGCACGGGTAATACGTGACGCGATACGCTTTGGTTTTTCTCGCCCTTCCCCTGGGTGTAGCCTTATTGTTATCACAGGTATTCTCACTTTTGCACAACCTAATTCATTTTTGTTACAATTTAATGTTTCTCCCATTGCCAAAATCATTCAACGGTGTAATTGTCGGCACTAGGGAAAGAAATGAAAGAGGCAAACAAACCGTATCTCATTACAACAATTAGTTATTATCGCTAAAAAAGACTAAATAGGTTTAAAGTTATTGTGAACAATTTTCACCGACGTTATGAATTTCGTGCAAGGCCCGAGCCTACTTTGATGGCAAAGATAGTAGCATTACTATGTCGAAACGCTTATTCGACTTTTCAGACCGCAGAAACTATGCGAAAAATAACCCTGTCTGTGTTCGAGATTGCAAGAATGGGCAAAATAGAATATTTTTATCGAATCGAATATTTTTAACGAATTGTCGAATATCGGATATTTTCAATACAAATACAATGGGCATCCAGAATGCTAGGCATTCTAATGTTGGTGTGCTATTTCCGCCCGTCCTCTCCTTTTTTACAAGGACTAATTCTTACGCAACGTTTGGTTTTATATTTCTTGGAGAACTATGCGTTCATATGGGCGACATATGTTAAAGACGGCTATTAAAGAGTGAATTCGGGATTTTATTCTGATTTTTATCTTTTACGTCGGTTTTGATCTTTCTCTTCACCGATTATAAATAAACTGTCCCAACTTTAAGCTAACAATATTATCATTTCTGACGTCGAAATGCGGATATTTAACGATAGTTGACCTTTTGCTTTCCTATTGTGTCTGTTTTATTTTCACATTGAATGGTGAATAAAAAGCCTGAAAAGTCATTGCGTGAATCCTGAATGTTATTTTGAGTTTAAATATTAATTAAATAAATAGGCAATAATCGCAATTCTACTAGTCAAATAATAATTCCTTGGTCAAATTTGGGAAAAATTTCGCACAATAATTTATTACCTTGGTTGACATCGACAAATTTGCAGTTTCTGTTTGTTAGCAAGATCCGTGAACAATTCTTTTGAAATTCAAGGGATTGGAATCACTTGGAATAGGTTCGAAAATGAAATCTCTTCGTGGCTCACCAAAATCTTTTCGCGGCACCCTGGTTGGGAACCACTGCATTAGATATTCGAAAATGCCCAGCCCTATCAATGAGCCACATTATGCAAAATATTGAAATCAACTACTGGTATATCATGAAGTTTGATACGGCCTACTTCGTCGGCAACAACAAGTCTTATTATAAATACCGAGCTGCGGTGATTTGTGTCCAAGCGGTAAGAGCGCCCAGACCGCAAGGCTTATTTCGACTCCAAAGAGACTTGCCATTAATAACCTCAATTGACCCCTAGGCAAGTTTGTTCCCACACATTTTAAAAACAATGTAGGTCCAAAAATTTATTCACCTGAACCGAGTAAATATGGTGGCACTGGTCATCAAAAACGACATGGAATCCTCCGACGGCAGAAATGATGGAGAAGTTTCAGGAGACTTGCCGCAGAAAGACTATGTGCAGGAGTTCGATGTCCCCAATTCAATGAAAAATTTATGAAATAAATAGTCAATTAATTGACATATTGATCTATTTCGCGGTAGGCTATATCCTTCCCATTATAAGTAACGCTTAATAAATCAACGGTGAAACGTTTTCAACATAAGTCATATTTTGATTACTAGTTGAGAGACCGCGATTCGAGTTGGTCGTAATGGCTGTGATGATATGTGTTTTGAATGCAAATGATTATCATGAGACTTACCGGATCCATGCGATAGCTGCTTTTTTAAAATCTAAAAAATGACAGCACTTTGGTGAAGAGGATTTACGCGAACATTACTTACGCTAAAATTGATTTAACAAAAGCTCAGGCACTTCTGGGAAGCTCATTTATAAAAAGGTATATCACGGTTATACTTCGATATTGTTAGCTGAAGGCATCGTTTTGAACTACATTTGCAATATCTGGAAGTTTAGAAAAGCAGCTGGGGTCTAGTATGTATGCGTAGTTTTCGGAGGATTTTACAAACACAAGGAACTAAATGTCTTGAGCACTTACATGGTCATTTTAGGCAATCCTGGTCGAACTCACGCACTTATTTTGAATATTGAAATTATTCTGCCAAATTTTATACTATCGTTTTACTGTTGCGCCACCAATAGTGGGAAAAAACAAAAAAGACAAAACATGGTTAGATTACAATTTGCCTATGTGAAAAGGTTGGGTAGAAATGGGGAATACGATGTCAAATGAGGAGGCAGTAAAGCCAAGATTTGAATCTCAGAGGGCAAGCACAAGAAAACGCATACCGTCGCACTCCTGATTAACCCACGCGGGTAGAAATCCGATTGGGATATTTATGCATGAGATGAGTGCTGGTCTCATTGCCGTCGTAGGGTGGTTCACGTCTTTATAAGCCTATTAAATATATGCTTTGGTTCACGTAACCGCTTAATTGATTGTTACGACATCATCCACATCAGGTCAATGCATCTGATAAATGGTGATAACCACTCTCACGCTGGAAATTGATTGGAAACTGAAGGAGAAAACGTCTTGTCAGCTTTACCGCCTCGAGGGGTCATGCAGACAATAATCAGTCAAAAATTATCCCACGAGACTCACGTGGAAGCATCAGAATTCAATCCCGCGGAGTAGGTGGCTACTTGCGAAGTTGAAAGCTACTCTAAAACTGAATATAATAAATAAATATATTGGTCATCTGCAAACGAATGAACATATTCTTCAAATATTCGAGTAGTTCCCAACTTTTCGCATATCCGACACAATGGGGGCGTGCCCGATTCGTCACGTGATTATCGTCACTCAATAACAACAACAAAACTGATTAGTCATATGACGAGTGACGCTAGTGAAAGACAAAGCGACAAGCTACTGGCAATTACTGCGGTACTGACTCAGGTCTGTAGGTTATAGATGCAACGGCAACTAGTCCTTAAAAACTACTGTAGTATATTTGGTTATTACTGTATTACCGGTACCTACCTGCCTACCGATATCTCTAATAACATTATCAGAATACAGGGACATCCGGATATACTGATATAGCTGTATAGCTGTATAGGGAAAACCAACTTCCTGACTTGGCTATTTCTGGGCGAATTTATTTATTCAATAATCTGGTAATAGGCGTAGCTATAAATAGTGACAGGGTGAAGTACAAAATAATAATATAGCATATTGATACAAAGAAATAGGCTATTTGGTTTTATTTTATGTCTTCGCCACAGTCTTGGAATACAGGAATAGGTATAAAATATGTGGAAAGAGGGTTTATTCATAAAATTATTTGAAAAATATATTTTTTCTATTTATTCGACTAATTTGAGAAAGGAGATGATTTTTTAACATTTCTTGGCTTCGATAATAAAATAATCTTGTTCCTAATGGAGGAAATGTCGAAGTATAGTGATCTCCGAACAAGCGAGATGGGTGTGGAATAATCCAATATCATCCAAATTTTGATAGCTAAATCCAATGAATCATTAGCAACAGGAACTGACAATCAATCAATTTAATCAATTAGTTTTGATTTGTTGAGATTCCTCACCTAAGTGAAATTTCAGCCATAACCCTAATATTTTTTCACTTCATACTTGTAAAAAAGATATAATAAGAGGATATAATAAGCTATATAATTTTATTCACTTTTGTTTTTTATTTTCAACAGAATTTGTGATAAAAATATTTTAGTAAATTTTTTTTTTATATAGAATTTTATTATTTCCAATTGATGAAAATGAAGTGGCAATTTAAACTCGATCATAATTTTGGTAAGTTCAATTATAAGAGAGATTACAATCAACGTAATTGAGCATTGGTGGAACTTTGTGGAATAAAAATGAACTGATTTCATTGATTTGAACAAATTGTCTATTCACCTATTGGTTTATGTTGTGTAAAGGAATGCATGAAAATATGCGTACTTGTGCAGTTTCAATTTTAGAGTTTCCTAATTGCTTATATAATTAGGTGTCAAAGATTGAATACTTATTGGTGTGAACAATCTGAACTTGACACTTGACTTTGATAAGTTGTGAAGTGACTTTACATATCATTTTAACACATCTTTTTTTCTTAGATCATCGGTGCAATGAGTCTACAAAGATAAGAGCGAAATATCCAAATAGAATTCCTGTATGTATATTATATATTTCATTTATTAGCTTGTATTTTAATGTTTGCAAATATCTTGCCTTTTCCTAACACTTGTCCTAATATAATTGTTTCCAAACTTTCAGGTAATTGTTGAAAAAGCAGAGGGTTCAGGAATAGTGAATATTGACAAACGAAAATATCTCGTTCCTGCAGATATTACTGTTGGTCAATTTATGTGGATTATAAGAAAAAGAATTCAACTTGCTCCAGAAAAGGCTATTTTCTTATTTGTTTGTAAAATGGTTCCAAATTCTAGGTAAGACTCAAAAAATTATATTCTGGTAAGGTCATAATATGAATAAATTGGGTATGTTTGATGTTATATTTATAAGTTGTAAATTTCCAAAAAAAAAAACGTTGATATTCAGATGTCAAAAGGCCTTGTTGGTAATGGTTTATTACTACACAATTGGCATCACTAGGCATTTTCATTGTATGGTATTTCAGCATAATGCTGCAAGACTAACGAACAGTCTCCTATTCCTCATTTTAGTTTAACAATGGGAGCATTGTATGAGGAACACAAAGATGAAGATGGATTTCTCTATATCGCTTACAGTGGTGAAAATACTTTCGGCAGCTCCTGAAAACAGCGCAAAATAAACTATACAATTTTTAAGATATGTTAGATTATTAAATGGATCACAATTATTCGATTAGGGTTTATTGTTATTGTTGTGTGGGATAATTTTTGAATAGTTGTCTTGGTGAAATTTGCTATTTGTCATAGTATAGACTTGCAAAAGTAAACAATTTATGTCAAACATGTCTCAAGTTAATCTGAAAATGTTTAGGATATAACAAAATTTCAAAATCACATAAATATGGACTGTAAGACAGAAAAGGAAACTGAGATGTTAACACATTTTGCAGTTCGAATATTGATATAATATATTTTTTTTAATTTTATGGTATTTTCTGCGTCAAATTTGTAACATGTAAGTTAACACCGCCATTGTTTCTCCGTAAGATAATGTCAAGCATGCAGTTGTAAGAGTTTATCCCGATTGACGATTTGGTCCGCCTCTCGTTTGAAAAGTTGTTCAAGTTCCTCCCCACAGTAAATCTCATATCAAAAATGTTTCAGTTGTTCTGTTGTATATTTGTTGCTTTTTAAAAAGTCAGAAATGTTGGAATAATAATTTTGGTATGAAGCGCTTAAACTTTTAGCCTGGTCGTTTAAAGAAATCAAAATTGCATTTTGCTAATTGTTCATAACCTTTTTATCGATTAAAAAGTATTCAAACTTGTTCAATCTTACACACCACTCATGCTTTGTATTGTATTTATTTTTGTTTCCACATGTGCATTTCAATTAGTCAGAAAACATGTGCTGAATTATATTTGATCCTGGATGGGCAAGAGATGAAGCTGATTCGGAAATACCATCCACTTTTCTTGACATGCACTTTTTGTTTAGATGTATGGGTGTATTTTTGAATACTTTCTTTTATGAATACATGTGAATATTTAGCCTACATTAACACTCTGCACGCTTGTGAATGATGTAGATTGTAGGTATTCAATGCTTTTTGTTACCTGTACATCCAATTAGAATTTCATAAGGACAAGTTCATAAAATGTGACTTGGTTAAGATTAATTTATAGTTATTAAACCGGTTTCGCTCGCCTGAAATTTATGTCCTGGTGCCTGTCCTTCCATTGAATTAGCTGCTGGTTCTAATCCATACACTGTTAATGAATTTTTTAGGTTAGAAGTTTTTTCCCAGTCCGTAACAGGTGTCTTGAATTGTTCAATTCTCCTACCAGCTGCTATATACGAGGCAGGTAGGGGTCTTGTCATTGTATAACTAGTATTATTAGAAATGGCATCACTCGCGACATCGATCTTAGTTAGGGTCTATGAAATCTCCATTGTCTCGATCCTCCAATTACAGCCTTTTTGTAAATATGGATCGTTTCGTTATTATGTTATTGTTGATCAAGTTGTTGGTACTTTCCTTATTGTGGAAAAGTCGCTCTTCTCATTAACTACTGGACCAATCGCTTTGAAATCTTCAATGGCTAAACATTGTATTTTTCGCTAGAAGACCATTACTTTTATTTATTTCCAAAATGTCTGTGGCCTCTGTGGAGTATCTTTTTTGTGTGCGATGACGTCATCAAATTTAATTATTGCGCTTCCTGTAGCAGTTCCTCTTTCGCGTAAGTTGTTTTTGGTGGTCCGCTGTGGCACGGTTCGGTAGACTACTGTGGCAGATTGCGTACCTATTTTGTGTCCATAAATTTGTGCATCGCTCCCTTGTCCTTATTTTGAAACATGGCGCAACTATGGACACTGAAAGATTCTCTGTCCGCTGGACGTTGCTATTCTAATGATGTGACTTAGTTCGAATACCATGTGCCAGAAGACTCAAATCATCGCTTGCTAAAAAATTCGGAAGAATAATCCATGGCGTAGATCTTGTTCTTGTATAGGCGGCGGAGTCGCAAATTACAGACAGTTTGCAATATTACCGTCTTATCCCTCTCGTAAATACTCGTTCTAATGAGCCCGATTCTCACATTAGTCCGATATCTCGATAATATTAGCACTTTCGCCCATGAACCCTATCCTAATTACGAAGTGGGTATTGCTTTACAAGTTCTTCTACTTCGTGAGTCGGACCACGTACAAAAAAAGAAGTTGTTGTATCTGTTATTTATTGTTGGCGGGAAGTATGAAAACATCACTCACTACTTGCTGACCCTACATTGCCGTGGTCTTCCGAGTCCATGATCCCCAGCTCGGCATCGGGTCTGTTTTAACCAGTTTTATAATGAAAACCTTTGTCAGAATACACTGAAACTCCGATAAGGTTGTCATTTATAAATCTTGAAAAAGTTCATCGCTATTATTGCCTTACCTCGGGAATATATATATTGAGACCCACGTTTCGGCCGCTGGAGTGCTTCTTTTCTGCATCCACGCAAAACCTCACTACTCCGCGGAGCATGGAACCCAATCATAGAGCTCAAATTATATCCATTATTCAAATCCTATATATTGAAATATACCCAATATGTGATATATATATATATATATACATCAATACACATATTAAATCAATCAGCCGTGTGTCTCTACATTGCGTAATCGCGTTTTTGTTTATATATCAGTAATTTTTCAACTCTCTAAACCTCGAAAAATATTTTACATTTAGACAATGACTGGAAGTATTACATTTTAAAACTTCTGCATCTTCACATCATATGTTACAATACAAATAAATCTCAGACACAAAAATATCAACGAGATTTTTTCTTGTACGTGTTAAAATCAGTAGCAATGAAACAGCTTACGTTGTTAGAACTTTAATATTGCTTCCTTTGAATTTGCGGAGTAGTATGAATCAGGCATAATAAATAAATAAACGCATCTACAAATAAAAAGCAGTTTCTTACAAGGAGATAGTTTGTAAATATTGTCCATTAAATTTAGAAGTCTTTGACTCCGGTGTTCCAGTCATTCGAATATGGATCTTTTCAATTGAAAATATCTAAAAAACTACAATTTTTTATCTAAAATGATCGTTACTATTCAAATTGTTTTAATATTGTTAAAATCTCAAGCCTACTTTTGAATTTAAACAGTACAAAAACAGTCCACCATCATCATTACAAATCTTCGTATTCACCATCGTGCTGAACTTCGTAAAACAATTTGACAACCCTTACCATTGAACGAACAACTGTAAAAGAAAACAAGCTTATTATGAAGCTTCAACATCACATAATCAGTTGTGGGATCTAGGGGTGTTGTGTCGTGAACTCGGTGAATAGAAGATGTTTGTAGATAATCAATACAGATTGCAGAAAAAACACAGTCATTATCTTTATTCATTAACAAAAAGAGGTCAAGAGTAGCAAACCATGGTCACTTATGCTCAAAACATGGAGCCATAATACAGTATACCACAAGGGGGATGCGTCAGTCCGTTCCTGTTTTATTTTGTGTCTTAGACCAGGGATGTGCAAATACGGCCCGCAAAGAAAAATTGGGCGGCCCGCGGAGAAGTGCCAATTTCGAATGGTGTTCCCGAGATACGAGTTTTTAGTTTAGTTAATCTGGTACGTGCGAGCAATTCCAATCTCTTCGCGTCACAAAGCCTATTATACTAGTTACTAGTACCTGAGTGCCACTGTCATATTAGCAAAACTAGCAAAATCCTATTGCAAAATACACAGAATTATAAAAACGTGTTTCTCACCGAATTTCGCTAGCACCACATTGTACATACCCGCGGGAAACAAACGGGACAATGCAGTAGCAGATAATTTATTGCCACGCGCACACGTCTGTCTTAGGTTACGATAAAAAATGAAATAATTGTAAAATGTTTTAAATCAAAACGTGGACGGCGGCGCTATAATATATGCGCCATATTGGGTAACCTATAAACACGAAAAACGATCGCGAAAGTCGCAATATTCGAATATTAAATTCAACTTGGACATCCCTCCTTCAAGCACTGCATTTAAATTAACCTAAAATAAACAAATATCACTACACGCGTTTTTAAAGTTTTCGAATTCCGGCCTTCGTATGTAGAAAATCTTACGTTAGCCGATGCAATATTTTTTACGAGAAGAATTTTCGGATGTTGGATTTTTCGTATCCAGAGCCTTAGGTATAGTTTCTAGCTGCGGCCCGCGGCTTCACCCAGTTATTTGTATCTGGCCCAAGGTTGCACATCCCTGTCATAGACGATCACAGCAAATGGACACCGCTCGTCTGAGCTGGCTACTGTTATAAATTTTCGAATTCCCTCACTGTATACAATGTAGGCTATCTATTATTTAACCTTATTTTGCATTGCGATAGACAATGCAGAAATGTCTGATTGGGAATATTTACCAGCATCTGGAGTGAAGTAGTAGTACAAATAATTCTCTTTTGCCATATCGTTTCGAATCCCAAGAATTATATCTCCTTTTGGGCCTGTAAAATAAACATATTTCCGCTGAAATTAGTTTAATCAAGAAAATATCGCCATTGGAATATATTGTCGAAGATTTATTTTGAAAACTCAAAATTTTCATTTTGTCACAATCTCGAATCTGATTTGAAAATTGAAATTATATAAACGAAACATCTTGACTTTCAATTATTGTAAATTGCATTCGCTTCTCTTATAATTCACTGCACCGTGCTTGTAATATTTGACTTACTCAGAAATATAATTCTTGGATAGTATTTTCCATCCGGGGTATATCCTGATGGCTCTTCTTCATCTTTACAATTTATCATGACAAAATATTTCGAACATTCAGCTATGTTTCTAAAAAGTTTATGACCAATTAAGCATTAAAAAAACTATGCCAGATCAACACAACTTGATATAATGCGGTTATTGGCATTGTTTCAATATAGGGCTTTCGAACTTTCAATCTGGAGTCATTGGCATGCTTTTGAGATATTTTAAATATTGATTATTCCAGCTCATTCAATTTCGCGACATTTTGGTTTGTATGAAGTATGGAGGTACGATTATTACATCTTAGTTTTGTTTCTACTCACTCATCGGCAGCAAATTTTGGTGCGAAGTCGTGGCATGCTGGACATTGTTCTTGGTGAATTAGTAAGAGAATTGGTTTATTTTCATCCAATGCCTCTGCCATTCCTTCTTCATATGTTTTCCAATTTATGTGATCCCCGAATCCTGCAGTGAAGTTTTTTGATTAGATCTTGTGAACAATATTTCACCATTAGTTTGTACAATAAAATTATTGAGAAATATAAAAAATAGATATATATCCATTTTTTGTTAACAGTTTCAAATTTCCGCGTTGATCTACACGAGAGGGAGTTCCTTTTTGCACCGTGCGTAGTTGTGAAGATTATATTGAAATTTTCTGCCACAAATGCTAGTTCATTGATATCATTGGGAAAAAAAATATATATATGACAAAATTTTCCGTCATTATAATATATTTCTGATGAATTCACAATGGAATTCGTTTGAGAAATGGCATTACATAACTTTATTTCTTATCTACTTGACAACATTTTCTGAGATATTTGTTTCGGACGCCTATTCTGTGCCCAATCAAACATAACTGTATTAAGTAGAAGATGGACGCTCTCCTAATCTCAATATGACGTTAAATAAATTTCGTTTTCGGGATAGGATGATATTAAAAGATTTTATTAAAAAAATTGTATTTTCGAAACTTTTTCTAATTTATAACTCATGCCATGAACTAATGCAAAGTCATAAACATAATATATATATGTACTGCAACGTCAAATATTCAAATACTCTATTGAAATTCAAGAGCCAGCTATGTTTAGTTGCAAGTTCATGGGACATATCTTCTTGTCACTGAAAAAAAAATTAACTTTTATAAACATTCACCAACCTCTTGCTAATTCTTGTGAACATGGAGGTTGTAAGAGGGGAATAGATGACGAAACTATTGCAAGACGGAACAATTGTGTGATGATGATCAATCGGAGTATCAAACGTCCATAATGTACAATGTTGGTGCTAAAATTCATTATTTTCAAAAGGTTATATTGAATGTTACCAGTCTTTAGCAATTTTTCTGCAGTGTCGATCTCTTCTGCAAGATGAATAAGTATAAAGTATAGAGTCTAAAACCTACACTAATATTATTGAAATCAAGGGTAGTTCAGCATTCAAAACTATCATGCCTCATATATATATTATATTCATAACATTTCTTCTAAACTCTCATACCTATTTTAACGTTAGGAATTGGGAATTTTATATTTACTTTTATGCTTTTATCTACATATATATATGTTTCGAATTAATTCCGCTATTTATTTTCTAAATTCAAATAATTTCTAAATCATTCATCTGATCTTTGTTTTCTACATTACCATTTCCAACCTTCGCCTAGTTGATAATTATTTAATATTTTTTATCTCTTGTCTCGCTAGTTGATCAACTCAAAGTACTAACAGCCTACATGCCCATAACTTGTGACTAACACTCATGAATATGTTTCAAAAACCAGTAATCCAGCTGTACCATAACTCGATGATAAAAACAAACACTCATGATGCCTCTCGGCTCAAAATTGATTTCAATACGACGTTTTTTGATTCTGACGTCAATGTTACAACAGAAGAGTGTCAGTGATATAATAATATTGAAGCTATAATTACACAATATGTTATTTTCAATATTGTTGCAGATTTCTTACATCACATAGTTCTTATTTGTAATGACCCATTCTTCAACAAATTCCTATTTTTCTATGTAATTGATATTTGTCGTTCAGAATATTTTATTATTATTTGAAGAATACAAACACTAGCAGGAATATGAAAAAAGAATTCACCAGAATTGATTGGCAACAAAACAAACTATTTTTTATTTTGAAAACAATACATGAATGGGGAAAGGGGAAATTTCACTAAAAAAGCACTTGTGCAATCGGGCATGTTACAAAATCGTATAAAAAAAACGTTGTAACGTGTCTGTTATATTCACCGACTAGATTTTTAATAATGACAAACGTACGAAGACGTTTCACTGAATTGCAAAATATTCAAATTACAATTGTGGCGAGGATCAAGTAATCCGGTGAGTGTCGCAGAACATAAAGCATACATGATATACTGCATAAAAGCAGTGTTAGAGGTATAATCCGCTGCTTGTGCTGAAAACGATTGCATTATCAATAATAGCCGATTATGAAATATCAAGCAGTGTTTACGCCTGCAGAAAACAGTAATCTTTTAATCTTCATGTGCTTACCATAAATGACCTCTGTAAGCAATCCAACACATATCATGTGGGAATAAGATGATTCGGAAAGCTTGGCCAAGCACATCTATATGCTCTTTAGCTGCAAAAAATATTTGCACAAAAATCGATTTTCTTCAGTGGTATTTTCTATTCGAAACGCGCCAAGAGGGGAAAATGATTCTCCTGGAGCATCGTATATATTAGTTTATCGGCCAGTATTTTGCTAGATCAGAAATCAACAGTATGTGAGGTTAAAAAGATATGTCGAACGGCGGAATAGAAGCATTCTGAGAAATTTGCGAGGCACAATTATCTTTCATTTTTTTTTGTATCACTGTCAGGCAATTTTGATTCCATATTCAATAGTTCCATAATATTTCTATGAATATAGATATCAACATAGATATCACAATCGATACTGTCAGTTTAACCTGAATCTGTAAACACTTGTCGACCAAGAGAAACGGAGAGTTCACGACATAAAAGTATAGGCTACTGCATATAGATATCAAAATTGATACTGTTAGTTTAACCCGAATCTGTGAAAACTTGTAGACCAAGAGAAACGGAGCGTTCACGACGTAAAAGTGTACTACATATAAAAATATGAAGGACGAAGAATTTGTCACAATAACACAAAAACAATTCGAAATATGGAAATTAAAATGTACCGAGAGAGCCGAAGAAATGCGACGAAAAATATTCGAAGTATCTTCAGATGAAGATGAAGAGCTAGTAGAGGGTTCGTGTAGAATTTATAATTTTGCAACGGTACATGCTAACAACATACAGTTAGTTAGTAGCTAAATTTTTTCATATGCCGATAAATGGAATTGAATTAGAGTCAGAAACGATATTTTATTTTAGAAATATATTTACATGGTGACCACAGATTTTTTAATTACATCCACGAAAAAAAAGAAAATTCAGTTAACATTTAGACTTCTGTTTGTGTATGATTGTACCCAAAAGTTCCAGTAATCTAGGACGCTTCACACAAAAGTGATGTTTTCTCAAGTATATGACCCGAATGAACTGGGTTCTGTTTTTAGAGGGTTACAAAGATAAAAATCCGGTTACAAAATGGTATTTGGAAATGCTGCACATAAATATCTGACACTGTGGGGTGTTTATATTAGCAACAAAAAAGTATACGAGGAAGCAACCAAAAAAACGGAGAATAGAATATATTCATTTATATTCTGGCAATTCTACTATTATCCCGATGTATTTTTCATTTATTTAGAAATGGAGGAGGCTTCTAGAGGAACCGTCGATGTAGTGAGAAACGAACAGAAAAAAGTTAAAGAAAATATATTTCGACGAATTATAAAATACAGATTCCCAACTACAATTGATCCGTATGGAGGTATTCCTATTTTCACCTTTACTCTCTGAAAATTTACTGCATACTATGCTACATTTATGATTATATATATATTTAATGTATCGAAATGAGCTTCGTAGACTGGTGACTGAAACAGCATTTGTGCAAAACCAAGACATACTTAGCAGTTCACTTTGTAGAGTATTCTTTGACTTAACTGAGTAATTGTTGTTATTGAATGCTAGTCATTCCTAATCAGTAGAACTGGTAAAGATTTGCATGGGTTTGGCATATTCTTAAATGGGTCAAGTTGGCGATGATTTGTCATTTATATATTAACTTGTTAGAATAATTTTTCCAACTTTGGGGCAAAAGTGCGTGGTCTCAATTTTTACTTGTCATGCGGAATTTACGTTAACGAAAATAAACTTGGATGTTTTATTCGAAATATTAGCTGCGACCCTGAGAAGGAACTTTACAAAGTTTTTTGTTTTATGTTAACTTTTCCTCACGAACTTCGTTGTCTGATATATAATAACTTTATCTTGCAGACAATGTATTTTTGTTTTATCAATTTCTGGTCGCTGTTTGCTTCACCTATAATGCTTGTAGTATTCCAGTAAGAATGTCATTTCCGTATCAAACAAAAGAGAATCTAACAGGGTGGCTAATAGTTGACTATATAGCCGATGCAATTAATTTTTTCGATATAATCGTCTTTCAAATCAGATGCCAATATATTGAAGGAGGAAATTTTATGGTGAGTAGGACGAAAAAGTAGTTCTCTATTATTTAATCTTCAGAACTACAAAATGTTAATATTTTTTTATCTTAACAGAGGGAACGGAAAGATACTATGAAACATTATTTGAAAAGCAAGGATTTCAGACTCGATTTAATCTCTATATTACCCACAGACTTTATGTATTTTCTTGTTGGTTTCAAACCAGTACTGAGACTAAATCGTTTATTCAAAGTAAGTAAACAAAATTATTTAAACCTTGAATTGTCATGGTAATTATTCAGAATCATCAATATTTGCATTAACATATAGCACACGAAATCAAAATATTGCATGGGTGTCTCAAACCTGTCGAGTCCAACACATGTGTCGCTTTCCCCACCTATCCGACAAGTGTGGGACACGTGAGGTAAGCGTGACAAATGCGGGGAAAGTGATGGTCACGTGTGACACGTGCAATTAGCTGGGACACGTGGTACGAGTATGACACGACATTTTTGAAACATCGATATTGCTATCCGCGAATTTATATCTGTCAAGGTTAAGTATGTCTTCTCTGAAACGTCTTTGGTATTATTTTCAAACCTAACTCGAATTGAATAAATGATTTAGGAAAAATGTAAAGTACTTGGGTACATGTATGTACATTCATGCTTCGCGCACATAGCTTAGTCCAATATAGAACGGTTTTCACATCAGAGTTATTGATTTGTGAATTAGTATTTGTGTTGGATATAACAAATATTGCTTAAAAAGTACTTCGTTTTCCTTGTTCTCAGTATAAATCGTTTGATGGATTCAATAGCAAATTTGAAATGGTTTTGGAACAAGCATATGTGTTCAGGTAAGCTGCATAATGTGATTACTCTATGCCTCGGTTCAGTTTAAAGAAATAAAAGAAGTTTCTATAATAAAATATTTTTATTGCTGCTGTAATAAAAATCCATCCTATGGTTTCAATAGGATGGGTACTAGCAACAATGTTAGATATTAGTCCTTGATTCCGAGTTGCGAGTTAAGTAGAATCACAGATCACATGAGATTTTTAAATTTTAATTCCTACATAAAATTCATGAAAAACTGGGAAAAGATAATTATTTCTCACATTGACACTTAAAATTTTCACCTTGCGTTAACCCAAATCTTTTGAAAATCAAACCACGGTTCTGTTATGTATTGGCAAGATTGACCTCGTTATCATCGTGGCTTAGTCTACTTCAAGTTATTACTACAATAAACTTGAGAACTGTTTATTTCAACACAACATTAATAGAAGTGGTATATGTATTAAACATAGATTTTTTTGTTTATTTAAAAAATTCGTTCCAAGTTATCTTTGAGTTTCAAGTTGGGTCCCTTTGGTGGTTAGTCGACCCAGAATTTTTATCATTTTGTTTAAAAACTTTAGATGACTATGAAAAAGGCGAATCGGCGACTCGCGTCTCCCCAACACTGGAATGCTATAGATCAGGGGTGTGCAACCAGACACATAACTGGGTGAAATCGCGGGTCGCACCTTCACATAGGCATAGGCATTTTAGAAGTTAGGCATTTTAGAAGTTGCAGGCACGAAAATTTTGGGTATTGATCTTATGACATGCGTTTTTCTTATCACACAAGCTAGCTGTTAAGGCATTGTGACGTCATAGACATAGATAATAGAATTACTTGCACGTACTAGATTAAACTAAATTGAAAACTTCTTTCGCGGCCCGCCACCATTCAAAATATATGTATACATATTTTTTTTTGCACAGAGTCGCAAGAACAACATGTTATCTGTTGTATTTTATCCACATCGATGCATGCTTATATTATTTTGTGTCGTATTATCAAGGATTCCAAACACCGTGGGGCTATCAACAAGTGGAAGGAAATATGTAAATATATTTTGTCTTAGAATTGTTCATTACTGACCTATAGCTGTTTGACAGATTCATATATATACAATCTCGAAAAGTGATCGTTTGAGGAAAAATAATATTTGAAGATCAGTGAAGAAGTATTTTGGTTTTAAAAATATATAGTAAGAATTTTCACACTCATTCTAAACAAGGCCTACTGGCCCAGATCGCTTATTTTCTAACGTTTTTACAACGACTGTTTCAAGGCATTTAAAAGCTCGTCTAGAGATTCACTGATATCCTCGTTCACAGTCTATGTACACGTATCTTAATCACACCGATTGACAAGAAAGTGGCCGTTGAATCTTTCATTCATATCACTTACATTTGATATACTAATCAGTCAATTCTAATGAACAGACCCATGCATACAGAACGTTATTGTTGACATGGCCAAGTCTAAGCCAGGTCACTAAACTTAACTTTTATAAGCATAAATATCGTTAAATTTATTTAAACCATTTCGGCTGTGTTGATTAGTACTAGAACTATTTTTACAAAACGAGAAAATATTCCCTCCTATTCGAAACAAAATTTTGTGATTCCAGATTTCGGATTCGGATGAAAATCTGACTCAGTTTTCTTCCCTTCACTTTTCTATTGGATGATGTGTAAAGGGTGTATAATGTCAAAGATTAACAATTTGGATCTATAATTATTTGCGATTTACTTCACACGCGATTCTTTCAATGGTATTTTCAAATCATCGTTTGATGGGAAGTACTAGAAACATCTTCAACCTGATATGTGCTATCCACCCTAACAAAACCATATTGGGACCCATATGTGCGTGAAAATAAAATAATTGGTATTGTTTACATTCAGCAGATTGTGAGACTGTAGGATGTAAAATTAACGATATTTTATTTTTTATTGCATTATAGCTACATCAGATGTTTTTATTGGGGTTTTCTGACAACAGTTACGATCGGAAACGTCGGAGATCCAACGACAAATTTTGAATTTGCTTTTCAATGCACAAATTTTTTCTTGGGTTTATTTATATTTTCTATCGTCATCGGACAGGTGAGTTAGTTTTTACAGTAATTTTTTATAAAAATATAAATTTAACAGATAAGCAGTTTCAGTATTTATTATCTTTTTTTTCTACTTAGGTTAGAGATTGTGTTCAAGCACATTCAGCAGAACAGGCAGATTATCGAAGAAAGAAAAATAATTGCATTTATTACATGGAGCTCAATAACATTCCACCATCTGTACAGAAAAAAGTTCGTCAGTGGTTTGAATATACATGGGAAACTCAAAAAATATTGGGTAATATGTGCTTGTTTTTATTTGTATTTAATCATTTATCTATGTTCGTGTTTCTCGTATGGGCCCGTATACTGTTCAAATAACACAATATGCCTTGCTTGCTGCCTTTAGTAAAATATTTACTTCGGCTAGGTAAGTAAGTCGTTACTCTCAGTTATAATTTGAAAATCCCATTGTGCACTTAGTGAAATGTGTTTTATACTAAGTCATCGAAATCGAATTTGACAGCCGATAGATGTTTTTATGTGAAAAGAATTGCTTGGCGTAGTTTTCTCAACAAATATATACTAACGTGTATTTTATGTCCAATAGTTCACAACTTTTTTTTTTGTGGGTTTTAGACGAAGAACATTTACTGAGTCAGATCCCAGTTAAAATGCATGCTGACATTGCCATCAACGTACATATTGCAGTTCTAAACAAAGTACAGTTGTTCAAAGGGTGCGATCAACAATTACTAAACGATCTGGTGCTGAAACTTCGTCCAGTACTTTATCTTCCAGGAGATTACATTTGTAAGAAGGTAAATTAAAAATCGTAAATTCTAGTTTGACACCTGACAAGTTAACAAAACTGCCGCCCTATCTGATCCAAAACTGAAAATATAATGTCATGCCAGAGGCACTAAGAACGATTTAATTACTGCAATTGTACGTGCGTGTCAATTAAGTACATGTATGCGATTAGATGCTCAATGCTCAAAATTACATTATGTTGCTTTCGTTCAATAGAACTTTTTTCTTGGACAAGGCTATAGAAAATCATGCATCATTCTATTACATCCCAAATATTTCTAAGATGATGCGTACGTTTTGTAAGCAATCAGGGCACTGAACTAGCATAAACAACTCAAGCCGCAATCTGTCATGTTTCTACGGCGACTACCAATTAACTCAGGCAATACTTCTAATCATAATTCACAGGGCGAAATCGGGAAAGAAATGTATATCATAAGTAATGGCTGCGTGCAGGTTGTCGGCGAAACAAAAGCTCAAGTATTCGCGACTTTATCAGCTGGAACAGCATTTGGTGAAATCAGGTAAATGTCTAGAAAACGGGAAGGCAAGAAACCCTTAAGAGCTATTCCAGTGCTTTTGTGCTATAGTTTATAACAGTTATGCAGTGCGTTTGTTTCTAAGTCATAATCTATATTTTATATTTTCATTTTATATTCAGTCTTCTTGCCATTGGAGGAGCAAACAGACGAACTGCAAACATATTTTCTCCGGGATTTGCTACCTTGTTTATCTTGAAGAAAAACGATCTGCATGATGTTGTCAAAAATTATCCAAGAACACAAATGATGCTAAAAAGAAAAGCGAAGTAATGCATATTTAGATAATAGCGTAGGCTGGACAGCACAATGGTTGTAACATATTATACATTTGCAAAAACATAAGGTATATATATATACATTCATCCAAACCATATACAGTTAATCACATATACATATATGAGTTGGCTGTATATGTATACTTTGACTGCATGTGTGCATCACGCCATCAACCCCACTCGCAATGATATATTTAACTCTTTAATTGTAATTAAATAAAAACAACTAACACTTCGTATTCACAGGGAGATTTTAAAACAAGATCGTGACAAACCTCCACCCAAAAAATTATCTGCCTCAGAATTACTACCTGAAGGATCGGGAAACAAAGCTCCAAAACGTTCTTCGGGCCGGGGATATAGATTTTTACGTCATGTGGTAGACGCAGCCGATAACAAGGTTAAAGGATTGAGACAAAGCAAAAATTCGTGATTAATGTTTTACGTGATGATGATGTCACCTGTATAGAAGATAATGATATGGAACGTAAATTTAGTTTATACATACTTTATCAATGATTTTTAAATCACTTTTATCGTCTTCAATATTAAGCTTTACACCAGTGGTTCTCAACCTTTATTATCCCGTGGCTCCCATCCGGATGGGTTTTGGTAGTCATGGCCCCTGTTTATCATTCCAGTGTTATTCATAGTGTTACTTTGATTGACAGATCAATCAAAGTCAATTTTTAATCCAATTTTGTTTAAACAATTTGTGCTCAACAAAGTGGAAACACCCTGTGGAATAGCCTTATCAAACAATGAAACTAGATGGCCCCTCCAACTTCTCTGTGGACCCCATGGTGGGCCACGGGCCCCCTGTTGGGAACCACTGCTTTACACTATCAAAACAATGAGGTAAATAGTTATCTGGCGAATTTATTCGTCATTTCTTTATTTAAATTTAAATTGTCACCTTCCGCACATTTGTACTCAATAATTATTTTGATTTCGAAAAGATTTCTTGTATATATGGTTGGATAATTCTACATTTATCGGATTACATAATTGGGTTACTATGTCGATTTGTAAGCTATTCTTCATAATTAGAAAATGATTTTTGTTGCTAATTGCAGAAACAGAAACGACACACGCTTTTTTATTATTCAATATATATAATATATTATCTTTATAATACAACCCAATATTGATATGTCAAATAGTTCAAAGACAAGTTCGCATCTTGTGAACTATCACATCTTCTGACAACATCAAATCCAGCAAGACGCAATACATTTGTTATTATTATATCCCCAATGAATCAGGTGTTATAGGCGTTTACAATTGACACATAAACAAAACAATTTGGTCGATGATTCTGACATTTTGAGAATGCGTTATACACCTCATACCACTCCTTTTTATAAACCCTATTGAATCTCCGTCTAGGGGTCGATTCTGAGTATCACTAATCCAACGCACTCACACAAGTTGCGGTCTATTTGAGGCATAGATATTTTCCCTGATAATACAGTTAATTTCTCATGTTTGATTATTTTTCCAAAGATTGAAGTGAGCATATTGGTTCTTTTACAGTTCAGCAAACCAGCAAGTGAACACTGACATATCTCCTGTCGTAACATAATGCTTAACTTGATCCATATTTCTCGAAACTTGATACATGTGTTTGGAAGTTAAGATATATATTTTTTTAATATTACATAAAACTGAAGACAACTTTTTGTAATAATATTTTATTGTAGTAGCGTTTTTGAGCACAATATATTGAACAAAAAAACCTTCAGATATATTCTAGTTGATTTGTAAGGCATGCAAATAATGATAAAAATTGCTTGCTGGTACAAAATAAGAAAAAAAGGGCATTCAACGTCTATAAGTGCTTGGTAACATATAACTAAAAATTTAATTCAATAAATAGATAGATGAAACTATGCACATTGATTATTAAAACCACTCTCGCTTGCGCCAATAATAAATCGAAACTTTATACAAAGGTCACAATAAAGCAAGCAGGGTACGACAAACTTACACCGAACAAAAATTCATTTTTGTACGGATTCGTGAACAGACCTCTCCACATACTCCACTTCCAAGCAAATGGCGGACGTGCGGCCGTCGGCTTCCAATATTTTGTTTTGGATGGAACCGAGTAATACATTCCGGCGTTTGATGCCGAATTATTTTAATACATTGATGCCCGGTACCGATGACCCTGATGATGTGTTTGCTGACCCCATCCGTATCCAGTACCGTATACCTGATATGGATCGTAATTATGACCATGATGTGACTGATGTCCCCCATACATATCTTGCATTCCCATCTGTTGTTGATGGTATCCGTTACCGGTAATAGAATATACAGGAGGTTCATTATATCCCACTGATTGTGGTCGGTGTTGGTGATGTGACGTCATTCCGGTAGAATAATTACCGTAGTTCGGTGTGAAATATGGATCATAACTCTGTCTTCGATTTGCGTTGGATCCATAGCTCATTACTGATGCGGGTCTGCTACTCGGTCTGAAATTTGACATGTCCTGCAAATAATAAAAAGTGTATCATTATTATTTACCCATATTTTTGTTCCGATCATGACCACAGCAGCTTTTTACACGCAGGCCTATAGACCTTTGGGCTGAAACGAAATGGGACAAACTTGTGGGTTCCATAAAACTTAACTAGTTTACATGCTCTGTCCTATGAGAAGTATCGGTGAATATTCTGGGTAACTAGTCATAGTCAAGAGCCTCAATTCGAGGATTGTAATGATTAAGCATGGCAGATACTAGTCATGGAGTTGGACCAGTTTGAACGAAATGAGGCAAACTTTCGGGTTCCACATAACGTGTGGTACCTAAGTTGCCCACTCTGTGCTGCGAGAATCACGTGTGATTATCCTGAGTAACTAACTAGTCATAGTCAAAAACCATAATTCGAAGATAGTGATTTTTTTGGTAAACTTTAGCTTACACAAGCAAATAATGATATAATATGACAGTTACTAGTCAGTAACGTACAGGAGTTACGAAAAATATTCAGGTGTTAGGCTATATATTTACTTACATCCATCATATTTGGTAGCGTGTGACGTTGGCTCATCCGTGATGATCTTCCAGTCATATCAGGAATTTCGCCATAAATATCTTTTATACCCGAGTCGGATGAATTTGAAGTCTGATTTGACATTCCTGGATATTTTCCCTCATCACTTGGAGGGCCCTTTTTCAATATTCCTTGCGGGTATGTTTTAGATCCAATGGCATTTAAATTTGGTTGTGACAAAGACCGCATTCTACTAAGTGGACGCCTTTCTCGTGCACCCTGTGGAAGTGGGAAGTCCACCATTGAAGAGGGCCGCGAAGACGGCCTGCTAGACAACGGTTTCATGTGATTATCGTACCCAGTTTGTGGAGGTGCAGTGCGTACCGACCAGTCAGATTGTGCCGGAGAAGGCGGCCGATTATATCTTATGTTTGAAGTATTATCCTGTGGTTCTTGTCCCGCCCTACCGTTCAAATACTCATACATGTTATCGGCTTCATCCAGACTTTGGTTCTCTGGATATCCGGAATCAGCTGTTGAGTTTCTATATTTATCCAAGTTAGTGGACGACCTCGTACGTCGTAGGCTACCGGAATCGTCATCATGTCCATATCGTACATCTACCATCGAACGAGAGCGTGAAAGTGGCCTTTCACCGTAACCAGTGCTAGGACGACTATTCGGTCTCTGCTGTCGACGTCTATCTTCATAATCCGGCAAATCTTGATTCCTGTGACCTCGTTCGTCGCGATAATCAGGATTCCTCGTAGAGTTGCGACTCCTTTCTTTCTTGAACGATTCATACAGAGGTTCTCCGAGTGTAGAGTAATTGCTACGAACTGATACTCCCCTCACGAGACGACCTGGAAAGTAAATCCACGGTTACTACATTTGAAAGAAATTGAAATCATTTCATTGAAAACATTTTACTTCATATAGGCTGGATATGAATCTTGAAGATAATGTACATGATAACGCCAATACTGCTTTGTTTAATTAACTGTGTGATTTTGGCTACTTGCTACTAACTGGTGAATATTGGTGACATTTTATTTCTATATGGCAAAAACAAAACGCTAATATAATAGCATTTCATTAACATTTGGGCTTACCTGTAGTTGGTGTAGGATTCAGGTAATGACGTTTCCTTGTAGAAGCCGTGCTTATTACTGATGCCGTGTCATCGAAATCTTGCTGTTGTCGAAGTTCTTCAGGATCTATACCTGATAATGCCAACATGGTTACAGTATTGATAGATGATGCTTTCAATTAAAATATGTCAGTTTTGTTACATTTTCATAAAAATTATCACTGTTACCCATATTTTGCGAAATGTATAGATTTAATATTTATGGAAAAACTGCGTGAAATATTGTCACTAACGTTACACATTAAAAATTTATCAAACTTAAGGCAAATTTAACATATTTATATTGTTTTATATACCTCCATTTCTTTTTTTTCTCCGCCTTCTTCGACGTTCCATGTAACAACATCCTCCGGCACATGCAAGAATTGCAATAGCAAGCAATGGAAGAAATACAGTGAGAACGTATTGATCTGAAAACAAAGTAAAATAAATATAAATGCTGCATGTTTCATTCAAATGAATAAGTATCAACTTTTCTCAAATTTTGTTTAAAACAAGGAATGAAAAATTTTTTATTGTTATTTCAAATTATCTCTTTGACATTAATAAAAAATAAACGGCGGCTTGGTACGAAGGTGACGTCACAATGCTACTACAAAATGCATTATGGTTCGTAATCATTGAATACGCCAAAAATACGTGTATAAAATAATAAACCATCATAAAGTTCATTCTAAACAGAGAAATACATATTTTATGTAAAGCCAAAAAATTCACATTCAATTTTTGCAAATTGTAATTAATCCAAATTTCTGCGAATAGCGTCGCCTAACGTCACACGTAACATGTTTCCTTCGTGACAAATAATATAAAATTGTAGACATTCAAGAATAAACCCACGTATTTCCTAACAGTAGAAATGAAACGTTTTTGACCCGTAGGCAGTCTGTGTACAATATAATTGAGCGCTTCATTTCGTTGTTCTACCTGATAATAATACCTGGTACCACCGGTTTTCTCACCGCGTAGACTCGTATGGCCCTAACAGCGTATTACTTCGTTACCGATAAATTAACTTTAATTTTTGATCATCATAATTTGTGAGGTCAACATCCTCCGTGCAGAATTACAGTGCATTTATTTTTTAATATTTCCTACAATACAGATAGCTCTTGATTTCATAGACTAAAATTACGTATTATATAGCGTGATAGATACAATTCACGAATACACGATCATTTGACAGGATGCTAACACAATCGGAAAGGTTACATAAAGCAATTTGGCTGGGATTCCTATGAACATATCTATTCTGACATATTGGACATCAATGTACAAAATTATTCTCAGGCCTACGTATTCGGGATAATGCTAATCCAAAAAGTAATTTTCATTTCTGGCGTCCATGAATTAAATGCAGGCATAAGCCGAATGGTTAGTATTTCATCACTTGCACAGACTTCATAATATGTCTAAGTCTAAGCAAAATTGCTCACTATAGAGGAATTTTTGAGGATTTGGGGAAAAAATTTCAAAGCGTTACCTCATAATATATATTATACCATATATATATCATAATATATATATTTATGGGCCATGATCCCAGCCGTGAAAAACCCGAAGCGCGAGTTGCACGTAACAACAACAAAAAAAGCCTAAAATTGAACAATTAATAATGACAAGAGAGCTATGCTCAAATATATGGAGACGTAGAGTCACATAAAAAGTAATAGCCTTCTGGAGAAAATTTTTATCTTTAACCACAGAAAATTTCAAAGCCATTGGTCCAGTATTCGAAGAGAAAAGCGATTTCCTCAAAACGTGTTGACGGAGACAAATAATAATACCAATAACAACAAAATTTTGAAACGATCGTTATGTCCACTACGTGTCCAAAAATATGGTTTTTATGCGTTGCGAAGGAGGAATACATAAATCCAAAATAGGCGCAGAGAGGAATATCAAAAAATGTTAAGAATCATTGATACGCAATCAAACAACAACGTTAAGTATACACACACACCATCCCAAGTTACTGCAATTAAATCCAAATCATGTCTAAATGCTATTGGAGAATTGCACTATCTGTATATTGTTATATATATATATATTAAGTTTTACCTTGTCTTTCGTGAGCAAGCTGATCATCAGATTTTCTGCTAAATGACATGACCTACGTTCACACTAAATTAGACTATTCGAAATATCCAATACCCATGACTTATTCCAATCTCCATCTCTATTATAGAACTAGATTTTCACTATGGATTGAAACACTTTATTGCAAGCCATAAAAGATAACAAGCCATTGACCAATTTTATTGCATAGCCCAAGGTGCTCGTTGTTCGACAGACGTAAAATTTTTTGCATGAATCAAATAAGCATCAGCTGTTACTCAAAATATAATAAACCCCGTCAAAATTATGGATTCCAACTAATCTACATGTCTACATCACGATGTTTAATTTAACACATTAGCTATCTTCAGCTAAACTGGTTTTCAGCAGACTGTCTTTATTAACTAACCATGTTATCCAAGTGAAAGGAAATACATCTATATCATATATATGTGATGAAAACAAACTTAGAGGAAATATTGTATGTGGTGAACACACATGTGGTTTATTACTGCAGTTGCAACATCATTTCTAATGCATCGAAATGACATACTATTAGGATCTATATATAAAGCAAATGAATAGTTATCATACTTGGAACCGTTTCCGAAAGTGGTACTAAACAATATTATGTTAAATTGCTTTGGCAACATTATTATTCACATTCGCCCTTTGTGTAATCACACGGCAATGCACACACACAATGCAACGATTTCTTTCTTTCAAAAGCCTGATTGGTTGTTATTTTCTCCGAAATTTTTTATAATATATGGGTGAAAACTAATTAAAATTGCTCATATTTTTACACAAACCTTGCTGGTCGGATGATCTTTTAAATCTCGCCATGTGCAAATGAAGTTGCCTCACCACGTCAGATAAGTCCAATACCTTCGATTATTGCCGCTATGAAATCTCGTTAAAAATTTTATACGACACACTCGTTTGACAGGTGACAAAACTCCAACGAATACGACGACGATCGCGTTACTCAATTGCCTCCAAGCAACATATGCCGAGGCCAAAAGATTACGGATAGCCGGAGGGGGAAATATGATGTAGAGAAAGGAATGTTCCTTATGTAGCAGTTTCGTGAACCCAACGAATTGCTAACCGGTTATAAGAAACGAACATGTTATAACATAATGTATTACACAATGCATTAAAATGCCAGCACTTAATCTGAGGACTATCAGTTGGTTTGTGGGCTATATTGAAATGTCTTGGTGGTCTTAATTTACATCCCAAATGCATTCTGACCAAAATTTTGCTACAAACCGCAAGCTGTATATGATTCAGGTTTTAACAAATTTCACGAATTCAAATGTCATTCAATTTACAGCAGAATTTTTACTTACACAAATTTTTTTGTGTTGTTCAAGACATTGGACAGTCATTGATTTTGTCTGTACCTAATTGGAGTGCAAGGAATTAGTCATAAATGTAAAATTGTTAATGTGCAACATTTGGTTAATTCATGAATTTTCAGGCTAATGCGAGCGTTGCGGTCGCGAACTTTGACAAAATTAGTTACACCTAGAATACGTTTTGTGCAAAGACCATACAGAATTGATTTTTAAACAAGATAAACACAATAAAACTACGAAATTCAAATAGCCGTATATACGCCAATTTGTGAAGCCTGGAAATTATTGTTTTTAGTAGCGCTACTTTCCCCATTCATACCAGAATAAAAAAAATAACTACTTGGATGTATGACACATTCGTAAAAATGACACATTTGTAAGTTTTTGACATACCTGCTCCAGTAGTGTAGTCTTTTTTCTGAGCAGATGACAACTCAAAGAAACAAAATACCAACAGCGCAGAGAAGACGATCATACTTCCACTCAGTGATCAGCGGCAGCTTAAGTGAAATGAGATACAAGATTCGTTCGGATCAGGTCGAGTAACCGAAAACAAGATTAATGAAAAAAGTAGCTCTTACGGCGCTATTCATTCAACAATTTTAAACCACAAAAACGATTTACCACTTAATTAACGCTAAAAAACATGTCGTGTGACGTAATATCTGTTCGAGGAACAAGAACGTCGCCGACACATGCTTTATTGCAAGTTGATTTTGGTTTATGTAATGAAGGTAAATTTTTGATGGTTTTTAATTTCGTGTGTTTCGAATTGTGACCTTATTGTGGTTTCTAATGAAACGCATACATAGTAAACGTTCTTACATGGTCGTAAAGGCTCCAAATTCCGTGGGTATTCTTATATAGTTAGTAGATTTGATATTGAGATATATATCTTGGTGAGTAGGTCGCTGAGTGGCGAATTGAGCAAAGCGGTGGGAACATACTTGTCGTCACACCAGCGATTCCGGTGGTGGAATTTACCTTCAATGCAGCCATTGTGTCTCTTTTTTCGGTGAAATTCACCACTTTTTTCAAGTAAAAGAACATAGATAGGTTGTAGACAACAAAGAAAACTTCTCTCGGGTCAAGATCAATAATAAAAAAGACTACCGCAAAATCATCCATATTTACGATAAACCACAATCGTCAACAAGTAAATTGCAAAATTTGAAGGTATCCAAGTAAACTGTTCTGAAACCAATCGTAAAGAGTTCCCAAAAACGGAATGCTTCTGCTAAAAACGCCCGATGTTCAAGTTCCATTGGTAGAGAACGATGGCGATTGGACAACCAATCAAATACATAAACTTCCGAGTTATTCGAATGCGGAATGGAGTGGCACTGAATACAAATCTTCTCAACCGGCTCTCAACGACATTTTCTTTGCTCATTTACTAAACGAGTGTCAAGATATTTTTTCGCTTGTACTTAGAAATAAACAAAACAAAAAAAATTTATATAACGTTTCTGACAACAATAAAATTTTGCCAATACGCATGTCAACACGCCAATTGACCTGGATTTTGAGCTACCGATTGCACGAGCTTCACTAACCCTAGGGCCTAGATGCCAACAATTTCATCTCTCTAATATCGCCTTCAGTCCATTTATCAGGCATAAATCTCTGGCAGCAGAAGCAGTCAAAATTTTAATGTTGATAGTCAGTGGCGCAGCCTATTTGAATTTTTTTGAAAACTGAAAAAGTCGTTGATAACGCGTGCAATTGCCTTCTGCTAAAATCGCCGATTGTTTTCATCAGCGTGGCGTGTTATTTAGGCCGTAAACGTCCTTTACATTGGTGTTTATTCTCTATAAATCACAAATTTGTGCCACGGTAACAATGATATTTATTTTATTTTTGTACTTGCACAGAATTGTGAATTCGGTGAGAGCGATTAAACGTTCATCGGCGGTGAGGTTCTAAAGACAAATGGAGTAAATCCGCGATATATCTAAATTTTTTGATTGAAAAGCAGCAATATAAGATACTGAAAAGAAAACCGTAAACAATATAAGATTTGTCGAGTCCCACGACAGTCTAAAAACGCTTTTCTGGGCATTGAAAATCGCAAAATTTCGTGTGCCTAGTGCCTACGACCCAGAACCCGTGTCTTGGTAAAATTTAGATTGGAAATGTTTATTTACCCCACCGCCACCAAGGACAGGGTATGGAATAGAATTATCAGTTTAAAAACTTCTCGGCCAAATAGTCCTTCCATTTTGACTAATACCGACAGGAAAATATATTTAAAAAAAAACAAGCAGTATGAGGTCTGATTCTTTTACTTTTGTAAATTACAAAGCTCGTAAGAGAAAAACATAACAATGAGCATAATGCAAATAGATATGATTAAACCATGCACTCAAAAACACTGGCATGCTGTTGCTATCTGATCGAAAAGCCAGACAAAAAAAACGAAATTACTGAGAGCCTTAAAGGTGATATATTATATTATTTTCTGCCGACATGAATGCATTTGAACAAAAAAATGGAGCTCAGACTGAACATTGGTTTCACACCCTGGTGTGTAATCATTGTTTTAGAAACTTTTTTTTTTTTTTTAATCAAGATGCTTGATGTTACTAAATGAAACATTTACCCCCATCTCAATGGTCCAATTATAATAAACAACATAAATATCAAACGTCACATCAAATATTGAAAACCTGCAATAGATAGCAGCTAGTAACACGCAGAGACATTAAATAATCAAAACTGGTTTGAATTATGAATACGATATGAATAATTTATTGTTTTCCCAATTTGCTACAACACAACCAGCATTATTTTTTTATTGTTATTGAAATCTCTCATTATAATTCAATTGACTACAACACTCAAGATTCCCTTTGCCTATAGAACAATAACACTAGATCTCGTGTAAACTCCATTCAGTACCTGACATTTTTTTGAACCTTCTAGTAGGGTGATCATATAATAATTTTCAGCTGTAAGAAAATAGGGTGGGCAAAGATTCGTTTCAACTTTTTAACTTAGTTTGTGAAGAACACATTTCGAAACAGTTCAGCAACTTGTTCGACACAATTGATGTAATTCATCACTAGTCGGTATCAATAACATTTCCATGTGGCGCCTATTCACACCTTTCGTCTTACAAAGACTAGCCACTGATATGCATGTTTAACTGAGAAAAATGAACCTTGCAATATTGGAACAAAAAAATATTCAATATTGTTGACATCATTGCTAGAATCGGAAATATGGAACACTGAAAAATATGTTGCATCACGAGCCTTTGCGTACATGGCCAGCCCGAACTTATTTTGCGGGACCTATCTGCGACTAAGAAATTGGACATTTTCATCTTGTTACCCTTTGACTAAGTACAAAAATTTTACTTCAACAGACTTGCACGCCCAAATAAACATGCTGACTTATACATGATTATGATTTATATTGGTTAAATTTAATAATTTACACCTAGAATCAGTGTGGGGCATAGGGAAGTACGGGGCCGGCCCTATTCGGGTAACATTAAGTTTCAAGACAATGGAAATTCACTGAGAAGTAAGTAACATGAAATCATATAGAACTGAGTATTATTTTTGTTTCTCCATATATGAGCCACACAATATGTTTCATGAGTAAGACAGAAAATACATTCTAACTGGAAAATAGGAAATGTATGGAGCAGTGGTTTTTATTATGAAACAAGAGATTCCATGAAATTATCTAAATTATATTCAGTATCGTATTGATTTTGATCCCATAAATCACCAATGTCATCCATGAGAGTTCGCAATCCTTTACCAGAAGAATCTTTTTCACGAATTTTCTTCTTTTCAGCTCCCTAGAAAAGAGTAAATTTCAATGTAATATTGTACGTCATTATAAATACAAGAGAGCTACGCACAAATATATGGACACGTTAGACCAGAGCGAATCAGTCTTTACCGGTACCTTTGACGCTACCGGTACCCTCAAAAAAGTTCTGAATTTCCAGTAGCAAGAATTTTGCAGAATCAAAACGTACAGCCAGTCATGACACTGACTAAAATCCGTGTTCCCATGGATAAAAAATAATACAGCAAAATTTTAGACGAAATATCAAATTTCAGAGAATTCACGCAAAATTTTGAAATAAATAAAAGTAATAGCCTTCTAGCGAAGAAATTAATCTTTAACCACTGAAAATTTCAAAGCAATTGGTCCAGTATTCGAAGAGAGAAGCGATTTTTTAAAAACGTGTCAAAGAACAAGAACAACAACAACATAATATTGAAACGATCGTTATGGCCACCAGTGTTAACTCTAAGCAAATTATGAGTGCGAAAGTGCTTCGCAGTCGAAAAAAAAGTGCGAAAGTGCTTTTGCCGATTTTAACAAGTTAGGTGCCCTAGCCTTTCATATAACCCATTTAAACGGCATAGATACTCGAAAAAGCGCTCCTCCGGTTAATATTATGAATTAAAGAGAAGAGCCTTTTCGTTAACCGAGTTTCCTTTAAGCGAATTCATGTTTAATTAAAACAAGCGAATCGGCAACGAAATGACATCTGCTGACATCTGCTAACACCTGCCGCGGACAAAACTTTCATGCAATGTATCACCGTGTCAGTTGCTTACTCGCGTAAACAGCAAAGACTTTCACATTTGTTACTCCTTCCATCTAACAGACACGAGGCAGGCTGGAAACCATATTAGTTACAGGGTGGATCGTTTATACAAATCCCGTGCAAAATAATCCCCCCCCCCCCAAATATAAATAGCAATCAACTAATTAGGGTTAGGTGCGCTGGAAATTCAACTTTTCGATTTATCCCTAAACTTAATCTGATAATTATTAATTTGTGATTTTGAACCACTTTGAAAGTCGCCGCCAACCGCTGTTTTAAAAGATAGGTTAACCTATGTTCCCTCCGAAATATTACGCAGGATACTCCCCTGTTTTAAGAGATAGGTTGACCTACTTTCTTTTCAAACTTTTTTCTCCCAAAATATTACACAAGATCACTTCGAAAATCCTCCCGTTTCATGAGCTAGCGTGACCTAATTTCTCATTTACATTTATATTATACTATTTCAGAGCTTACCCAAAGACAAGTAATTTTTAAATGTCAAAATGCCTTGGTTTGCGTGCGAGTTAGTTTGAATCGAGCAGAAAACATCATATATTGGCAAAATGTTTAGTAATGTCATGTACTTTCAGCATTCATAAATAGCACTCTTTGTAATGCTGCTGACCTAGTATTAAATATTCGCATCACAACGCCACTTGCGAGGTTTCCATATATTTCAATTACACTAATAGGAACGATGACACCAAAGAGTTTTCTTTTGCGAAGGTACACTAAATATAACAAGGGTGATTCTTGAGAAAAACATGAATATAAAAAATGATAGTGAATCCCAAATAATTTTGAGAGTGTCTCGAAGTGCCAATCCATTTGATAAATAATTTTTATTTGACCACATGAACGCTGATATCCTGAAAATTAATGTTGAAAGAAATTACGCATTCTCAGATATCGGACATCCAGTCACGATATTCAATCTTCATATGCACAAATCTCACATTAATAGTAATTGCTACCCAAGTTTGTAAAGTTTAGAAACCAACAAACAGAAAATAACTTATCCTAAAACACAATTAAAATTCAGTCGGCAATAAATTCGTCGCCAAGACGATGCCATACAAAACAAAAAAGATTTGGTCGCAAGAGTTACGTGAGATGACTGCCGTTGTTTTTTAAGCAAAATGTAAAAAAATTTATAATTAATAAACGGGAGTTACGACGCCCTTTACATATCGTGTGTATTAAACTTCCCTGGTAAGTACTATTATTATTGTACCTAAACACCTGTTGGAGTATTTCGGACAATTTCGAATTTAAAATAAATGAAAACCCGACATATAATAAAGACGCAATAGTAAAATGAACATTTATTGAAAAAGTTATTATTTAAGAAAGACAACATGATCGTACAATTCCGCCAAAACCTCGATGTTCGCAAGTGAAATGATAAATAAATACTTCCCTGTATTCGATCAATTAACTTTAGCGTATCGTTGTTCTGTCAACAAACAGCCGGGTTCAAAATATTTCCGTCCTGTGATATGCTCACAAATATTCTCGATATTAATATCATACCCTCGCGTATGTACTTTCTATTAGCTCTTTAGTGATCCCTTCCATCCTTGGCCAAGTCATGTTTCAAATATGTGAACATTTTATTCGACCATACATGGCCGGCAGGATGTTAAAATTGTAAACAAGAGAGAGGTAAAATCAATCGCGAATTTCGTTATAACGGCTCGTTTACGAATTGTTGCGCCTGTTATCGTCGAAATGATTACATTTGTTGTATTTTGAGGCATTTAATCAGTAATAATTAGGGCATGACATCATCAAATCGTCAAGTGAGATCTTGAAATTGCAAATTCCGTAAATAAAATTGTGAATTATTCGGTAACGAATTCAGCTTTAATGACCGTCGGGGTATTGTTTTGTTGAAAATTATTATTAATGTGAGAGCGCCAAAAACATACAGTCCATACCGATGCGACTGCAATTTATATGGTCGCAATTGGTGTGGCGCGTTTATTAATAGTGTAAAATAAATTAAACGAATATCAATTATAACCAAGCCTGTCAGCGTGTTTATTTTCTGTGGGCAGGAATCGTAAAATACCATCTTGAGACAAATTCACTTCTATTATAAAATCTTAATTTTCAGTTATTATCGTTATACAAATAACGTCCCCCACACTATTCCAAACGTGTGTCGAGCTTGAACGACAGGAACAGATTCATCGACGACCTTAATTAGGGAAAATATGTATTTTATTGGGAATGCAAAATAAATGAAACAAAACGCATTATTTTGTGATATAACTCTGTATTTTCGGAAATGTTTTATCTATCGTCTAACTAACGTCTGGAACACATCATTTTCGGGGAGAACTCTAGCCCGCGAAACGTCATTTAATTTAAAATAGAGAATGTTTCACGCATTTTAAAACGGAAAATCACCAGTAAGTGGACAGGGATTCAACCCTCCGGATTCAGTATTCTATATCCCCCGTGCCAGAACTTTCTGAAGAATGGAACAAAGAACCCGTCAAACCGCCGCGGAATAAGGGGAGTATTTTTTGCACTAATAATTAGGGCGTGACAATATCAAAATCGTCAAGAAACTGGTGAATTTGCAAATTCCATAAATAAAATTGTGAATTGCTCGGTAACATTTTAGCTATAATTGTCGCCGGGGTATTGTTTCGTTGAAAACACGTTGAAACTTGAGGGAATTAGTTACAATTAGCGCCTGACCTCTATTAAGCACTCGAGCACTCGAAAAAAAAAGCACTCGAGCCCAATCTTTTCAGCATTAAGTCGCATACGTAAAATATCCTGTAAAAGAAGTGCTGTTCATTAACGTCATCTCGTCTTATGACCACGCAGAAATGCCTTTATAGCCGAATTATTCGATCACTATTTCAAACCAATATTCAGGATTGGCACAATTTCAGATTTGCGAAGTTTATCACCATAGAAATACATGAGAAAGTTAACTATCGTCTTAATAAATATCTGCATCACGGTATGGACAATAATATTACCATTCGCATAAAATTGGGACGGTAAATTTACAAATCTTGATAGGTAATATTAAAGCCAACGCAAATGTTAATTTGAGTCCTCAAAGTCTTCAACATCTGTTGCCGATGTGAACGAACGGGTAAACCCGAAATATAAAACTTCGATGTCCGCCGACCCACAAGAATTCATATTTGTAAAAAAGAGAGGGCGGGAATATAGATTACCCAAAACCTGGATATCGCCGCCAAAACGATCGGTGACAAGAACATTTAGCGATTACAACGGAATTAACCAGTAAAAAGGCTTTGTTGCGATTTTTTAATGGTTTTCACCATGTTTATTTGGTACTCCTTAAAAATATTCGATTCAAAAAAATATTGAATTTTGCCCCACCCGTCCTCGCATATCAATGAGAAATAGTTGTTGTAAATATCGCAAAATTTCCGGAAAATGCCACGTCCTTTCAACATTGTGATTACAATAAAATGGCACTTAATGGTATTTTGTGAATTTGTTGAATTTGCAAATCTGTGACATGCTGCTAAAAGTTTCGTCTGATTTGAAAATCGTGCAGTTTGGTCCACATGACCACTCTGTTCAAAGAAACGCCCCGGGTGTGCTTGTATAATAATCATATTATAAACAAGAATTTTGCCGTTAATGCAAAAGCTATGTCTGCATCTCATAGGTTAGAATTCCGGTAAATATCGTTATGATATGCAGAACTGAGTTACAAAAGTACTAGTATGTTACTTATTTGTCAACTTAATACTCGAAAATATTTGTTAACTTTGAATTTTTATTCCATTCAAAATCGGAAAAAAGTGCTATTTCGCAGTCCCTAAAAAAAGTTCTTGCTTCGCAATTTTCGCAAAAAAGTGCGCTAATAGTGAACACTGATGGCCACTAAACGTGTCCAATAAGTCCTTTAAATCAGTGGTTCTCAAAGTTGATTGACCGGGGGTCCAAATTAGAAGCGGGAGAATATTCGTGGGCAGGAGAGAGGAGCTCCCACAAGGGGCCGTATTTGACCCGCGGTTTAGGAACCACTGCCTCAAATTTATAGTAGACAGATGAATTTGTACAGGTAATTTTCATCCGAATAATATCGTGGGATTTTTTTACATGTTGTCATTTCCCTGACAGTGTTCAATCTTACGTTCATCACCTCCCCAGGGTTTTATAAATTGAGTAGGCAATGTGTCCCCAAAAGACTTCAGGCAAATGAAGGTAGTCTCTTACACTGACATGAGCAAACTACGGCCCGTGGGCCAAATTCAATCTGGCTCTCCTGATGATGCCATAATCAAACTAAAACCTAATTTTGATGTTTTAGTTAATAATTGCTCAAGGAATTACATACAAAAGTCCCATATCTATTGAGAAAAAAATATCGAAAATTGCTAAATAGATAACAAAACACCATACCTTTTCAATAGTGAATAAATCTAACACTTGATTTGTTCCCATACTGTGCAAACTACTATTTTCTGTGCTGATCACCGTGTTCGCAATATTCAATTTGAATTGTTGTAATCCAAGTATTTTTTCCTTCGAGTGTTGCTCGAGTAATTAATCGATAAACGTTAACAACCCGTTTCTGTCCAATACGATGTGCACGATCCATCGCCTGAATAATTAACAAGGAAAGTATGTTGATGGATCAAAGGTTTTCTAATTTAGTAAAGCCTATTCGATTTATTAAAGTTGACATTTGAACAATACATTTCTAAACCCAATAAGATACTCAGAGATGATTTAGCTTGGACTACAAAGCTAACCCTAATCCTGAGTTCATTGATGGAAAAAAGAAAAACAATAAAATCAGACCTGTAAATCAACTGTAGGATTCCAGTCATGTTCAATAAATATAACAGTATCAGCTCCAGTGAGATTCAAACCCAAACCTCCTACTTTTGTTGTCAGCAGAAGCAAATCGATAGATGGATCATTGTTGAATCTATATGATATGTGATTGCACTTTATAATCAATTCTCAAATTACAATAAACACACAATTTCTAATTTTTCAATTTCAATTTCTTATTCGTTCATAGATGTGCATCAACATCGAAAAACAAAAAGTTGGAAAAAACTCTACATATAGAAAGTTAGAGTCTTTTATTGCAATGTTTGTTATCTACAGGGCAGTGAAACGCGGAAAAATTTCATCCGACTGCATTTAGGAAAAATGACTTCTAGTTAACAGAATTGTTACCTATAACACTCCGGGTTGAAGGAAATTTTGACACTAACGCCAGCCCGGAACTCCAAGAAAAACAAAATTGATCTCAAAACATGAGCATTCTTCAATTGTCTAATAAAAATGCTGCGGCCCGCGTAGAGCTTTTAATTTAGTTTGCTCTGGTACGTTCGACTGTTCGAGTAATACAAATACCTTCGTCTTGCAAAGCCTATACCCGAGTCCAATTTATCTATGTCTATGACTTTACAATGCCTCAACAGCTAGCTTGTGCAAACAACGCATGTCACACAAGATCAATAACCCAAACTTTTGTGCAAACTACTAGATAGCCTATGTTAAATGAAGGTGTGGCCTGAAGTCTCACCCAGTTATTTTTATCTGGCCCTCCAGTAATAAATGAAGCACACCCCTGGTCTTCATCATGAAAATGTGACTCTTACTCAATATTAATATCAATAAAAACACGTCAAACTCCGTTGGTTCTGGTTATCTGGTCTTTTCGACCTGTTATAATCATAATCATAAGCATAATCACCCAAACAATAGCAAAGAAAATCTTCAAAAAAATAAAGTCAAATGTAGATGCAAATAGCGCAAAAATATGTCAAGTAAACCAAATTTTACTTACTTTGATACAATTTGATGCCGATTTGCAGCAACAACAGAACCATCCAATCTCATAAAAGTAACAGATTTCATATGTTTTCTCAATAAATCATGTTCAACGATGTCCAGCATACTTTTATGTTGACAAAATATCAGAGCTCTGTGCTGTCCAACAACTGAATCTATGTTGTTACTGTTGTCTGTAGGAACTAAAAAATTTGAAATTTAAAGTTATGTTCTCTCCAAAACAGTGGTTCTCAAACTTTTCAAGTCACGCCCCATTTTTGGAAATTATTTCAAAAAACACATTGAAAATGCGGTGGATGGAACGTAAATAATGAAATGAACAAGCAAAATTTATTTTTCATTAGTGCAGTTGTTTTTGGCTGACAAAATGATAAATGTAAATATCCAAAAAAAGACGGGCAGGATCAAATCCAACAAATATTTTTCAATTTTAATTAACTTCACGCCCTCTCAAAAAATTGTCTACACCCCTCTAGTGGGGTGCGCCTCACCGTTTGAGAACCACTGCTCTAGAATATACTGTAGTCTAAGTCATTCATCGAAAACCCGTAAAAACAAATAAACAACTCCCTACCTCCGATTCCACAGTCGAGTAAAAGTTGTTTCAATGACATTAACTTCGATGAATGTTGAATATCGTGCAGAGAAGATTTATCTTTTGCTAATTCATTGATTACTTGTTGATATTCTGGATGACATGGAGTCAAGACTAATGCAGGATGATTGCATACTTTTTGTAGATATTGTAACGCCTGAAACATAGACAATGTCATCAAGGTTGATACAGACCAGTTACAATTTGATTTTGATTTGTTGGAACAACAGCACCCTCTAATCTCATGAAAGTCACAGATTTCATATGTTATGATAGCAGTTTATTAATTTATTAGAATTAATGTAGAATTATGAATAGAAAATTGAGAAATTACATTGGTAATTGAATTTTTTGAATATTATGTTGTATAAAATAACCATGGCCATCAAATTCAAATATAATGCTTTGAGTATCATGTTTGTGAAGTCGGAGCTTATCGTGTTTTTATTTACGTTGGAGTCTGAGAGAATGAGTAAGTTCCATCAAAAATCAAACAAATGGAAGTTTCATTTACTTACTTGAAATATGTGGGAAGTCTGCTTAGCACGAGAACCTTGAGTTTGTTCGGCACTGACATGAGTTATAGACGTGTCAACCTCTTTCTTTGCTTTTGTTTTTGCAAAATCTTCATACAGACGAACCTAGAAAAGATAGGTAAATATATCTTATATTATTGGTCTGTTCAATGCATGACTAAAATTGGAAATCACCATTTTTTAGGACATGATAGCGACTACCCCGAGCAAAAGGTAAAAATACAAAATTGAAAAAAAAAAGAAAGCTAAAAAGCAAATTTAATGTGAAATAACTGAAAATAGTTTGAAGAACTTATATTACTGGAGTAAAATGACTAAAAAAATAGTAAAATTCACATTTTTACGAGCTTCAACATCAAAATACAGGGAGATTCAAAGAAAAACAAAACCCATAAACTTCATAATTACTTCTTTGAAATTGAAGACATTTTTTAACATTTGAACTTCTGCTTGTGTATGATTGTACCCAAAAGTTTCAGTAATCTAGGAAGTTTTGCACAAAAGTTATGTTCCAAATGACACGAGTTCTGTTATTTTTTGAGCCACCAAGTTATAAGTTTAATACCAGTACGACAGATCTATTCACCTGTAATGGGCTGAGATTACAGTAATAATCTTGAATTATTTTTGGTGGAAGATCTTGTAAAACATCTTCTTTCAATCTACGAAGCATAAATGGTAACACTTGTCTGTGAAGAGCTTCCATTGCCATCACACCTAATGAAATAAAAATAATATAAAGCAAGAGAGAATTATCATTATTTGTCGAGCAAAAAAGTACATAAATATGCTATTATTACATTGATTATGCCATCGGCTGGAAAAAAGCGATATGCCCTGGCCGATCTCAAATTCATGTGCATTATTAGATTTTATGACAAGAAAGAATATGTCAAACTACAATAGTCACTAGGACAACTCATTGGCAGATGTTTTTTACTACAATAGATTGAGTGAATGAATATCAGAAATTCAGAATAAAATGTAATATACGATGATGCAATGAAGAACATAAGATTGGGTTGTGATACTATGAGTGCTGAAGAAAATCAGGTTTAAATGTTTTAACTAACTTTTGTGCATTATGATGTTAGCTAGATTCAAGAATCCTATCCCTCATGATTTGGCATATAATTCTTGTTATTTTCTGAGACTGTAACTCTGGTCTCATTTTCTCCAAACTCAAGAAAGGGTGCTCTAGATCTAGAAGTATGTGTACCAATATGGAGTAATGGAGGTAACTAATTTTGTTCGCCCATTTTACATCAAGTCGTGTAATGGGACGGCCTTATGGGCAGGGGGGATATTCACTTGGCTAACACAGACAGTCCCCGATCTCGCAATAGAAATGAAAATAAGAAAAATTGGAATAAAATTATAGCCTAACCCTAACCTAGTACACATACTACGGAGTACCCGAAAAAGAGTTCGAAAAATGGCTCTCAATCACTTCCCTTCCCCCAGTAAAACTGTGTAAATACCATTTTCTCGTACTTTGTGCTTGAAGTTTTTTGTTGTTTGGTGGCATACTTATAGTTTTGGATATTCAGAACCAATTTTGATTAAATATTGAGCGGATCTTTACAAGTTTGCTACATTATACAGAGAGAGATGAAAGAGTTTGTTGTTATAACCTCGATTGGCTTCAATGTATTTGCAAATTACTTGGCTAATATACGAATAACATCCAATTAGTCACGTTGCTGCTGTTTGTCCATGCAAACATAAACTCCTAGCGACGGAATCCTATGTTACAGCGTAAAATTACCCTTTTTTAATTTTTATCACAAAAGAAAGCCCAATATAAGAAGCAATTATACACTCCCCAACAACTACAGTGTGCTATAAAATGCTCAGTCATTATTTATAAAGTTAATCAGATTACTTTATACTGCCTATCACATTTTCATATACATACCTTTCCAAAAAAATTATTAAAAAAGTTTCAAATTAAAGAAAAACTTATATTGTATTAAAAGGAAACAATACAATGTCATTTGCAAATTCGACAGAAAAGGCTCATTTCCTGTGCTAACCTCTATGAGCAATGAATACGTCAGTCATCTTACAAGCGTGAGATTAGTTCACAGCGAACGTTTTATATCAACCTTTAGTGTATTACCTGTATGTTATGCACTGGGTGTTCTAAGAGTCTTAAAATTTTGCAAATTGCAGATGAAATTAAACCTCAACAGTTGTATTAAGATAGTTAAAAAACTTACATAAACACTGAATAAATAACACAAACCTAGTTGAGATATATTGAGAACTGACTCCATAAGAAAATTAAAATTGTAATAAGACTTTATGGCATTTGGAACATATTCTAGAGAAAACATAACTTTCTGTACCTAGCGTCCTTGATTACTGAAACTTTGAGTACAATCATACACAATCATGAATTCAACGGTCAAATATTTTTTATTATTTTGTAGATGTAAATAAAAATTTATGGGTCGTGTTTTAGGGGGTGTTATCCTGTAGTTGCGTTGCTTGCTCTTCCTGGTTTAAATCGGCTTACATATTTTCATCACTTTAGTTAAATTTAGAAATAAAAGTTTCGGTTTGGCAGACTAGATGCTTGTAGTCCAAACACACAAACAAATCACACACGAAACATGTGACGCAGATTATGAATAACAGACAGCATACATCACTCGTCACTGGATCATTGTTAAATATTAACAGATACAATCAATAGGTGACACGAGATGAAGGGAAAATGTGAAAAGCCTAATATCTATAATGTATTGAACAGTAGAGGATTAAAATTTAAATCAGCTAGTGAGCATATTGAAGCAGTCAGATTTGAAAAGATTGTTATTCTATTTTTACGAAGACAGCTAAAAACGGCTTTTAACAAAGGAAGGACCAGAGTACAATGGTGTCTAGAGTGAAGTGTATAGAACATAAGTATTGACACAAGGAAAAAGACAAAGAAATACACCGGTATATACTTGGAAATGAAATAGAATCGAAATTACTTTATAACAAAGCTATGAAAGCTAGAATATAATATTCCTCTTACTAATTAATTAATTCAGATATCAAAACCGTATTACAGAGTAACAACATCACGATATATAGGCCTAACAAATGAAAATGATCAGAAAGTTACCTACGATATTACTAATATTTGTGGCCTTATTGAGCATTGGATTCACTTATGCAGAAGAAAATGAGGACGGCAGTGGGGTGAGATCTTATTAATTATCATCAGTTTAATAACTTATTAGCAATGTAAGGTTAGGCCATATTTTTATTCAGATTTTCCTTAAGCTTTCCGGTTGAACTGAGAATATATTAGTTCTATTACAAGTTTGGGGACTGTCTGTGTTAGCCAAGTGAATATCCTCCTTCTCCAAGGTTTCAGTCCCTTTATACAACTTGATGTAAAGTAGGCGAACAAAATTAGTTACCTTCATATTGTTACATACACTCTCGGATTGCCCAATTATGTAACATGTAGTGCTATCATAAAGCTGAAATGTGTTTTAAAATATTCAAAGCTAATAATATTATTTGCGAGAATATTCAATCTAAAAACCTTTAACAACTTATGACAAAATAATGTTAGCTTTTAATCACCGCTCTACAGAATAGCTCTCAACCCTTTTTCTCTAATTTATCATTTTACAAATTTTAAAAGTGTTAAATGGATATATATTTTAACTTCCACAAATATCTATAATACCTCAAAAGACAAAAAAGACTTTCAAACGAATTTCAATGTAGAAAATAAAGCACATACCAATGCTAATCTCAACCCACAAGTAAAATTTACTCGAAACGCATGTTAAATTAAGCCCTGGTCCTACAGGGTAAACTAAGCCCAAGTTGAGAACCCCCAATTTGAGCCACTGTATTTATTATTATTTTCTAGAATGAATCATGTAATATTCCTAATATTGTTTCTATAAATATGACTAAACATCTGATTTTAAATACAATTTTCAAACTTTATTACCGGTGAAATTATAAAAATCGAAATTCAGGGTGAAAGACGACGATAAACCAATTTTGGTTTTGGCGTCTCTTTTCACCCTGAATTGCAATTTTTATAATTTTTTTTGATTTTATGTTTGTATACTTCGTATTTTAAGTATGATGAAGAAATAAATTACTAATTAGGTTGGAAAACGTAGAGTTACAAAGTCATTTGCCTCGGACTCACGACAATATTTGATAAAATAAACTCACAAATTTTAAAATCACAAAATTCTAAAAATTTCAATTTTTTTTTAAAAATTAAAAGATTGTTTAAATTTTCTATCTTTTTTCTCAGGATATACCAGACTCAACAATGATCCCAATAACAAATAAAACAGGGGAAGGTGAAGAAGACAACACTTCGAATATGACAACAATGCAGATCATATTTGTGACTTCTATATGCTCGATTCTTACAGTTGTTCTGCTTGCAATAATAACGATATATGTTTGTGGAAAAGTGAGTTATTTAGTTTTTAAAAAGTATATTACACAAATATATACATTTAGATCCTGCCTATCTTCTGTTAATACCCACAAATGGTCAAAATTGGATAATATACTATTTGGAATACATTTTAGACTAATGTTTTAAGATATGGACTGTTTTGATATATTATAAATTGGGTCAGGTTCAACAGAGAAATTTACAGAAATCATTTGGAAATGTTTAGATTAAAAAAACAAATGATTTACACAGTTTTACTGGGGGAAGGGAAGTGATTGAGAGCAATTTTTCGAACTCTTTTTTGTGTACTCTCGTAGTATGTGTACTAGGTTAGGGTTAGGCTATAATTTTATTCCAATTTTTCTTATTTTATTTCTATTGCGAGATGTCTGTCTTAGCCAAGTGAATATCCCCCCTGCCCATAAGGCAGTCCCATTACATGACTTGATGTAAAATGGGCGAACAAAATTAGTTACCTCCATTACTCCATATTAGTACACATACTACTTTCAAATGATTTAGTATTTTTATAATGTCAAAGGTACTCTATTCTCGCCGACTCCCGAACAACAAATAATTTTAAAATGGAAATATTGTTCCTTAAATCAAATATTTAATAATCAAATATCTCCAATTTGGAATTTTTCAAAACTCTCATTTTGGATAGCATAGGTTTGGGTATTTTGTAAAAAAAATTTCACTCTAACGAAAATGATATTGTGTCTTTAATACTGAACTATTAGTGATTGAAAATGGTCGTTAGACTATAAGAAAATATAATGTTGATTGCTTGATCCAACAAGTCGCCTATATAACAACATTTTAAGGGTTATATAAGTACCTTGAAATAATTTTCAGGATACAGATTTCAGGATAAAAATTTTCAACAGTAAAATGGAGGATGAGATTCAAAAGCTATTTGCGATATGTAACTAGCCTATTCGCAGACGATTCCAGTTTTATTAACACTTAAAATGATAGTAACGCAATGATGGAAACATGACCAATACAGAGACAACAGAAAATCAAGACATTTTCAGCCCATCATTTTTACTGACAACATAGTTTATACTAAGTTATGAATGCACTGGAAAGCATGATTGGAAGAATAATATACAAATATGAAAAATGACGCACATCGTACCACTCTATAGAGACAACATCCACTGATTTTAATTCATACATTCGAAAACCTTTCTTTTTTACAGAAAAAAACAAGCGAGCGATGTTACGGTCCAGTAACTTTACTTCATAATGACATGGCAAACCACGATGAAGACGACACTTTATACATGGTTGATTACGATCATGTCGCAATGAATCACTCCAAATTATCAATTACGATAAACTCTGAGCTGAACGAAAAATGATGTGCGTACCGGAGAACATTTGAACAGACGTAAACAGTGAAATACATTATTATTCCGAGCATTTCATAATAACAACAAACTTATCAAGCTGGTATATTGAAAATTAGTATTGACAGACAAATTTATTAATCTGCGTTTATGATGAAATTACCAGAAAAAGCACAAAAAGAACCAGTGCCCTTATTTATAAACCTATATTCAAGAAGGCATCTAAAATCGAACTATAACAATACTTAAAACAAGGTACAATGTCTGTCCCTTTCAATAGACAAGACAATGAAGTGGACGTAAAAACTACATTTTCTCTATGCAATCTATGTCAAATTGAAATCCATGATATTGGTAAAAAATGTTTATTCCACAAAATGTTGTTGTAGGAATGTATTTTAAATATACAGGGAATTCATAAATTCCTGATAAAAACAGATAAAGAAACTTGATGTGCTTTATGAACTAATAGTGGCCATATATAAAGGTGTAATGAATGCTCAAATAAATACTAATTAAAATAAAACAAACTTGGTTAAGATATACTGAGAACTGACTTCATAAAAAAATTTCGAAATTGTAACAGGAAGTTATGAGCACCCTGTTCAAATGTTACACATTATTTATTTATACTGTTATTCCATTTTGTCTGTGCAATAGACAAATAGTACTTTAATTTGTAATGTTATGTTGGTTCTTATTCCACTTTTTTTTATTACTGTTATAAAATCTAATGTACATATTGTCAATGAACAACTATGCTTCAAAAAATAAACTTTAGTTTGTACAATGTGGTGAAACTATAAATATAGTGAGTGACGCAGAATTATGAACTTGAAATTTCAATTTTTATAAATACTTTTAAATTTCCTGATATTTATATACATGTAACTGTTGCATCATTTTTCATGTCTTTTTGTCCGAACATGGCCCCGTAAGAGCAACCACTCTTATGTAAAGAGCTATTATTTTTTGGTAGGGCTGGAACTTTCCAGTTTGGGGTGAGGTAGTGACATGAGATTTGATCCAGAGGTGTGTAGCTTGCAATGCCAGCACAGTTGAGCCAAAAATATTAGATTTTAACTGTTAGGCCAGTGGTTCCCAACTTCTGTCATTGATTTCCTCCCTTCACCTAATTTGAAACTCATTATTCCTCCCTTCCTATGCATAAAAAGTACCTCATTTATTTCAACCTAAATGGGATCCTTAGACAGTGTTATGCATAAGTCGCTCCCAGTTTTTGTACAGTAAAAATAGTTTATCATTATTAGTCAAAGAATTGCAAAAGCAAAATTTCGCCCCGGTTAGGAAACATTGATCTGGGCCTGACATGGGCAAACAGCGACTCGCTGGCAAAATTGTTGGGTAATTCAATCTGGCCCGCATGATACTGCCACAACCAAACTAAAACCAAATTTTGATGTATTAGCTAAAAAAAAAGCTCAAGAAATTTGTTGAGATTGAGATTAAATTTAGTTTGGTCATGAGGCTTATTCTTTTTCACTTTTGCTATAAACATTGTTCATAAAATGTAAGTTTTAATGTCTTGCTTAAGTGGGCCGCAAGTCTGGGTGGGCAAAATTTTTGGCTCCTGGTCCACTCCGGCGCTAGGCCATTGTGCCCATAACAAGAATATGAATCATTCAAACACTTTTTATTGGAATTAGTCAAGTAATTTAAAACAAAGTGTCAGGATTTACGATTTAACATTATAGTAAATATTTTAATCTCTTGCTTCTAACATAGGTTTGAGATGGATTTAACTTTAAAGTGAGAACTACTTTTATGCATTAAAAATACCTGTATAATATAATAACACTATCACTGTGCACTTAACAGAATGAGTGTGATTTCCTATATTATGTTCATGTGTTCAGAATATTGAATATAAATTGTGTTCATAAATTCATTCTTTTAAGTTAATACTAAATCGCTTGTACTTTGTATATTGATATTTTACCAAATAAAACAATTGAAACTTTGAGAATGAGTTTCTTCTTTTGAAGGTAAATGCAGGGAATCTCAACCTTAATTTTCTCGTTTACGATTTGGTACATTTCAAAAGTGAAAATCTACCCCTTCAAAAGTTTGAGTGAACTATGAAGAAGGGCACAAGACAAAATATACTGCCCTCAGCAAGAGCATAGTAGATATCGATTGCGCAAGAGATCTTCTACCGTGGTAGGAACCCCTCCACCTTGCAGTAGCAATAATATTGTAAATTAATTTACAACAAACCTTCTTCTTGCTCTTTTGAAGAACATTTTGCATCACGACTTGCGAGGATTGGTTTTCCATATCGACAATTGAATTCATGTTCTGATCCGAGAAAGCCAGGCATCAGAAAATCAAATAATGACCATAATTCCAATACACTGTTCTGTAATGAGAAAAGTCTAATTAATCAACTCACACAAGACAATAACAAGACAAGACAGAATAGTTCATGACTGAAAGCAAGTCCACAAGCAATTACTGAGATTTGAATTACCAAAAAAAAAAAATTTTCCTTATCGAAATCGGAATTCACTGTGAACTGAGTTATTGCGGATTGAATGTGAAATGAAAAACTTGAAAATTTGAATAAGTGATTGGTACAAGCAGAGAATGCATTTAATTACAATGAATCATATATCTTAACTTGTCAGCATTTTTGAATCCAAAGTCATAGAATACACATGTTTGTTCCTTGCTAAACATGAGCAATACAAAATATATATGTATTCTATGTTTAAAAATAATATTTTAAAATTTATTTCAACTGGTTTTGCTATTCTATGTATATTCATTTGAAACCGAACATGTTTGCCATCAGCAGGGAAGTCCAAAACGAATCAAATATTCAAATATATATTAAAAATTAATTATATTCAATATAGTAAATTTTTGAATTTAGGAATAATTTAGAACTTTTTTATTAAAAAATTTGGGATTTTGAGTCGTCACTGTCAGATAAGTAGACCAAACCGCACAACATCTCAATTGGTATAAAATTTGTTTCGTTTCGAATATAACCAACATGTAGATATGGTGATTTGTGTACTTTCCACATAAACTTGCCACCAATTTAGAATGTGTTCAATATTTCACACTCGAAAACATTTTCTCATAATGTATTCGGAATAGTGAAATATTCGTTTTTTGCATCTCTGGCCCTCAGAATATTAAATTTAAAATTTAATAAATCAAACTAAAATAAAACGATCATGCTTACTTGGATTGGAGTTCCTGTCAATATTAGTCGATGATTAGAACGCAAACTTTTTATACAAAGAGTTAATTTACTTTTTCCATTTCTTATCATATGTCCTTCATCCAATATACAATAATTCCAATCAAATTTACTATAAACATAAGAGAAATAAAAAGTTTATCAAGAATATTGAAAATAGCATTTAAAAAGTGTTTCAATGACGATACAAACTGACTATCGAACACACATAAGAACATATTCAAAGTAAAGGCCAACTCCGAATAATTTACGAGTTGGGTTGCGTGGCGAGAATGAATAGGATTTTGAATGTTAATCACAATTCAAGTAAAAATCTTGACACATTCATGGTGCATTTCATCATTATAATATTTAGGATTCAGGCTTTTCCATATTTATTCCACGGCGAAAGGAAAACAGATAAGACGACTTAATCGAATCACAGCTTCTTGTTCGGTCAACAGTCCTTGTCCAGACTATGAACATAGTTGACCAGGTATTTGTTTCAAATGCATAGACATGAGGCATTCAAATAAGTCATGCCAATCAAGGACAAATTGTTAATGTGTTATCACTTATAAATAACTTTCCAGGGCCATACTTAATTGCACATCACTTTGCAAGTCCAAGCTTGTTTATAACATGTTAAAGAAATAAGTTCTCTCCTGTTTAGTAAAAGGAGAGACACTAAGAAAAAGGTTGGCGCCTTGCCAATGATGATGCAATACCAGTCTTGCTCAATTTCTTTGTTTCTTTTATTCTCTTGAGTTAAAACGTTTTTCTTGCAATGTAGCACTGTATGTGAAAAGGTGTTTTTGGCGAGAGTGGAGATAATAGAATTTCTTGTTGCAACTCGAGGTTGTCAATTATTTGTGTGCCTTAGTTTGGGGCTATTTACATGGTAGCAGAGGATGGTTCCCTGCTTTTAATATTTTGCTGAAGAATATATATTATATAAGATGTCTACTGACAGTCCAAGTGGAAATCCTAGCTCAAGTGTGAGTGTACCTAGTTCAATTCAAAATGTGAGTACAAGACAAAAATCCTCCAAAATTCCATGATGGAATATCTTATGCAAATTGGAAGAATAAACTTGAAATGTGGACTCTTGTAACCGGATATGCCAAAAAGGAGCAAGCTATAATTGTGCTTCTGACTGCATTTGAGGGCAATAATAGAGCTGAAAAAGCTGCTTCTGAGTTTAATGCTGATCAGCTACATACAGAAAATGGCATGAAGACTTTGCTTAATAAGTTGGATATGGTTTTTAAGAAAGACCAGGTTGATGATGCTTATGAAGCTTATGCAAGGTTTAACTGTTTTGAAAATTGTGCGATGTGGGAATGAACGATTTCATTGTTGAATTTGAACATCGATACCACAAAATGAGTGAACATAAGATGGAACTCCCAGATTCAATTTTGGCTTTTAAACTTATCGATGCAGCAAAAATTCAATCTTCAGAAAGACAGCTTGCATTCACTCTTGCGAGCGATATGAAATACGATACAATGAAGTCAGCTCTAAAAAGGATTTTTCCAAGCAAACCTCTTGGAAATGAAAATGATGATGAAAATGCGAAGGCAATCAACATAAAGGCAGAGGCATATTATGCAAACAGAAAGTATTTCGGCCAAAGACAGTTTTTCAAACCTGACATGAAAAATAAACAGTACAATCCAAAGAATAAACTTGGAGAGATATCCAGATGCGCTGTGTGCGACTCAAAAATGCACTGGGCTGACAAATGTCCTCATAACCCCAGGCACAAAAGCGTACATGTAGCCGAAGGAATCGATGATCCTCGCCCTTCAAAATGTCAACCAGATAGTGATGAAGAAGTTGTTGAAAATCCGATGGAGTTTGTGAATGCTATTTTTCTTACCGAATGTCAAGACAATGAAATTTATGTTACAGAAACATCTGGTTGTGCTATTCTCGATACTGCATGCACAAAGACTGTCTGTGGTGAGAGCTGGTTCAGTGACTATGTTGACAAATTGGATGACAACTTCAAGAAGTCTGTCAAGATCCAGAAGGGTGGAACTGGTTTCAAGTTCGGAGATGGGAGAGAAGTAATTTCCACCAAGAGTGTTATGCTTCCAGCTATCATTTCAGGTGCGTTATGCTACATTAAGGCTGACGTGGTGAAAGATAAATTGCCTCTGCTGTTAAGTAAGTCAACACTGAAAAAAGCAGGGACAACAATTAATCTTGAAAATGATGAAGCAATTATGCTGGGAAAGCCTGTTGAGCTCCAGTTTACCACAAATGGACATTATTGTATTGATATACATCCTTGTCAGGCTTCAAAGATTCAACAAAGAGACAGAAAAGATGTGTTCACTTCATCAATTTATACAAAGTCCGATAAAGAAATGAGAAAAGAAATTTTGAAATTACACAAACAATTCGGCCATGCTTCTGAAGATAATCTGATTCGACTAATTAAGACTGGAAACAAGAGCTTGAGTTCTGACATAACATCAATCATTCGAGAGGTGACAAATGAATGCGAAATTTGTTTGTTGCATAAAAGAGCACCTCCTAGACCAGTGGTCGGTTTGCCTCGATCTAATGAAGTAAACGAAACTGTGGCTCTTGATTTGCATCAGCTTGGACCAAGCCTTTGGTATTTACATGTCATTGATGAGTTTTCTAGATATAGTAACGCTGCATTGATTCACTCAAAATCACCAAAAATAATCATTCAAAAGTTTTTGCAGTTCTGGGTGAGCATTTTTGGTGCACCACGCAGGGTAATTTCCGACAACGGTGGAGAATTTAATAATGAGGAATTTCGTGATATGTGCGAAAACTTCAACATCTCTGTAAAGACAACACCCGCCTATTCACCATGGTCAAATGGTGTGTGTGAGCGTCATAATCAAATACTCACAAATATTCTTATAAAGATCAAGAAAGATGTTCAATGCAACTGGGAGACAGCACTTGCTTGGTCAGTTTGTGCAAAGAATTCACTGGTTAACAACAGTGGATTCAGTCCAACCCAGATTATGTTTGGAAGAAATATAAACCTGCCATCTGTGATGAAAGATGATCTACCTGCCCTGGAAGGAAAAACAATCAGTGAAAAAGTTGGTGAACATATCAACACATTGCATGCCTCAAGAAAAGCATTCATCGAGGCAGAATCGTCACAAAGAATAAGAAGGGCATTGCGAAGCAACACACGACCATATAGTGGCAATTTTGAAATTGGGGAAGATGTCTACTATAAAAGGAATGACAGCAATGAATGGAAGGGACCAGGACGAGTTTTAGGAAAAGATGGTGTGTTGGTATTCTTGCGGCATGGTGGACAACTCATAAGGGCACATACAAGCAGAGTCCAGAAATTGAAGCAGAACAACAACACGCTCAATCATGTCTCCCGTCAAATTGACGAACAACAGAGCGAGATTTCAAATGATACTGATTATGAAAAAACTGAAATTTCACAAGTTGAGGAAACAGCTTTGCCTGAAACACTGCAAGAAAGGCATCCGGATTCATCTGAAGAACAAGCTCATATTCCTTGCCAGAGTTGTAATGAAGAACCAAGCTATGATCAGGTCCACAACATGGTTCTCAAGAAGAATCAAATGGTTACATTTAAAAATGATGGAATTTTGTGTGAAGCAGAAATCTTAAACAGGGCAGGAAAGGCAACTGGCAAATATCGGAATTGTTTTAATGTTGAATATAAATCACCTTCACATCTTTCTGGTGTGAAGCACTGTGTTGATTTTGATCAGGTTCAAGAACTGCAAGTGATACCACCTCAACAAGAATCCATGGTTCTAAATAATGTCAGAAAGAAAGTCATGTATTCGTCACGGAAGATATTGATTTTGATGAAGCTAAAGCAAAAGAACTGCAAAGCTGGCAAGAAAATGATGTGTTTGATGAGTGTGCAAATGAAGGCCAAAAATGCATATCTGTGAAGTGGGTGTGTTCCCTAAAGAATACAGACAAAGGAATATTACCAAAAGCAAGACTTGTAGCTCGTGGTTTTGAGGATCCTGACATTGATAATGTGGAGAAAGATTCACCCACTTGCAGCAAAGATGCTTTGCGTACTGTGATTGCCATCACAGCTCAAAAAGGTTGGAGATTGCAGAGCATAGATATAAAAACTGCCTTTCTGCAAGGAGAGAAACTGCAGCGGAATGTATACCTCATTCCTCCTAGAGAAGCTAAATGTATGCCAGGAAAAATTTGGAGACTCAAAAAGTGTGTCTACGGCCTTACAGATGCTTCCCTGCAGTGGTATGGTAGGGTAAAGCGTTTTATGTTGGAAAATAAAGGGAAAATGACAAAGAATGATCCTGCAGTGTTCTGCTGGCATGAAGCAAAATCATTGCAGGGAATAATTGCAGTTCATGTTGACGACTTTCTATGGGCCGGAACAGTAAAATTTCAACAGAGTGTGCTACCCAAGCTGCGCGAGACATTCAAAATTGGGAATGAAGAATCTAAAAGCTTCAAGTATATTGGAATTGAGATTGACCATGACAAAAATGAAGTTTTGCTCAATCAAACCGAATATATTTCAAATTTGGCTCCGATAAAGATACATTCTGGGCGAAATAGTGATGATTCAGTTACAATCAAAGAGCGAGATGAATTGAGATCAAAAATTGGACAATTTTTATGGGTCAGTGGCCAAACAAGACCGGACATTGCATATGATGTATGTATTCTGGCAACCAATTTCAAAAATGCGACTGTGAGAGATTTGTTTCTTGCAAACAAAGTCTTGCGCAGGGATGGCCAATATCGAATAGTTCACTATTTCGAATACATTCGAAATTATTTTTTTCGAATATGAAATTTCGAATACTTCGGAAATAAAATCCACTAATTGAAGCTTATCTAAATGTATGTAGGAATTTCCATATAATAAGCAATGGAATAACTGCTATCTACAAGTTACAACCTAGCTATATTACCAGGCACTTCATATTTGCAGATTATTGCAGTATATTTTATATACCACGAGTCATGTTAACAGAATTAAATTAATACGGCAATAGTGGTATCGATGATGGATTTGAATATTTGCATAACACAAAATCATCCTAGTAAAACGCCCATACTTTTAAATACCAACCTTTATCCAAATTATTTGCCAAAAAGTGGGACTTGTGACAACTTTTTCGTGAGTACAAAAATACGAATCAAAAATTAATTATATTCGGGAACTTTACCACACATTTTAAGTCCGCAGATCGTCGTTGTATGTTTGAGTAATAATACTTTTATTATTTTATAAATATGAAAAAAGGAATCAAAAACTATTTATAATTGTGTAGTTTACCACACATTCTAAGTCCACAGATCGCTGTTGTATTTTGTAAATACGAAAATAGGAATCAAAAATTAGTATTAATCGCGAGTTTGCCTCACAATTTATGTCCACAGATTGCCGTGATATTGTGCCGAATATAATTAGTTTTTGATTCTTATTTTACGAAAAATTGTCACAAGACGGAAAAAGAATTTATACTTTACCCCACTCTTGGGAACTAATTTGGATAATGGTTGCCATTGGTTTGTATTTAAGAGTATGGACTTTTTACTAGGATGATTTTGTGCTGCGCAAAATATTCGAATCCATGACCGATACCCCTTTTTAAAATGCCTGACCGTGTTAATTTAATTCTATTATCATAACTCAAATGTTGGTAAATCGGGCAGTTTGCCACACATTTTAAGGCCACAGATCGCCGTTGCATTTCAGAATTATAATAGTTTTATTATTTTGTAAATACGAATCCGAAATTAATTATAATTGGGCAGTTAACCACGTATTTCATGACCACAAATACCCGTGGTATTTGGTATTAATACTTTCATTATTTTATCAATATAAAATTGGGAATCAATATTTAATAATATCGGTCAGTTTACCACACATTTTATGTCCACAGATTGTCGATACAACCATGAGTTACATTGAACAGAATTAAATTAATACGGCATGACATTTTAAATGCTGGTACCAGTCATGGATTGGATTATTTTGCGCAACAAAAAATCATCCTGCTAAAGGATCGATACTTTTAACTATCGTTATCAGAATTATTTGCCAGAAATTATTTTCTAATAAATGACTTGTTTTTCCAACTTGTGACAATTTATTGGATATCGTAACAATGACGGCTATAAATACCGTATTTCCCGGCTAATAAGTCTACATGGCAAATAGGACGATGTCTATTTTTAGCACTCAAAAAAGGGTTTTTTCCATACAGGCCTCCAATAAGACGGGTAGAAAAATTGTGTGTCCCTGTTGTTCAGTTATGCTGATATGCGCTAATAATTTTATATGTTTAGAACCAGATCATGTTAGTTTGGTAGAATCATACTTACAGAATTAACTATTTTTAACAATTGAGCGGTAAATTTAAGTTGTAAAACGGCAATCATTTTGGACAACCTATTAACCCGAATGTTGAAATAATTTTGGAATGTGATAAGTAACACACTGTACGTCCACGGGTTATTTCCCAGCTGTGTTTTCCTGTCCCTGTCGTGTTCTGCTGAATCGGCAAAACGAAAGGGTCACAAATCACTTTATCTCGGTGGCCGTGTTTCTCTTTATTAAAGTAACGATAACCGGTCTGCGATTAAATATCATGATTGGCAGACCCTAAGACCCAAATATAAGGTTACACAAATCATGCTTGAGAAGACTCATGCGAATAAAAACAGACCACATAGAACTACATACTTTCTCAATTAGACGCCCCCTAGAAAAGCGACTTATTGCCGGGAAATACGGTAATTGTCAATTTTTCGACGTAATGGAAATTAATTTGTAAATTAAAAGCCTCCTAGACGAATGTCGGCAATGTCCACCCACACAAACGTGCAAATGTGTCGCAACACTATGCGACGTACGGTCGCACAGAATATAAACAATCAAAGTGCCGATCGTCATTACAATACGTGAGACAGCGTAAAAAGTCGTTTGAAGATTCCCATAAAACGAAACACCACGATTACAGCGAAAAGTGGCTACTATTCGGAATTATTCGAAAAACAGCCGAAAAGGTATTCGAATACTTTGATATTCGAATACATTCGAATATTCGATTCGTTTTGGACAACCCTGGTCTTGCGCAAATTGAAGTCAAACCCATTCAGCTTGAAATTTCAAAATCTAGGACCGAATGAAAATCTAAATCTTGTCTGTTACACTGATGCATCATTTGCAAGTCTGAATGATGGAGGCAGCCAATCTGGAAGTCTTGTATTTCTGGTAGGAGAAAGTGGATACTGCAATTTACTAAGCTGGGAATCAAAACGCATCCGTCGAGTTGTCAAGAGCTCTTTAGCAGCTGAAACTTTGGCATTATCAAATGGCATTGACACAGCAGCGTTTGTGGCTTCATTGTTTGCTGAAATTTGGAATGGTGACATCAATGATGAAAAGCTACCTATCGAATTGGTGATTGACAATCTTTCTTTATACGAGGCGATTAAATCAAATAAACAGGTTCAAGATAAGAGACTACGAGTGGATATTGCAATTGTGAAAGAAATGATCAAAAACAAGGAGGTTTCAAATGTTTACTGGGTTGAAGGAAAACTACAGCTGGCAGATACCCTAACAAAGAGTGGAGTATCATCATCAAAACTTGTGGACATTTTATGTAATGGTCAATTTTAATTTAAAAAGAAAAACTGGGGAATATGTTAATGTGTTATCACTTATAAATAACTTTCCAGGGCCATACTTAATTGCACATCACTTTGCAAGTCCAAGCTTGTTTATAACATGTTAAAGAAATAAGTTCTCTCCTGTTTAGTAAAAGGAGAGACACTAAGAAAAAGGTTGGCGCCTTGCCAATGATGATGCAATACCAGTCTTGCTCAATTTCTTTGTTTCTTTTATTCTCTTGAGTTAAAACGTTTTTCTTGCAATGTAGCACTGTATGTGAAAAGGTGTTTTTGGCGAGAGTGGAGATAATAGAATTTCTTGTTGCAACTCGAGGTTGTCAATTATTTGTGTGCCTTAGTTTGGGGCTATTTACACAAATAATGGTTTATAATAAAGAATGCATACATTACATATATAATTTTCTTAATACTACAGAAATTTAAGCTTGACATTAAATAAAAGATACCTGAAAAATTCCACATCATTTCGAACAACTTCATATGATGCAATCACAAGGTTATGTTTCGACAATTTTGTTTGTAACCTGAAAACACAACAAAAAAAAAGTCAAGAAAAACATATTTTGAATGGAACCATTCAAATCATAACATAACAAATCATAACATAACAAATCAAACTCGAAAAATAAAAATAGTAGCTTTTTACCAACCCATCCTGTCTCTATATACTGAAAATTTAAAATAGATTGGTATATTATTTGCCTAGAAAAGCACAAATCTTTACCAACAACAACAAGGATAACAACAACTACATAAATAACAACAACAACAAGTAGAACAACAACAATTCTGATGTACACTTCATGTCGAATAACAAAATCAAACTAACCTCTGTCTCTCTCTTGGATTACCAACATAATGCAACGGATCAAGATGACTTTTTCCGCAAAATCTCTCCACCTCGTCCACCCAGTGACCGGTCAGTGTTGGAGGGCAAATCACAAGAGAGGGAATAGGTGCACTTGCACTATCATTAGTTTCCTAAAGTTAGAAAAAATAATAAATATGGCGCTGAGGATAGTTTACTGGATAATTGGTTCATCCGGAGATCCCTAAATTTGTGAGCTATTTTCTGTAGATGTTTTAATGCAGCGTATTTACTAGATCCAAATAAGGTTCTGCGTAAGGAGCCCTTGCAAGGAGCTACAATAATTTGAAAGGACAAGGATCTTTTTTGTTTGGCAAAACCTACCAAATTTCCTACACCCTGGTTGAGGTGGTGGGCATGGGATTTAAAACCAAGATTTCAACCTGAAATGCCATCAGTGTAAAGATTAACGTTTTTCCCGACTAGGCCAGCAGTTCGCAAAGTGTCTGCTGCAAAAATTACCAGAATTGTGCTGAAAAACTAAAAATATGAGATATTCTACATATTGTATTTATTATTTTTTTTTTAAACGCTGCGTATATAAATCAATTAATTCATTTTAAGTTTCTATGCCATAACAATAGATAGACGATACTTGCAGCAATTTCGCGAGTGGCAGTTTATTTATCTGCTGACACGTATTTTGCGAATATGAGTGATTTTCAAGTATTCCCAAGAAAAATCAGGCAGAACTGAGGAAGAACAGTTGATTTTTTGCCTTTAGGCCTACATGTTTACAAACTTTAAAAGGTATAAAGTACACACTAACTAACTATCACAAAATTTTATTTCAAAAGCAGAATTTTTTTTTTCGAGGAAGTTCGCCATGAGTTTTTTCTCTGATAATTTGGCGCTGCACGAACAAAAATTTTGCGAACCGCTGCACTAGGCCATCACTCATAAGTCATAACTAGGTATATTTTCCTGAAGTAGTGCTGAAGACTTGGAATTTATGATAGCAATGATCAAGCATTCAATGAACAAATGAATTGAGATGAGATTCCCAGTTTTACTAATAACTATCTCAAATAACAATTGGTTATGTGAACCCCAGAAATAACAGAAAATAAGATTTCAATGAATGTAAAAAATAAAAGTTAGTTTATGTTACTTACATGAAAAGTTTTAGCACGATAGAAATGATCTGATGCCAGAATGCAAATTGATTGAAGAGTTTTTCCAAGTCCCATATCATCACATAAGACTCCATGTAATTTATACCTGTTCAAGAAAGCCATCCACTTCACACCATCCTAGGATAAAATGAAAGGGGGAAATTTGAATGACATAAAGCAAATATTCACATGGATTGTTTTGCTCAATTCTTGTTGTTGTTGAGAAAAATTCACTCAATACATGAACAATTCGTTGGTCGACCATGAAATTCGAGTCAAAAATGCTGCTACTCTATCGGTGCTAGAACTCCCAAGCATGTTGTCGAGTGAGATAACGTCACACGAAATTTAACTACTCATTCAACAGTAGAGCAATGCTCAAATATAAGGACACAAAGGCCAAAACGAAGTAGTTAGAGTATCCAAACTGTCACAGTAGACTACCGGTACATCAATCTTTCCTGACTAACACGGGCGCCACAATAAGCGCTATTCTTGATGCAGTCATCGAACACAAAAAACGATTCCCTCACAGAGCCCACAAAAATTTGCTCAAACGTAAATTTTTCATAATTTAAACTTTATATATATTAAATATTTATTATGTACATTGTACACATTCAAATAATTGTTGTTGTTTAGGAACACGCTTAGTTAATATTTTGGGTATGGTGGAATTAGAAAAAACGAATTAAAAAAATCACCATTGTTTCTTACAGCGAAAAAAAGTGTCGAAAAAAAAAGGTAGTCGAACACCGATCCCGAACGAATTATGTTCGACTATCGAGATATCACTGTAGATAAATTTTGAGTGAAATAGAGAGCTTATCAATAATATTCATTGAAAATTTGAAAAAAAAAGTAATAACCCCAACAAAGCTTCAACCATCTTTAAGTACTCAAACTTGAAAACGACTAATCCACTAATTTTATAATGATTCAATTTTGCTCAATTCAACAATTTATATGTACACTTCCATACCAAATAACAAAATTCAATTCACCTGTTGGTAAGATCGCAACTTTGCATTGATAGGAACAGGTATAGGATATTGATCTAAAGAACTACTATCGAGCAATTGTTCCAAAAATCTTCTTTCGTGTTTTCGTTTTTCGACTAATACCGATGGTAGATCAGGTGCATCAGGTACACTAGCCTGAAAAATGAAAAGTTAAATTTAGTGTACGGTATCGTGAGATCTAACGGGGATCCAAAAAAGAGAGATAACATAACTACTCAATGGCTGCTTACAACTATCTAATTATAAAATATTGAACCATTCTTTCACTTGACAAAATGAGAGTAAAAAACTAAAAACTAATTTTGAGCACAAAAGTTGAAATATCGGTACTTCCGTAGTGTGTGTACCAGGTTAGGCCATAATTTTATTCCGATTCTCCTTATTTTAGTTCTATTACGAGTTCGGGGACTGTCTCTATTAGCCAAGTGAATATCCCCCCCTGCCCATAGGTTTCAGTCCCTTCACACAACTTGATGTAAAGTAGGCGAACAAAATTAGTTACCTCCATATTGGTACACACACTTCTGGAGCGCCGAATTATCTAAGAATGATAGGAAAGTACAAACCTCAACAGGTAAATACTGGATTAAAGACGCAAAACATTGTGTAGCAATCAATCGAACTTGTGTATTATGATCACTCATTCTACCGAGCAATGGTACGATAAGCAGCACAGTGTATGGTAGGATTTCAGTCTTCAAACAGTCGATAATATCTAGAAAATTAACATGTTTTGTGGAGGTAAACCATAATAATCCAACTTATCATCTACAAATATGTGAGCAATAATTATTCATTTCAAATTGATTATGTCACACTTTTCAGAAATGAATTTTTGTGATTTTTTGCCATTATGGGCCAGGGGCTTCGCTGTACAAATCTGAAATTGAAAAATGAGATTTTTTCAAAACCTTAAAATGTGACATTAGGTTCTACTGATGCCAATATTGTATTAAAGTGTATCTTAGAAAAATATATGAATATAAAGATGTATTAAAATATTCATTTCATCTCAGATACGCCTAACTAATTAATCCTTTTAAGTGACTGATTAATTCTATATTAAAATCTTGGCATCCAAACAAAAGGAATCAATGTTCTAAAAAAAAACTAAAATTAGCTAAAAATTTCAATCAAAATGCAGGAAGATGCTTACTAGACACAAGCTCAATGATCCCCATTCTTTTATATAAGTCAGAAGAATCAATCGATGGAAGAAACTAAAAAAATGGATTTCATTTTTACCATGAGGAGACGAAATACGATAGATAAGACAGATAAATCATATGGCAAACCATGGTGTCTCGGTCTGCTACCTGCCATGTCGGTTATGGGAATAGTTAAGCAGTTCATTTGTTGCATATTGGTATTGGTGAGGAAGGCTCAACTTATGTATAACACCATTTGATGAGGATCGGCAAACCCATTCAGGGTAAGCAGAGGCATGATGGCAAGCGCATTTAGTGACAATCGTCGTGATAATATATTGTGTAACCATAATCACATTATAGATATAAAAAAAGGTGAGTAAATGAAGGCAGATTAGGTAAATATTCAACAAAGTGGATATATTCATTGAAATCAAAAATGAAATTCAGATAAGTGAAAACATCCAGTTATGTAATTGAAGTTAAAATATTGCCAAAAACAATTGCTATTAACAATTTTACATTGTTTATAGTTTGGGTGTGGTAGTCGAACGGTTAAAGAGTCAGAATTAAAAAATTCCTGAAACACAAATCAAAAATTCAATAGAAGAATTGGAATTCTGTGTATCAAAACAAAAATTGAAATCCATGAAGTCTTCTATAAAAATTAAACATATCTTACCTCTCCCACAAGTTTTGTCATTACTTCCGAAGGAAACCGTTTAGCGAGAACAGAAAGGCATCTACTACAAACATATCTAACAGAAGAATACGACGTCCAAACTAAATTGAACATTTGAGGAAGCAAACTTAAAACCTGCAATAGGAGAAATATATATTCACAACTATTATATATCACAGTTTTACAAACACATTCAAAAACATATTTAAATTTTGAGGTTGATAAAAAAAAGTCTATCGTCACACAACTGCTTTTGATGCATAAAATACCCAAATCTTCAAATTTTCAAATAAGGTAGAAAAAATGGGGTTTGCATATGGGACCAGTTGACGCGTTCTGTCAACAGAATTTCAGAGAAATAATTTGAACTACTGGATTATACTGAAAACTCGGAAAAGATTATAAGCTAGACCCATGGTTCTCAAACTTTTTTGTATCATCGCTACCTTACAGTACATTCAAGGTTATAACAGGAAATACAAGGAAACATGGAGTTACAAACAAATTTATTGCAAAACAAGTAGTCTAATCATGATAAATGACGTTTTTAATAAGATGGATGAATTTCAACAAGTTTTTTTGATATTTGAAGACATTTTAGTTTTGCGAATTGTCACAGATTGTGAATTGTCACAGTTTTGCGAATTGTCTCCATATAATAAGGAGTTTTTCACACTTTTCGCACAGTTACGGGCGAGAAAAAACTCTTTACCAACGCCGACTCCAACTCGTGGCACATATCTAGATGTCCGTGCCCAGGCACATTTCACAGCCTGAATACCCACGATGAAAACAATTAGCGATTTTAAGAAAATTTGACTTCTCAAGAATGAAGAATCGCCCCCCAGTCACCCTCTTCGAGAATCGCTCAGCTAAACCTCAATAACGAATTCACTATTTCATTTGACTTCAAATAGAATATACAATAATTACTTCTTATAAACAAAACAAAATTTCACTTACTTTCATCTTCGCTACATCAGTATTTACAACAGGAGCGAGAGCTTCAACAATCAGAAGACTCAACATTTTGTCTCTCAATTTCTCCTCACTCTCTCCATTTTCTACATCTCCATTCATCTGATTTTCCTCAACATGAGGTTGGCAAATCATTGTCCATAATTGAGGCAACGTCTCAAATATATTTTCATTGAAATGGTGGCAGAGAGACTTCATACAAACTAATGCTCCATCTCGTGCAATATTCGGTTCATTCTGTTAAATTTATCCCTTGTTTATAAGCTATTCCCAATATTTTGTTATACATTATCTTTTGCTCTAAACAAGGCTCTTCAAAAGCAGCTTCTAGTAGGTAAGAATCTTTCCATTCGACATTGCCCGCCAAATTTATTCCACCCTGAGTAAGGTGGTTGGCATGGGATTTGAACCTGCAACGTCATCAGAGTTGGGTGATTGGGTCTAACGCTCTACCCACTGGGCGATAGTAGAAAAATGAGGAATAGTTCAATAGCTGAGTCATGGTTAGAAGTTATGAATGAGGCTCGGACAACTTGTAACTTAAACCATTGTTATCAATAAAAACATGCGGAGTGATGGCCTAGTGCAGCCATCGGCAACCTGCATCCCTTTGTTCTTTAAACTCCCGTGAATCAAATGACTATGGCAGTTTTTTGTTAGAAGCAGTGGGGATTCAATGAAAGTCGAGGGCATAAAGTCGATCACTACTCACTAATTACACATCACAGCAGGTATAAGTGGAGAGCGGTAAAAATAGGTGGCATTACAATGGTTCAAATTTGTTAAAACTTTTCCTTTTCATTTTTCAAGTTCTTTTTATTTCATCATAAACTGAATGATTGCATCACTCTAATTCAGTCAGTAAATTAAATCAGCAATGCCAAAACAAAAAGATCCGGCCCTTCAAAAAATATGGCTCCTTACGTATTAGTGGCCACTCATAGAGAGTTTCGCTTACAATGAAAACTTCGCATATGAAAAAGGGGAGTTTTCAACAAATATTGAACGAAAATTATTTAACGATATTACATTCTATATTATCGAATTTAGCTCGACAAAAACAAAAAAATTGAAGTGTTAAACAAACCTCTAAACTTGAACTTTTATCATGCCTCGGAGAGAAATGTTTCCTTCTTTTATTTTCTGAACTTTGGATTAAAGCAACACGATTTCTCAGTAATGTTATAATTATTTTATTCGTTGAATCATCTTCGGAAAACGGAGATTGATTCAGAATCTCAGCTAAAAAAAAATCATTTTTCACTAATATATTAAATGATGAAAAAAAAAAAATTAAAAAAAAAGTAAAACTCACATGAAATACCAGTAGTTGGATTTAATAAATCGGGACAAATACCGGAATCTCCTTTTAAAAATTGACATAAATTACGAATAAGTTTAGAGTTAGGACATGGATTACGATTTGAACAAATATCCAGCAGATACGTAAGTGCTTCTGATATTACATTACGATGTATTTGGTTTTCTTCTCTCTGTAAAAAATATAAAATGAATTCAAGTATCTGAAAAAATACAGGATACCAAGTCTTTCTCAGCAAAGTTGTCAAACTAAATGGTCTCCCTTGGATTTGTTTATACATATAGGAGAATTCAAAGTTCATTCCTTACTATATATATATTTCAACATATTTTAAAACAGACCATATTAACACTAATACCAGTAAGTTAATTTTAACTTACAAATATAACAAGTTATAACTTAGGAAAGAAAATATATCAATTTCTGGTTGGTTCATGTAATAGCTTGTCAGTCATGGCATCCTTCCTCCCCAAGTTCACGCATTTCAATCGAAAAACTTGCCAACCATTCCCAGACCCTATTATCATTGTTATGCAAAGTCCCTAAATGCTGAGTCGCAAGCCACGTCAAGTCATAGGTCATCCGAGTCAAGTTTGAGTCGGCAGTCAAGTTGAATCTCTGATCTAAGTCTCACTGACAGTTTTTTGAGTTCTAGCATGAGTCCTTCGAGACTTTGATAAATGGTGACTCAAGTTGAGTAACTTGAGCCACTCCAACACTGCCCTAAATAGACTGACAAACGAGTGGCAGGGAGTGAATAGAAATTTTTTATACAACGATCATACGGCTCAGCTGTCCAATAGGTCCCCTCCCCAAAAAAAATCCTATTGTGTCATATGCTAACACCAAGCTCGATAATGAAAAATTTAATACCAAAAACATACTTTTAATCCTTCCATCAAGGGTCTTATGATTGGATTCATTTTAGGCAAATGTACAATAGATAGAGATTGATTCACAGTTGTAGAAGTAGATGAAAATGATGCGACGACGAGACAGTGAGAAACGTAAGAACGCACAGTACGTTGTAAAGTATAATGTTCTTGTTGCGCTTCATTAGCAGTGAAAAATAAGCGTTGATGTGATTCTTTCAAATCATCGAAGTTCGAATCTGAAAAAAGAAAACTTATATAAATGGGTGGCCTAGTGGGTAAAACATTAGACTTCACTTTGATGGCATCACAGGCAGGGATGGCCAATTCGAATAAAGTATTTGAATGTATTCGAATATCTCATCATTCGAATATCGAATTTTTGTGTGATGTCACATCTGCTCTCAATGTGTCTTCAATGAATGAAAACTTTTTCGATTGTAACTTGTGCATCGAACACACACTCAGCACATGCTCGCTCTGGCAACAAAAATCTAGGTCATACACGTTCTCTTGTTTTGCAAAAATCTCTTCCTTCCAGTCTTGTTTTTATTGATGCTCCTCGCATGCTTTCGTCGCCGCGCCATGCAACAACAATCCAGGCAAACTATATTATTTTATTCCATTTCAGCATTTACGCAATGGTAGATGTAAGTTCTGCGCTACACATTATAACAATATGGTACACATAAATATAAATTAATAAGTAGGCTTAAATATTGGAATTTGTACAAAGGCTTAATAGTTATTTGATTGTTGTTGCTTGAGTCCTTTGCTTGAGCAAATTATCTCCCTGTAAATAAATATTTCTGTTATAGCTACTCATACCATACCTTGTAATTTTGATTCGAATTCTGTGGAAAGCGTTAAGGCATCTTCCAAACTATACACTGGTTTGATTGGAAACGTCTATAAAATATAATATATGAGGTTGGTGGACAACTGATAACTATAAGATATAATAATCTGATTATGATTCTACTTACCAATGGTTGTTGAAAATATTTGGATGTCATCATGAAAATATTTTTAATTTCTGATTGCACTTGAATAAACAATGAAGAAATCTCATTAAAATATAAATCTTCTGTTAGAGAGTTGAGCAGCGAATTATAAATTTCAGGAGAAGGTTGAGATTCCTGGAAGATTAGTTCAATTATCAAGGCATGAACCAGTAAAATATGAAATTTTTTTTTTAGATTGGTGCTATAAATGTACGAATGATACATTGCTATAACATTTGCGTTTAGTAACTAGAGTATTGCACTTAGCTATGATACATCACAGCCTAACAGATTAAAAATCCCGAGTAGGCGATGCAAACTCGAAAAATAACTCCATAGGTTGCTTAGATCATTTGTAAAGAGCCTGGAATGCCATATAAAAAATAAAGCCACAGCCTACAGGCACAAAAATTTCGATTATTGATCTTATAACATGGCTTCACACAAGCTAGCTGTTAGAACATTGTAACGTCATAGGCATAGATAATAAATAGGTCTCAGGTATAGACTTTGCAATGCAAAGACATTGGAGTTACTCGCTCATATCCGATCAAACTAAATCAAAAACTTGTTTTGCGAGCCGCACACCATTCAAAATTTGGCACTTTTTCGCAGGTCGCACAGTTTATCATTGCGGGCCGCATTTGAAAAGAACGTCTATGCCTTCCTCATGTACCCTCCACAACAAATGAATTATCAAGTTTTCTAATAGTATGGTCTTGGTAAACACATCATCTCAGTTTTATGATTAAAAAACGATTACTGCACTTAATAAAGGAAACATTAGAAAAACACACACGAACCTTAGTTTCCCACCAACTTGATAATATCATGCATATCACTATGCGTTGTATTGCGAATCTTGAATTTACATACGTCAATATATGATGTGTAATACTATGAAACGTTTGTTGTAATATATTTTGCGACTGGATGTCAGCTTCCTTTGTGCTTGTAGCAAATCCACATAAAATTCCCAACATTCTGAAATAAAAAGAGATCATTGGAGGAATTACTACTAGATTTGGACCAGACATGGCCAAAACCTAATATTTTACTATTTCGAATACATTCTGAGAAAATATTTTCGAATATGAAATATCTAATACATTCTAAATTAGGGTCACGTTCATGTGGAAAATTACATGCATCACTATATTATCTTCATGTTGATCACATCTAAAACGCCACAACTATAAAAGGTCATTTTACGGAACCTCGGTCCTTTGGAACATATTCTATGGGTTTCGTTTTTATTTGAGTCACCCTGTACTCGTCTGATGGCTCAAAATCCCTAATTTTTAAATAAAAATATTATAAAACTTTCCAAATTTTAAAAATATACGGTATCGAATATAACGAATTTCGAATGTATTTGGCCTTCCCCATTTGGACTAAAATCTTTCCGGATCTGCATTGCTCAATGCTCACCCACTTTATTACATCCAATCTGAAGTGGGAATGTGGGTTTTGAATCGAAAGTGTGCCAACCCATTCAAGTCTGATGCCTTGTTCAGAGCAAACATTATAAAATATGTCGTATTAAAACTAAAAAAATTTAAACTTTACATACTTAGATATATGAAAGATTTTAACCGCTATTTCGATTTCAAATAAAAACACCTTGCAAATTGCAGTCTTGTTCTCGTAACAATTTCAACTCTTGTTTCATCATTTTCATTTCTTTTATTACTTGGCATTCCACCGATATAATATAACAATTCTTCTGTTTCGCCTTCTTTCAAAACCTTCATAAATAATAATAATACACAAATTAGTGTTCTGTATTTTAGAAACAGTAGATTCTTTTCATTTAATCACTTGTGCTGTGGGTATAAAAACAGTAAAAAATGCTATGAATACATACTTAGTTTTCCAGACATTCAAGAAACGCCAGCACCCACATTAACAGAATCTGTCAAATCATGACAGTAATTTCAAACAAAAAAGTTCTGGTTCGTCAACAATGAAAATCCAACAATACATTCAAATAGATTCTCAATCAATAAGTTACCTCCTGTTCAGTTGAAGCTGCAAACATAGATTTTGGAAAAGGAGCAGTGTCAGGTTGAGCAGCCATTGAAACTAACGTTGTGAAATATAGTTGACATGCTTCACACAAAACTAATTGTGGTATCTTGCTGCAAAACTTCGTCCAAACCTAAATAGACGAAAGAATATGAAATTAATGGTTGAAGGAGTAATAAAGAGCAAATTTTCAAGGTATTGGAAACAAACAATATGAAGTAAAAAATGAAAAAAACGCAGAACATTACGCGTTCGACAAAAATTTTCAGTTGGCTTCTCTTGATTTCAAATAAAGATGTTATCAAATCCTAATTTGAGCTAATTTGTCCTGTAACATCATACACATTCAATTTACCCAACTATGCCAAATGACATAAACACAGTCGAACAATGTATGATTCATGCATAGTCCATCTCTAGAAGGTATTATTGGTCTTTTACAGTTAATGTTCCATAGTAGGGTAATATATTTCACGAAAAAGGCACTCGTGTATAAAAAACAAACCTCCACAACCATAAGTTGTATTTCCCTATTAGATTCTGTGATGCAACATTTTGCGAGACTCCATATTCCATTCATTGCAAGGACATTGAACCAGGGAATTTTTGACTGAAAAATAAATTACAATTGAAACAAGAGTTAAAAATAATGAAGATCTGACGAAAATAAACAAAGCTTCTAGTCCTCCACCTCACCCATAATGTAATAAAATGGGTAGGTCGGCAATACCAAGCCAAAAATATTTCTGTTTAAAATGTAAAAGGGGTAAAAAATTGCATCCCATGAAGGACCGACCCCATTTATTTGTTAAACTCCTTTATATTCATCAAGCGTGCATCAATTTTGTACTTTGGCAAGACGAGATTCCTGAGCATAAATGCCTTGCATAAGGTATGAAATCGTTAAGACAACTTTTGGACCTCCTGAAGTATGCGCACCAAGATGGCGCACAACCTGAACTCAGTTTGTGTACCGGGTTAGGGTTCAGGTTATGCGACATCTTGGTGCGCATACTTCAGAAGTACCCAACTTTTAATGCCTAATGTTAGTTAATTTTTTGAAATACAACTTCTCTTTTCATCTTGAAATGTAACTGTTACAAAGCTCATATATGTTTTCGGAAATAATAAAAACCCACAATTTCGCCACAAGAATATACCATTTATTTATGCTAAAAAATAACTTGCACTACAAAAAAATATCAAATTAGAGCAGAATAATTGACTTACATGTGAATGAAGACTTTTCAATAATGTATTGAGGGTTAACAAAGCAGCTTTCCTCACACTAGGTGTTGAGTGTTGAGTAAAAATCCAAAGTTTTGACATGGTATCTTGCAAATTCATATACAGACTAAAGATCACAAAATAATTTTTATAATTTCACTGAAAAAAGATAAACTTTAAAGAAAAATATATCACTATATTTAACAATATGTATACCATAATTATAAAAATTCCAAAATTTGAAAAATTTGAAGAAGCATTTTTTTTTTAAAAATAGGTGATAATTCTGTCCAGAACAAAATAGGTAATTAAATTGAAAGCATAACTAATATATATGAATAATATTTCGGACAATCAAGCAATTTAGAAATCTAAATGTTTTTTTTTTCAATGGAAATTTGCCCAAAGCAAAGTCACGCACAATCACTCAGAAATATAGAAGATTAATCTCTGAGCGAATTTACGGGCAAATTAGTGTGCACAATAAAGTGTAGAATTGTGCGTTAGTAAATACTAATTGGTGAGATTTGAGCAGTTTATGCCAATACGATCAGGAAACAGCACAGGTTGTGAATTTCAACTGACTAAGTAAAACTAAATCGATTATAAAAATTTCCCTAATAGAAACTTACCTTAACTTGGATGAACAAATTGATGAAACAATTTTCGAAAGAAGCGTTAGTATTGATTGTGTAGAAGCAGTAAGTTCATCTAATTCTTGCAGAGAGTCGCATAACACTTGTACAAGTTGATACAACTAAAATAAAACAAGTTGAAGAAATGTGATAAAACATGTACTTATAGTGTAAAAGAATAATCTTGCCAGGACTAAAGGGTTGAGGAAAATTTAATTGACTTCAACACCAGGTTTTTTGAGAAATTTTGATAACAAAAACATTGGCGTATGCAAACCTTCGTTTATAGACTACTGAGAACACTTAATAAACTTGATGCTTTTTAAGTTTTTGAAATTTTTTTTTAACTTGTATTTATCACCATTGAAAGTATGGAGTTCGAACTACAGGGAATTAAAACACTCCCGATAGCTGAAATTCAGATCAGACTGCAGTTAAGACCCGCTAAACTCTTGATTACCCAGTTCTGATTCTTGCACTTGGATTAGAATTGTATTCACCCATGGAATAAGCTTTGATAGAATACCAACATTGTCTCATTGTCTCGTCTGGGTTGAAATATGGTGATTATTTTGCAACAAAAGAGCAGTTCTTATTCCACAATTTTTCATACACACATATATTTCTAAATTACTTCTATAAAAGGGGAACAAAATTATCTAACACTTGAAATGTTTGTGTATGAATTTACCTAAACGTTTCAGTAATCAAGGACACTTCGCACTGAAGTAATGTTCTCTCTAGAATAGGTTCAAAATGACATGGGTTCTGTTTTTTGGGAGTCATCCAGTTAAGTACCCTCGGGAGAGGAAAGTTTGGCACCATATACCCAACTACACCTGTCATAAACAACAAAGTCTTATTAATATTAATACAAATATATTCATAAAAAACCAAAATCCACTGACCTTATCAGCAGCTGACTCTGTTTCAACCAGATAAGATGTGATTGGAGTCAAAGCTTCAGCAGAAACACTCTTGACATCTCCGTCTCCATCTTGAAGTCCCTTGATTAATGCAGGAACGCACTGACTCACATTCTTTTCATGCAAATCCTGTAATTTTAAATTAATTTATTATTAAGAACATACTAAAAGGCAAAATCACAATTATTTCGTAAAGCAGTGGGATCAAGGAAGTCAAAAATGCGACTTTAAATGGTGAAAAAAGAAGTCAAAATATTTTACATCAAGTCAAAAAGCATTAAGTTTATTAGGTGTTCTTAACAGGCTATTAGTAAGGTTGTTATTAAAATTCAATTTTCTAGGAGTCCAGAGCTGGAGTCAAGAATTTTTTTAGAACTCGAAGTCAAAATTTATTCTTAACGTGGATCTGGGAATAGAAGCCAAATTTTTTCTTCAATTTGAGTCGATTGTAAATTTTCACTATACTGGGTGAATGACTCTAAACCAAAAAAAATCCAATTCTTCCAAAAGTAGTTGGTTAATGAATGAATCAGTGGATAATTGTACACTGCCTTGAAAGCATAAAAAGCGCGGTCAAAAAAAGTCAATTACCTCTCTAGCAGCAAACATATACTTGATTCCAAGAAAACCTGCATGACGAACTTCCCATTCTCTTGTTTTTGTCAAATACAACAATACATTCAAAATTTCTGAAAAAAAGTATTAGGCCTTGTGAAATAGATCATGACTATCCAGCAGTCATGAAAAGCGAAAGTGATTTCCTCAGTCAAAAATCTTGTATTTTTGGAAGTGAACTGAAATCTAAAACACCTATATAAACCTCATCAAACAATTAGACATGCAACTATTATTAGGAACAATCAATATAAATTCAATTCCAAATCTAAAATTTGACAAAAAAAATGCTAAATTTTAAGAAAATTAATAGGCAAAATATTAATAAGAAAAATTACTAACCTGACACAGTTTTAATGTTCAATGATCGTGTTAAAACTCCTAAAGCTTGTGCACAAGACTCTCTCACTGGAGCAACAACCTAGTTTGAAACAAAATAAAAAAGGCTATGGTAAGATATGTCTCATATTCATTTTAATTAAACACTACAAGACAATGAATATAGACGGTTCAATGATAATGTCATTCCAACATATCATGGATGTACGATCGAGGATCATGTTAAGCGAAAGAAACACAGATGCCATCACATCACACTGTATGTGTCTGCATACTTTGCGCATACAGCTTGAATACTTTAGGGGATAAATATGAGTATGGAAAGTACTGCCTCCTAATGATTGCGCTTGTTATACTGACTGATATTGATTATAAGACCAAATATTATACAATCAGAATAGATATATTAGATTGCACAGCAACCCTTCCGCAATCCTCGAATTAAGAGAGCAGGTACAAAATCAGTGAAGCGTGAAACAATAACAATAAAATGAACAGGCAGTGTTGCCAGAAATAAACAAAACGAAATATTACAATATCAACAGCGCTATAGTTTATCTAAATCCTGGTGGGTTACAACTTGTCTCATAGTCCCATGTATGTAAAGCAATTTACAGACTTACTATTACTGTGTGTCACACAAGCTGATTACTGAGAACTCGAACACAGCGCTTAATCACATTTCCCACTCTAAACAAGGCTAATATTTTTGGGAAGAACCGGAATTTTTCCAGTTCGGAATAGCCTACCTTAAATTATTACACACTGGGTGAGGTAGTGAAAAGGTATTTGAATCAGATTGTAATCTTCCTCAACCAAAGGATTGAAAAAATGAAAATCCAATTTTATGAAGTAAATAAATAAATCCAATAGAGGAGTTACCTGAGCCATTGGAAGTTTAAATTCCATTTTTATCAGAAATCTTTTTGATTTTCAGTAATGTAATATATTTTCGAGATGTATATAATGGCTTCAAATATACGAATATATGAAACACTTATTTATAGTATACCTGATCAGACACAAAATCACCGAATCGATCAAGTACCATTACACATAACATTCGTATAGCAGCATCCTCAAGCCAAAAGTTATTATGATCTTCCATCTAAAAAAAGATTTTGTTTTCAAATAAAGAAATTTGATGTAATTGCAAATATATCAATATCATTATTCATTGACCAAAAAAATAATTTCAAAATGCTCAACAATTTGAATTTATAGGAGATATATAATCTTCTGGTAAGACATTATTCACAACACCCTAAACATGTTTCTGACAATTCGTTAGCAACCATGATGCTGCAATTATGAGAACATATTATTCTTGGGTCCGCTGTTAGCGCATCATGGTAATCGTTACGAATATGCTTGCCTTTTTATGTTCGCATAATGACAGGGATGATTATGTGTGAGAGGATTTCTGGACCTCTCGCTGCGCCGTAGGGTGGATCACATAACCCCTGGTCGGTCATGGCTTACTCCACCATCAAGCCTGTGTCTCTGAAACAAATAAATAGTTAATTAATCCTGTACCCGACGTGGACTGGTGATCGGACGAGAGGCCACGGTTCACCATATAATTGAATGGTCTTATCATCTTTTCTCCCCTGAATGAATATGAAATTGTTTTCCCGTCCTACTATTTTTGACATTTATTGAAGCCATAGAAACAAAGGGGTTTCATATTCATAACATAATTAACAGAATTAGATCACTCACCTCTGTTTGAGAATCTCCTCTGACAATTCCTGCTCCTGATCCATGAATACTGAGTATGTCTCGTAATGCCAGGCACGCACCGTGTCTCCATTCCCATGTTGAACTGAATAGAAGATTGAGAAGTTCTTCACAGATCCATTCAAATGGCCATTCTTCCCACTAAAAGAAAAAAAATGAAGTAACAATTATGGAAGCAGATTAAGAATGTGATATTGTAGAAATTTTACAAATCAATTGTTTTGCAACAAAAGAGCGGTTCTCATTCCACATTACACAAGTGGTACTCCCGTAGTGTGTGTACCAGTTTAGGGTTAGGCCATAAATTTATTCCAATTTTCCTTATTTTAGTTCTATTATGAGTTCGGGGACTGTCTGTGTTAGCCAAATGAACACAACTTGATGTAAAGTAGGCGAACAAAATTAGTTACCTCCATATTGGTACACACACTTCTGGAGCGCCACACAAGTTTTATTAAACTTCGAAATAAGCCTATATATGCACCAACATCTCTTGGCTGAATTGCTTAAAAATTTAACTTTTTTTGCAAGAACTTCAGTTATGTGAAATGCACAACCTCTGTTTCCGGACCTCCAGAAATATGCGCACCAAGATGGCGCACAACCTGAACATAGTATGTGTGTACCAGTTATGATTCAGGTTGTGCGACATCTTGGTGTACATACTTCTGGAGCACCCTGTTTCCTAATCGTATTGACATGAATGGCTTCAAGTCTTGCATCGATCAGTAGTTATAAATGCACAATTCTACAATAAGACTTTTTATAGTTGACATGAGCAAATACCCGCCTGATGCTGCCACAACCAAACCAAAACCAAATTTTAATGTTTCAGCTAAAAAATAGCTCGAGAAATTTGTTGAGATTGCGATTGAATTTAGTTTTGGTATGAGGCTTGTTATTTTCCACTTTCCACTGCTTTTGTAACACTGTAAATTTTGTTCATAAAATGTAACTTTTTCTGTTACACACATGGCCTGCCAGTCTAGATGGGTAAAATTTTCGGACCATGGTCCAAAAACCTTGCCCATCCCTGCTTTATAGTCTCAGTAGCTCTTGAGTATATATTTGTCTGTAACTTCACTGATCCTGCTTTGAACGATTTTTCTTAAAGTTGCGATTTTTCTTAAAGTTGCGGACAGTATATACATTATTAATAATTAATTAGTCGAAAGCATTTGAACACCAAGTTCTTACAAGGTCAGGTGATGGTTCATGATTTGGTGCTTGCTTGACATAACTGTTTTCTTCTTCGTTTTCTTGAACTTCAACCTTCTTTTTTCGTTTCTTTGGAGGCTGACTGTCATTCTCCCTGAGATTTAAAAAGGATACATCAAATGATAGTTTCGTGTATTGCTTAACTATACAGGTTCAAATGTCCAAAACAAATCGAAAATTTGAATACAATACAAATTGGTGATATTTGATAGAGTAAAAAGTATGATTTTAGAAATAATCTAGAATAGTTTCATTTAGAAAGTTCTACATATATACAATTGATATCTGATTGACAGACATAAAATAGACTTCATTCCACTCATAACAATGTTAAAATTAGAGAAATGACCAAAACAATATTTAGATGCATTATTATGCACTACCATATTCCGTTCGTATTTTTGCAATTTAGGAAATATTCGATATATTTCATATCTAAAAATATGAATTTAGAAATAGTTTTTTATTCAATCTTGGTTATGGGTGGTTCAAATGCCAGTTCATTGTTCAACCATGTCATATCGGAAGTTACTTTTATAAAACTTACTGGGTTCCGTCTCTAGAATTTTGTTTCATCATTATTTTTGCTTTTCTTTTTGCACGATTTTTCTCTCTATTGCTCATTCCTTCAGTTAATTGGGCCATCACATCACCACATGGCTAAAATGGAAATAACATTCGATGAATCAAATAGGTAAAAATATTTTAAATGTAACAATATCAAGAAATGGTATATTTACAATTATTATAAATTTATATCTAATTCTACCAGTGATATGCAGTTCAGCATGTATTTTTAAAATTCCAGTTCAACTTGAGAAAGGATTCAAGAAAATAAAGATTGGCTGCACAAGTATATTACAATTGCAATAGGATTATTCGTATCAGCCATTCTTCAATGCTTCCTGGAGGTGAAGGAGTCATACAGAAGATAAAAACTCTTTATTTGAGTCACAAAAATGCAAAAAACATTCATACCTTCTTTTGTATATTTCGTTTATTTGCAGACTGTTTTATTTTGGTTGAAGATTCCACTGGTGCAACGAGATCCTCATCTCTACAAAAAAAAAATTTGAAAAAAATTGATGATTTTCCAGGTAGAACACTCTGCTGTTTCGGCAATATCTCAAGTTTTTATAGCAGCATACTCACATGAATAAATCGCTTGATGAAACGCCTAATGATGTTCCATTACCAACGGTAAGTCCCATTTTTTTTTCTATTCTCCTTCGCGCCCTCAAAACTCGTTCTCTGGCATCTGAATAAGAAATGAGAAAAAAGTTAAGTTGACCCTAAACTGATCTCTTAATTAAACCTTAGCAATATGACAAGTTATGGTAATGTGACAGAATGTCCCATTCTTGTCAACATAAAGATAATAACTTCGTCATTTCAGTTAAATTCAGTGTCAGTATGCACGACATGAAAATTGTCTGTCTTCAATAAACACTCCTTACTATGCTAATAATAATGACATATTACAAAATAAATTAGCAATTAACAAGAAATCGGTGAAGTTTGTTGACATTTTGTTGAGGTTTTGTTATTAAAGATATTAGGTACAGATAAAGTTCCTGATTACTTCTCCAAAAATAAAAAATGAAATTATTGCCACTTGAACTTCCGCTCGTGTACGATTGTACCAGAAGTTTCAGTAATCTAGTAGGCTTTATAGAAAAGTTATGTTCTCTCTGGAACAGCGGTTACCACCATAGGCCTGTGCCAATCCAAGGGGGTCACATAGTAGTTGAAGGGGGGCTGTAATGCTAGGTGCAAAACTGATTCTACTTTTAACAACACAAGAAGACTCATTCTTTCCAATATTCATTGCTTGATAAGGTTATTTCACAGGGTGTTATCACTTTGTTGTCACCAATCAAAACAACACAAATAAATGTGCTCATGTGTGCTAAAAGCTGCCAAAATGAGCCCGAGCGCCATAAAAGTTCAGTATCTACTACTCTAAAATATGACCTGTGTTTCTGTTTTTGGGTCACCCTATATACATATATGAGAGCAACAAAAAATTGATTACACCATAAATAATATTATTTGTATTAATGTAATATGTTTCATACCAATTCCCTCTTCCTCAACTGACTCAAATTCTTCTCCAGATGAGCTGAGTAAAAGTTGAGCCCCATTCATAATTTGCTCAATATTTATCTGAGAAAATTTAAGTCGATTTTGTACTCTCGGGACCTCTTTCAAAGCAGGATCTGCAAAATTAAAATTTTGTTTGGCAATATAAATTAATATAAAAACAACTATAAAATGTACTGAATTAGTGAAGCCGAGAAATCAAAGTGATTCATCTGTGATACCAATCTACTGCTTTAACCAGACAATTGCAAGCCCTCACCTTTTTTCAAGGAAGGTTCCGGTTTCCAGAGTGGGACTTCTGCAACAACAGATTTTATAGCTTCTGCACCAGCGATTCTTGTATCCCATTCTTTGTGTTGTATGTATGTCATCAACTGAAAATTGATAATAATCAATATTTATATTACTGCTTTTAAACTTAATAATAGTTAATGATTCTTGGAATGGGAACCAGGCTACACTTTGTGGTCTGTTCCACAGGGGTCTTTTGGGAAGCTGCCCAGTAATCCCACAAGCACTTATTTTAGGTGGGCGTTTGTTCGGTGCTAAAATTTCACCATCAAAAGTACGGTATATATTTATATCGGCCATACCTGGCCAAGACCCACTTATAACACACAATAAAGTGACCATATCACAAAAAAAATGAGAGAGAAAAAGTAGACGTGAACCAAAATCACTCTTTGTGTGACGCGAATATTTATCTCGGAGCAGCTAGATACCATATTTCCAGAAGCTAATCAAGCAATTGTTCAGCGATAATCAATCAATATGCAACTGTTGTATAACGGCCCGATTAATTATTTGGTCAGGATCTTATTCTCTCACTGTCTTACTTCGAATTATCAGCCATAAGCTACCTTTTAGAAAGTCCCTAGTTTTACAGAACTGATGAAAAATTAAAAATGGATTATTCGAAACACAGATAGTTCATTGGATTAAATTCTAGAGATCAAACTTCTCGGGAAATTTTAAAAACAGCTGTTAACAGGTAAACAGAAGCAATTACCCTTCCTAATAAACTATTTAGTTCATGCGGATGTTTCTTCTGAACTTCACCAAGTTGTTTTGCTGCAGCTTTTCTTGTAGTAGACGTTGTTCCATTTTCCAATAGAATAAATAAACGATCCAGACGGCTAAAATATTTAAAATAAGCTTATAGGTATAGCAAAGCAAGTGGATAAATTAAAACAGGGTTCCAGAGTTAAGCAAGAAGGGGAATGTTATCAGAAGCACTATTGCCTGGTAGTACCATAGCGTTGGGCCAGATTTCTTCAATATCTGAATATTAACTCAAAACATAGTCAATGGAGATAATGCTTCTAGATTAGGCCGTTTAAACAGATATCTCAGGAAATAATAGTGAAAACAAACCTGGTGCCTTTGTGGGATGTTGCCATATTTCCACATTCACCACTCAGCTACAATAAACAGATGACAGGGAGCATGACATCTATCTGCTCAAAATTTGTAAATATTGCTGTACTGGGGAAGCAGAATTGAAAATAGTCTACACGCGTAAAAAATATTGCTGCTTTTATTGAGAGAGAAAGATTTATTATTTTTCAACCAGAAAAACAAGCATTGCAACAGTAATAAAAATATACAACAATAAAGTTATTTGGTATAGACCGGGAAGAGCGATACGACCATACGGTCATCAGAGTCAGCTCCTCCCAAAAGAAAGAAAATAAGTATTGGAAAGAAAGAAAGTAAGTAAGAAAATAAGTATTGTTGAAGAAAATAAGTATTTTGTTTTATTGCAGATATATGCGATTCAAAATCGGGTTAGTTAGTATATCTATGATTTTTACAATCCGGAAATAGAATATATCCGTAAATTTCATATTTTAAATATCCGGTTAACTCGGTATGTTAGTCGTTGGGTTAACTGGATAGTGACGGCTATTTGTTAGGGAACCGATTTCGCTAGATTTTTATGGTGAATTGATCAAAAATCACGACACATTTTAATTGTAAATGTATATACATACACTGTACGGAGCTTATATATAAATGAAATTATGAACATAAAAGAAATTATTTATTTCATTTTTTGATAAGGAAGTATCCAGAAAAGTATAGTATGCAGTGGAAACAAAGTCCACTCCAAGTCGATAGAAATGTTTCAGATACTTAAGGTATTGGGTATGGCAAAGAAATGAGGAAGGATGAAAAGAAAGAAATCTATTGAAGGCATCTAATTTCCAGTGATGAAAGCAGACGAATTGGGTTTCAGAAGAGTGGGGTTTATTACTTTTCTGTAATGCATTCCATATGAAGCACAACGCATCAATAGACCTTATTCATTAAAAACCCATCCTACGCGCAAAAAAAAAAGTGATGTGAAAAAATATTTTTTAACATTATCTCTTATGGGGAATGTGATCACCAGAGCAGAAATTTGCATTTTATGTAATTTTCTAGATATCTTTCATTGTATACGTGAGCAGTTTTGTGGATAGAATATTTTTTACATCTTTTTTTATATTTTTATTATGATAAACATGGTCAAGATTTTTAATAATCGTTCATTGAAATTTTAATGAGCGCGGTGTTTCCGATGACGTCATTCTCACTAGACCATGAGATTCTGCCAACGCGCTTGCTCTGTGGGATATGTGCTCCAACTGCTTGTGATAACAGAATACTGGAATACCGGTACCGGGACCACAACTGGCGTTCAACGAAAGACCTATTTTGGTTTTAATTTTATGTTATATATTTCATGAATTCCATGTACATTTCTGGTACACCTTTCAAAATCCAATGGCCTAACTCTGTTCATATGTTGACGGTACCTACCATGTACGGTACCTATCCCAAAATTGGTGATGTTCAGGGCTGGATTTAGACCATGAGACTGATGATGAGAGGCCCCTTCATATTTTTGAGCTCAGAATTTCTCTCTAAACAACAACACATTTAGATGCTTAAAATTTAAAAATATGAAAGCATTAAACTTTTCATTCTCCTCATTCATGGGTGTGAATTTTTATTAAAAGAATGATAATTTACTGGAGGCAGTTTTGCTTTCAATTTCTTTGATCAAACAACCGCTACAGCCATACTTTAACATAGAAACTTCCAGCAGAATGCGCATAATAATAATTTCCCTTATTATGATGCAAACGACGCAATAATGGCTGTTTACAATGTGGTAGAAACTTGTTGTATACAGAATTTTCTACTCTGAAAAGCTTGATATATATATATACTTTTTGTAGGGTTTATACTTGTCAAGTTTTCGAAAGAATTACAAACTTTGAAACCGTATTTCGAGGCTCTAGGGGTCAGCCTGCCTAGCCTATTGGTAAATCCAGCCCCGGTGATGGTCCCTACAGCAAATTTCTGGCCCTAATCACTCAGCAGATTGAAATAAATTTGAAATATTTTCGATATATTGACAATAAGTTTCGTGCTGTTAAAACTACTGAAAAATTAAAATCTAGTCAAAAGAATTGCGTAAGAACTTTAAAAATTGGCTGTAACTATATAAAAAAGTATTTTATAGTTTAAGCGTAAATATATACTACTACGATTAAACATTAATTTGACAATTAGAGAACTTTTATTAGGCGTGGGACAAAACCAAGCTATTATCTGTGTTTTATTCTGTGCAACATTTTTAACTTAAAATGTTAATTTCGTAAAGAAAAGCCTTTCTTCAATTTTTTAGTGAAAATGTTATTGCTGTGTTATTAACTGCGAGAAAGTTATTGCTGCTAAAAGGAGTAATTGTGTCTGCATGCGAAAAAGTAAAAAATTAGTTGGAACTTGAACCCATCCCATTTGGGTTGATTTTGACGGGTAATCAGCAGAAATTTTAGGTTGCGGTTAATTTTAGCGTTTAGTGGGAAAATGTTTTTCGTTACGAATCTGTAGATGATTATAGTTAAATACTTCTGCAGAGTAGTCACATAGCAGAAAAGAATTATATAACATATGTTGGTTTCAATCCCACGAGGATAATCCGGTGTAAGCGAATTCTGAACTTCTTTCAGACGTAAGGCTATTCATGTAACCACTAGTTAGTTACGGAGGTCGTGATACTCCCTATAATTAAGACTAAATTAATTAAAAATCTTTTCCTCGATTTTTTTCTCTACTTCCGTAACATTAGTTTATTAGCAAGGTGTTTAATTTTAGCTCATTTTGGTGGTTTTTCAGTTTTAAGTTGTGTTGACAAAATTTAAATATATATGATCATATGAATCTAATAATTTAATGTTTGCACATTACGCATACTTTCCTTATAAATACTGATGTATTTGATCAACATGCAATATTCACTTGATTCGATTGGACGAAATTATCCGGTCCTGGTGATGCATCTATCTGAATTTACAAGCATGAAATACCGATAATTATGCGATTTACAAATGACGCAAAACCATAGGAAATCAAGGATCCTTATTGACAAAGTAATCAAAACATATGTTTTCAAATAAAGAAACGGACAGCTCCTTATGTGAAAAATAGTTGAACCTCGCCACCGTTAAATTTGCATGTGTTCATTAATACGTTATTTTTGATCTCCGATTGTGTCGCATCGTGCAAGCGTTAGGAATACGCTTGGCACAGAGCCTCTGACTACCTCCAACATCAAGTCCACGCATCTGAAACAAATAACTGGCTAACTAAACCTACACCAGACATGGACTGGTAATTGGACGAGAAGCCGTGTTTTGCTAAAAGATTAAGTCGTCTTATTGACTTACTCTTTCCCAAGATAAATATATTAATCTTTATCAATTCTGTGTGATTGTTACCTGCATCTCTTTTACTCTGTTATATTTCCATTCGTAGCATATGGCACAAAGAAACGCGCGTTGCAAAGTTCTAAATAAGCCGGCGGTAACCTTGCGCAACCCTCTGGCACATAATCATATCACACGGGAGATTCTAGCACACGCAGGGTAATCAGAGGTCAGAGGTAATCAGACTGCAATAACAATCGTCTATTCAAAAAGTGTGGCTGAGCCGAAGTTGATAGTCACGTTTCTGATCAAAGTGACTATAATACTAGTAGATCTAGTAAGCCAGTCCAAATGTTCGCCAAAAAGTTCTAAAAAAAACCATCTAGCATCCACCCCATCGATAACACAATCAGTAAAGCTGATGAAACATCAACATAAGAGATGAAGCCTTTTTATACTTTCGAAAATAATAACAAAACAAATATACTGTGATACAATTAACAGAAGTACGAGTGATATAAAAACAAACAATCTTATCAATATAAAAGCAAAGTCATGTTTCGAAACACAAAGAAACGCAATATTATGGTAGCACATTAACACTCGGCATCTATCACGCAATCCAAATATGAAAATGCTGGTTAAAAGTAATTAACTGTCCTAACAACAAAAACCTTAACTGTTAAATTGATACTGATAATAGAGCAAAAAAATGTGTCAATTCTGATTTTCTATAAGAAAACTACTACAATTTCTGGTGTACACCAACTTCAATGGAGATCTAGCCCACTATGTACGCATAATCACTACAAATTATTTTCTGCTTCTCAGGGCATTGTTCAAATAAAAGATTGAAAATGGAACACATCTGCATAACAGAATAACATAAAATGAAATATGAGTGTATGTGAGATATGATTTCCAATGAAAAAACACATAGATGAAGTAAAGACTATAGCAATATAAAATATATCAAAAATTATTTAACGAGAGATATTTACCCGATAAGATATACCATGAATATCTTAACCAGTGGTTTCCAAACCGTGGCCCTGCAGACCAATTCTGTTTTTTCATATGTCCCTGCCGAACTAGAGTAAAAAAGTTTACCATTTTCATGGTTTTACTTTTTTGCATTCTTGATGCGGCATTGTTACGTCATTATCACAGTTTAAGCATGTGTATATTCATATCAATTTAATTATATTGGTATCTTAATTATACGTGCCGTAATTGGCCCGTAGGCCGCGGTTCGAGAGCCACTGATATAAAGGAACAATCTACCGTATGAATGCTATAGTTTGAACTTATGAAAATAATATAACGATAGTTCAATTCATTTAAATCTAATCCATTACAGATGTATACATATATAAATGAAGATTGGCTGCATTTATGAATTTTTGCTTGTATGATTAAGCATCAACACGAAAATCAAAGTATAATGTGTGAATGTTGACTTTACTGGGGGTGTATTCTTAAACGACTATATGATTTTTTATATAATAATTTATATAATTATTCAATATATATTTCATACACAAATACAATAAGAAGCAAACAAAGTGGATTCCTGTTAATAAATACTAATGACATATGAAACCTTGGTGAAAAGCAGTATCTGCTACCAAAAATAGAATGTGATTTCAAATTACTAACTTTAGGGAAACCGCCAAACTTTTGAAGCCTAGAATATCTGAAAGTGATAGGATTTTGTAAATGAAAATTTTAGAAATACTACAGCCAATTCACAGTAAATAGAATAATCTTTAGAACTATACCAGGTATAGAAAGCTTCTGGGGTTGGGGCCTGGTGCAGTTATATATCAATGCCACATAGGAATGCTTAGAAGTGGTGGAACTTATGCTGAAGCTTCATTTGATTCTCTTTATATTATCATACACGAGTTGCACATTTAATAAGCTACAAAAAATTTCAAAAAAATTTAAAGAAAAATAACAAAAAACTAACTTAAAAAACAATGTCAATGTTATTTTCCTAAAGGTTTATCAGCAGTGGAGTCATAACTTCTAATAAGCTGAGATTGCGTAACGACGCCTCGCTCTTCTTGCGAAAACGCAAATCCATGATGATGACTATGTTGCGGCGATATGTACCGATCATCTCTTGATGTCGAAGGGAGTTCGTGAGATTCCGCACTTGATTGCGAACCTTCTCTACGCAAATGTGTGCCGAACATGTTTCGCAACAAATGAGCTTTTTCTGTCAAGCTGTAAAAAAAAATCATACATTTACACCAGCATTACACTGGAATAAAATATTTGCAAAACTCGCTTATTTTTTGACCATTATTCGTTAGTAAGAATTATGGTGAATTTTTATGTTGTTTATTTTTAGTATTATTCGAAACTTATCAGGTAAAAATTAGCTATTGGTGATGTAACACACAGTCATTTGGGCAGCACATGGAAACGAAATTCACTTTGCAAATGTTTTCGAAGCACCTAAATAACCAAATTGATACAATATATAACTAAGATGTTATTTTTCAGTAATTATAGATTTAATTCTTATAATCAGCATATGTTCAAACTATTCAAAAAATAACCCAACTACTTAACAAAAAAAAACAAAAAACTATAATATGCATAATATGTACATGAAAAATGATGGCAGAATAAATGCAGTGATATTTACAGCTTGACCTGAGTGACATAATGAAATGAAATCATTAAATTTGATCTGCATTTTGATGCTAATCACTTCTGTCCTAAAAACTGATTACAAAAATAGAATTGCTTTCATTATTTTCCTGAAGTTAAACACATTATAACAAACTAGGTGTACATTAAAAAAAAAATTTATTTTATTTTTCAAAATCAAAGTAATTGTTTTTCAGCAATAAATATCCCATAAATCACAAATTGAAACTTTTAGTATAAAAAGATAGTTCAAATATAAAATCATTTGTCAAAAATTAAACCAATTAGACACAGATACAATCATTGTTTGATATATTTAATTCAAATGTTTATAAATATGGACATGATAAATTGAAATAAATGGCAACTTCAACATGATAGAAACATGGCACTATTTAACTACTTCATAAAAATGTGTTTACTTGATATGACCATGCTTCGAAAATGAAATGGAAGTCTACAGAATCAAGTATTTTTATGTCTAAACCATGTGCATGCAAACTTAAATAAAACAAAAAAATACTTTCTTGAAAAAATATTTTCAAGTAATTGACGTTTTATTATTAAGCTTGTAGCAGGAGAGTGTTTGATTTAGATAGGGTGTCCATAAAATCATTTTCCAATTTTAATTTTGATATGAAGTCTGTTCTCAATATATCTTGACCAGGTTTGTTGTTTTTAAATCAGTAATAGTATTTTTACTTCATTTAGTACATCTGTGAGGGCAAAAGAATATATGGTATCGATAAATTCCCTTTGCAATTTAAAAAAAAGACTTTATGGATACACTATATTATAAGAAGCTGAGGTTACAAAATATTAAATTTTTAATATTTTATATGGCACAGTGTAATAGGATAACACTCAAAGTGAAAAAGGATAAAGAAATGACCTGTTCCCAACACGAACAAATATTATCTTCATTCAAAATAAGAAAGTCATTTTTTTTTGTCAAAAAGAAACCAAATAGACCCCAAAGAAATGGCACTTCCGTATCATGTGAACCAAGATGGCAGACACCGGAATATGGTATGTGTACCATAGGTTAGGGTTCGGCCCTAACTTTATTCCAATTTTCCTCATTCTAGTTCTATTACGAGTTCAGGGACTAGCCAAGTGACCAAATATTTGGACCTGAAATTATGGCCTGACCCTAACCTGGTACATATACTACATTTCGGTGTCTGCCATCTTGGTTCACATATTACAGGAGTACCAAAAAATAGGTTTGATACAAACTGGAAGGTGACAATTTTGTGGTGGTCAGCAAATATAGTTTTGATCACTAGTATACAAGAAAAAGGGTAATTCTTTGTGTTTATTTTGAAGAAATAAAGCTAAATTTCAAGTTTTTAAAACTGCATCAGATTACGAATAGATTCAATTATAAATTTAAAACCTTAATAATACTAATAAAAAAACAAATGTTACTCAAAAAATTGAACTTTTAACAGAAAAGTGTATTCTATAAAAAAAATTTGCATGCATTTATTTTATGTTGAATGATTGACGCACCTGCATTCTCCTCATATCTAGTTATAAAGATAGGATATAACTCATAAATTCAATTTCATTTTATGCTTTTGTCACTTTTTGTTAGAAAATAATGCACTCCAGATACAAAAAAAATATATATAAAATAAAATTTTTTTGCTCAAACACCAAACAATCATACAAGTGTTAATTATCAAAAAGATTAAAAAGCAAAAGGCTTCAATATAAAATAATTTCACTCAACACAACAGCAATATGCCACAATGTGTAATATATAGTATAAACTCCACAAAATTTTTTCTTAGAAATATGATTGAGAAGGCAAATGCAAAAACATGGGTGTGAGAGATGGGTATTTTTGCCAATAATTCAGGAAAAAAACTTGATTTTCTGATGACGCCTCAATTAGGATTCCCAAACGTGTAAGACGAAAAAAGCATTGATCTCAATTACATCAGCATTAAACTGCTACCCAAGCTTGATTGGACGTCCTGCAAATAATGAATCACAGTAAAAAAGCAGACTTTTGGAACGGGTGTTCCATGTAACATTTTGAGAAATGAACAGGGGTATCTGGCATTTCCTTATTAACAAATATCGACCTTGGTGATATGATCATTATTTTTACAAAATTGGTTATTGTGGGCAACAAATATATACCAAACCAACTGAAATAGGAGCACAAAAAGAGACAAGTCACCCCTAATGAAAATCACAGCTCAGAAGACTATTATATTGCAATGCATATCATAACGCTGAGTGAGAAAAAGAGCGCATGTTACATCAATGAAAAAGCATTGTAATTTCGCTGAAGTTTCTATACATGGTGAAGAAGATTCACAGAAGTCATCAGAATAGAGAATAGGATCCTAGTTCAAGCAAAACAGATCAGAGGATAAAGCATAGGTTGCCGAAGGATTATTAGAAAGCCTATCACGACACACATTATGATCATTTCTGTGCACAAAAACAAGCATGTATTGTTGATTTAATATACATACGTTGTATAAATTTTTTCTTGTCGTATTAATGTTAATACGATCTAATTTTTTTCCAACACGTCATTACATGTATTACAGAAAGTTAATGCAGGATGACAGGATGATAAATATTTGAAGGGTTAAAAAAAAATTTTTTTTTTTTTTTAATTTTATGTCATAGGTTCAGCATTATGAGGAAAATTGAGATGCAATTCGTGACGTGTGTCAAATACTGTATTTGATATTTGAGTTTCCCTTTACACTTGAGTGTTTTAAAAATGGGAATGTGCAGTTCTCAATGTATTCTATGTGAAGCAAACATATGTAGATAATGTAGGCCTTTTTTTCATACCAATTTATTTTTTGAATTTTGTGTGGCCCAATTCAATTTTTAAAGGACAGCCAGTTTTGCCAACTCTTGCAATATCCTGTTATATGAATCATAACAGTCAAAACTTCCGATTCCTAATATTCAAAATTGATTCATTTTGTAGCAAAATTATGTTTAACTGCTTCAAAATAAACATCTTTCAGTCTGAACAAGGCTCTATGCAAGCAGCCACTGATATCGAATGATTTATAGGGAGCTACTATCAGGTCCGAATTTTCCTGGTTTGGCATTGCCTACCCATTTTATTACACCCTGGGTGAGGTGGGGGTGATGAAATTTGAACCCCCAAGTTTTCAAAAAGAATCTTGTCTAATCAATTCCAAAAAGAGTGAGATTTGAACATAACATAAAATCGTTAAATAATGCCACAGCCCACAAGTTCTACCCCTACTTTTATACACAACTACAACTATCAAATATCGTCAATTATATCATATAAAACAGCATTTCAAATTTGTTATGATGTTCAACACAAACTTATCTTTCTCACAAAGAATATTCTAATCCAGGGGTGAGCAATTACTTTTCGGAGTGGGCGGGTTACAGATAATAAAATTAGTTACTGGGCCGGAGGCTCAAAACTCAATATGAAAAACTATGAATAAAAACCAGTTAACTATTTACAAGAGCTAGTCCAACAGCTTGGCTAACGTTTATATAATGATAAGCATAATGTAACAATCGGGGTCATTCATTATGACGGTATTTTCATCGATATTTTCAACATAAATTCATATCCATTTAAATTGTAGTCATAAATTTAGCAGACACAAGTGGGCCGGATGAAACACTTCGGAGAGCCGTATTCGGCCCCCAATTGGCCCACCCCTGTTCTAATCTAACAACAATGAACCGGTAATCACTATTTGAAAAGTATGAAGCTACTTGACACAAGCAAGCAAATGATAATGGTTGCATATGTTAATACAAACAATGACAAGCACATACAATAGCATAAGCTACGACTGACGATGACAGACATTCTTACCCACATTCGATCACAAACGTCACAAGAGAACAGAGGTTCTGAAGAAAGGAATATTCAACAAGCTGATATGAAGCACACACAATAAATCAGAAATAGTTTTTTACTTAACGCAGGGGTGTGCAACCTTTAATAATAAAAGAGTGCCCGATACAAATAACTGAGTGAAACCGCGGGCTGCACCTTCATTTAACATAGGCTTTCTCGTAATAGTCTCAGTCTCATACACAAAAATTTTGGTTTTCGATCTCATGACACGCGTTGTTTGCTTTTCACAACTAGGTATAGGTTTGCAACGCAGATGGATTAGAATTTCTCGCATGTATCAGATTAGACTAAATCGAGAACTCGCTTTGCAAGCCACACACCCTTCAAAAATACCACTTTTCCGCAGGCTGCACAGTTTTTTATTGTGGGCCACATTTGGCCCGCACACCTCAGGTTACACACCCCTGACTTAAAGAGCCATGAACAAAATAATTTGAGTTTAGGGAAATACTCCGAGACTCACTTATAACAAATAAATATTTCTGATTCCAAAAAAAAATCGCCAAATTGGCAATGCAGATAACAAAATATACATAGTGTTTATAAAGTCCTGTTACAATTTTTATATTATTATGAAGTCAGTTCTTAATATATCTTAGCCGTGATTTTTTTAATCAGTGTTTATTTAAGTTTTTCACAGCTTCACATGCCCACTATAAGTCGTACGAAGCACATCAAAGTTCTTTTACGAAATTTAATATTTTGACTCTATGAACACCCTGTAGTATATTTGATAATGATTCTGGATTGCACAAAAATAATTTCCACAATTAAATAATGCACTGCTGACAATTCCTTATGCTGAATAGAAAGAACCAAACGTAAACATAAAATTAGAGATTTCTTTTTTTCTGGCATGTAACATTGTTTAGAAAAAATAAAAATTGAACAAAACAAAAACAAAATTTTTTTTAGAAACGTAATGTTTATTAATGATAGGGATAATATTTCTCAATTTTTTTAATAAAAATCAATGTTATTATTTCATTTTTATTGACCATTGGAACATTTCCATTTGCAGTTGTGCCTGTATAATGTTACACCAAACACTTTTATATGACATACTGAGATGGGTAGCTGGACTAGGATCTTTTGGTACATCACACATTTCATTTTGTCTGAATGCTGGAAAAAAAGCAGCTAAAAATCCACAAATTTTTGAGTTTTTTACCTAAAATTGTAAACCATTAAAAATAAATCGATAATATGGCATAACTCTCTTCTATATGCAGGACTGTCATCGATTTAAACCCAAAAATAAGGACACCAGGAAAACATAATATTAAGGAAACAAATAACGAAATGTTATAAACAAAATGTATTCATGCCAGTGCAACCCATGTCTAATCATACTTTGCACTAGAAAGGATTTGCTGCAGGAGTTTTTCATTCTTGGAACTATCTGTTCCATCTCACTTTTGAGTTGTATTTTGATTCGATATACACAAACTGATCTTGGTCGATAGCAATAGGATATTGTTTTGTCATTGTGGCAATTAATTTGCTGTTATTACGTCATGAATGCGCAAAGCAATCAATGAGGTTCTAATATCAATTTTAGCTAATCAAACATTTGAGTTGACTAATCTGTGCACCCGGTATAAAAACCTCGACCCCTAAAATAAGACAAAAATAAGGACACATGTCAAAATAAGGCCAAATCTTAGAAATAAGGTCGTTATGGCAGACCTGCCTATAAGTCTACTTTCCATTGCGAGAGTTGCAATTGATCCTAGTGCTATTTAATATGTAATTAAATGAATATAAATCTTATATCTTTACTAATGAAAGTATTAAAATGATTATTTAATTTTGATTATCAATTTAAAATTTGCTTTGCCGTTAGGCATAAGAAGCCAGTGATTAATAAATTAGGAATAAGTATGGGAAGAAATTATAAATAATTAATATGACAAAATAATCAAGTGAGAATGTGATTCTATTCAACGTGAAATTCTTAGTAAAATTAAACATGATTGGTGCAATTTTACAATTGAGTTAACATAGGACGAGTGTGGATGGAGTGATTATATTTTGCCGATTGGTAAACCACACTTCAACTTGCCTTCATGCTTTTATAAGCGGAGTCATTGGGACACTGAAATTGACCGCAGTATCAGCCGGTTCTACAGGTTTTTCTTTTTTGAAAATTCTGATGAAAATTTAAAATCCCAAATATGTAAGCTATATTTTGACTCCTTTTTCAAAATATCATGGTATAACAACAAAGATAAAAGGATGTTTGTATGGCAACTTAAAAAAAAACGTTAGCTCAAAAGCTAATGAAAAAATCAAGGGTGCACCAGAACCTCGTAGATGCAAGAGATGACTGTACGTACCCCTTCGTAGTTGCTACATCACATATCTATTTCTTAGCTGTATAAATTTGAATCATGGGTACACTATTTTATTTTTTGCAATTCGGATCTCCAGAAAAATTATTTAATTTATAATGAATTCTAGATGTAAATGGAATGGGAAAAGAAAAAATACAATGTTGATATATTTGTAGACTGAAAATTAGCTTTGTACTTCATTGTTATTGATGTTTCCAATACCTAGTGTATATATTGAACAATTTTATTTTGAATACTGTACTTCTAATTTTATCAATTCAATGTACCGGATCCTCCATTAAAACTCAAAAAACAGTTGCCAAACTAAGGAGCCGACTTATACCCGCATAACTCTGATTGCACTAAATATTTGGCTTATATGCGCATAACTCTGATTGCACTTGAACGACATGCTATTTTATAAATCAATATCGTTGATAAATAAAATTTCCAGACATTCCAACCAACAGGAAACAAATGAGAACAATGAAACGCCACACAGACAATAAATATATATGTTTTATTATAACCATTCAAAGTATAGCAAATCATCAACTATAGATACAGTGGTTACAAGGACATTGTATACCAAACTGCAGTTTTTTTTTTCTTGTTTACTCCAGAGACATGATAGTAATTTGAATAAATAGGAATAACGTAATCCATAGCCTAACTTTTTCAGACAAAAACAAGATATATCTTATTGAACAGTGCAGAATGGACAGTTTGTTAAGTTATTAAATATCTTGTTTTGTTTGAAAATATATTTGCTATTGCGTAGAAATAAATTATGTTATTCTTACAAAATATAACTTTTTTATCAATTTTTTCTCAAAAATTTAACGAACCTGTAACGTGCTTGTTCTAAAATATTCATTCTCGGATTGAAATGTTTTCTTTCCAATTCCTGGACTTCTTCAACTATCGTCTTACGCAATGTTCTTCTAAGCCTAAATATTGAAAGAGGCAATTCAATATTAATAAGATAGAAAGGTCTTATTCAGAATATATCATTTATTTGTTTGAATGAAACCTTTCCAAAAATTCCATTGATACCAAAGTTTGTGTATGGAAAACAAATACAAGCAACCTTGGGCGGTGTGGCGCATCGTGCTGAATGCTAGGAATAGGGCTCCCAACCGCACCCCTGATTACCCTGTGTGGGTTCGCAGGTTTAAATCCTATGCGGGGTTAATTATGTGCCAGAGGATCGTTGGACTCATCGTTGCCACTGGATGGTTCATGTAACGACTGGTAGGTGGTGGAGCAAGCCACCATAAAGTCCATGCATCTGGAAACATATAACTAGCTAACTAATCCCATACCCGACATGGACTGGTAACCAGACGAGAGTTCGCTATATGATTGAGTTGTCTTATCGGCTTTCTTCTCCCCCAGGATAAATATTTGTAAATCCTATCTTATTCCCGTGACCATTGTTCACATTATGATCAAGTCATGTAATCAGATTTCCTCACTAGATATAAATATGACAAATCCTATCCTATTATGACAATAAAGACTTGAAGTTGACTTGACAAGTTGAAAGTAATACCAGACTTACACTTTCCAAAGTAAATCTCTCATCAAAACAGTGAGAGGTAGCAGCAGAAGTCCGATCCAGAATAACGGACAACTAAGAACCATGTCTGCTTGTCCGAGCATTTCACTGGCGATCGGAAACACAGGATAGAAATGAGAGTATACACCAAAGAAAACGAACCAAAATAATATGCTTCCCCATATAGCTACATGTGTAAACTGAAAAATAGTTTTATTCAAAATTAAGGACAATACTCATGACAGTACCATATAGAAATTTTACTAGGGACTTAATATGGTGACCTGGTGTTGATAAATTTAGCATGGGTTACCACTTATCATAGAACATTAGATTGGACACTCCAAGCAAGCTGAATAGTATATTAATATATTCAAAATCAATATGAATCATAAAATGTGATAAATGACAAGTATTTCAATATCCAAGAATTGAAAATCTAATAATATTTTGACCAGTTTTGTCCAGGAATATACAAACAAGACTAATACTTACAACAGTCCATGTGTTAGATTCAAGAGCAGCTTTCAGAGACACCGTGATAACAACATACTGAAAAAATCACATTTTATTCATTTGGGCTGGGTTATGTATGAGGTAATGTTCGCGTAGTTAAAAACATGTTGATGTGATAAAATTTATGATACTCAAAAGGAAAACGAAAGCTATTACAGATTACTCATTTTATTAAGATTGTTGGAAGTGATAAATAAAAACAACACTGCAGAGAGAAAAAGGTAACATGCGCACAGATTCCAAATTTTTTTAAACGCTAATTCACTCAAACATGTACACACATTCACAATCCATGTACACTCATTCACTGATAACTATCTATATTCTATATATTTGAATATTTTCACCCGCTGATTTCTAACAATAAGTAAAAGTCCACTATTTTTGGAATAATTTCAATTGTGCCCTTCTGCATTGCCTACTCAATAAGAAAAGCGATGCTCAATTATAAGGACACACAATGTCCCAAACAATGTTTCGTGTACCGCCGTGACAACCCGGAAACAGCAGTCACGCTTTGCGGATCCAAACCCGCATTCCCATGAAAAATAAAAATATACCTAAATTTAGGATGAAATATCAGATCTCATAGCCATAGGATTCATAGAAAATTTACGAATAAATAAAAGTAATGGCCTTCTAGAGGAAAATTCAATCTTTAACCAACGAAAATTTAAAAGCAATTGGTCCATTAGTGAATGAGAAAAGCGATAACAGATCAATTCATCTGTTTCACTTCATGTCCAATTATTGAACACGGGTGTGAGATTCGAGTCTGAGATGGGTAACCTTCGATGTTAACAGAGTTCAGTTTAACACTTTAGCCATTACCGCCCCAAAAATGAACATTTATACTCACAGTATAAACAAAATTTCCTAAAAATAGATAACCTCCTGTCCATCCCTTTATGAAAGCTATATCTGAAAAACAGTGATAAATTGTTAAACAAAACGAACTAAATAACGGTCACAGTCAGTTATGAGGTTCGTAAGAACCTACTCTTGGAATGCAGTGATAATCAGCAAACTATTCTAGTTTTTTGTTTTGTTTTAGGCATTAGACGACCGCAGTAAATTAATAATATGCACTGTAGCGACAATAAGCGATATATTTGGCGCTTGTAAAGTTATGTATAAGATCAGGGATGAGCAACAGAAGGCACGCGGGCCGCAACCCGGCCCATCAAGCCATTCAGTAGGGCCTTTGTCAACACTCCCCATGAAGCATAAAATCTTAATCTGACAGTTCATGTTTGAAAAGGTGCTCACATGGGTAAAAATACATAATGTTTTATTGCTCTCGCTACGTCACCTTTGTAATTGTAATTTTTTAATTCGAATTTTATAATCCATTGTGTACATGAAAAAACTACATTTGTGTGGCCCAGATAAATGTCCGAATGTTGGTTATATGGCCAACCGACAAAAAATGTTGCATACCCCTGTTTCAGATATATGTAAATCGTGTCTCGTTAAAAGTAGCCTACAAATATGATACCCTAGTTGTTCTTTTCTATAATATTGTATTGCTATAGGTCTATAAGTTTGGCAAGGTTTTCTGAATTGAGGGAACCTATTCTTAGTGAGTTTTACACAGAAGAGAACTTGTTCTTACAATTCTGAATCACATCACTGGTTAAGACAACCATGTTAAGAATTATAATCTACAATTGTAGTTCGTTATTCGTGACTAACAACTCAGTTCCTGAAATGAGAGTTCAAATTTTATAACCTTGTATAATTAAAATTCACTAACCTTGAGTTAACATAAGTAAAGGCAGAAAAAATAACAACAAAGAATGAATGACTGAATTAAGGAACATCGTCCAGAACACACGAGCATTGTATTTTACAGCACGTTGTGATATTGAATAAAGTGCTGGATGTTTCATCATGCTGGTACTGCTGCATGTTCTTTCAAACAATCCAAGACTGAACGGTGGCAAGGCAGTGAAAAACTGAAAAATGAAATATATTAAATTCTTATGTCTCGCTAAAAAGAGAAAAATTTTCAGTCTTCAAACTTGGCCGGCCATGAACACTCGAGAAACAGCTATGACTATGAGATAGCAAGTTCGGTACTCCCGTAGTATGTGTACCAGGTTCGGGTTAGGCCATAATTTTATTCCGATTTTTCTTATTTTAGTTCTGTTACAAGTTCGGGGACTGCCTGTATTAGCCAAGTGAATATACTACCCCCTTGCCCATAGGTTTCAGTTTCTTTACACAACTTGATGTAAAGTAACCGAACAAACTTAGTTACCTCAATATTGTTACACATATCGCAAGTTCCACATAACCGAAGTTCGTAGGAAAAAAAACTTCACAAATAATTTTTTTGTCTGAATGTTACACTGACTAAAAGGAAGAGTTCACAACCAAAGGAATTTACTGACTAAAAATTTTGAAAACACTTCAACTGATTCGCTTCACAGCCAAATCAAGGGTAGAACACATAATATAAAGTTGATTATAAAATTAATTACAATTACAAAACTTTAACTCTTTTTTTAGCAAACTTCTTCAAAACCCAAACCTAATTCATAGTTGAAAGGAACAGAAGAATGTTGTTATATTAAAGCAGATACCCATAATTTTATTAGGCATCTGGCATTCCTCAGTCCTATCTCAAAATTTGACATATTTCATTTAATACTTACAACATTGTACAGAGCAATAGTCCATCTTTCAAATAAAATCTGACCAGAAAATCCATTGACAAAAGCAAACCAAAACTGAAAAAGAATATTTTTAGAATTAAACAAAAATAAAATTCTAGTATGGTAGTTCAAAACCCATTTTTTTTCTGAAAAATTTAAAATATTGTAATCTGTGAGAACCGCTAAATCTAAAAATAGTTATCATTTTCCACTCACCTCTATTAAATACAAACAAATATTTTTATAGAATGAAAATAGAATGCATTTCGCAAGTCGATTATAGTTCCAAGCTCCGTGAACAAGCAGCAATCTTTTGAGAAAACGGAACTGAAAATAATGGAATTAACGTAAGATTTGTTCTAGTAGAACAATTTTGATAAAGTGCACTTCAACTTAGTCACAATACAGCAGTGGTCTAAACATGTGGTACGCCAGCAGTTTTGAATTATTGCAACAATTATCTTTTGGGTTGGCTAAAATACGCCGCCAACGTTTTCTCATTATCTTCCATACTGTATGTATTCGCTAAACGACGTTTATAGCGCTACTAGTCCTTTTTTAGAGATAGTCTTCGTCTATTTTGCGTGTTACGTCACAAAGGATGTTGTGCCACATAAAAAACTCCCATAGCGCGTTTCTTATGCCATTTTTCCCCACCCAAAAAAGGGCTTTGTCGGTGGTACGTGACCAGTAAAAGGTTGAGAACCACTGCAATACAGTTATTATCAACTATCCAATTAACATATTTTTTGAAGGACATTTATTTGTGCATTTCACTCCAAAAAAGGCAATGTACAAGCGTCTACTGATATCTAATGATATGTAAGGACCTACTATTTTCAGAAGAGCCGATATCTTTCTAGTTCAACATTGCCTTTCCAATTTATTAAAATCTGGGCAATCTACCTGTGCAATTGAATAATCAGATGAATTAGCAGCTTGTAATCCTTCCTGACCACTGATACCAACACCAACATGAGCAGCTTGAATCATACTGACATCATTAGCTCCATCACCTATAGCTAATGTGATAGCTTCACAGTGCTTTTTCACCTAAAAATTCAATAATGACAGTTGATATTGTCATTTTCAAGTTCTTTTTAGATCCGATAATAATTGCATCGGACACCTTGAAATTCGGGGCATCAATCAATGATGAAGAGAAAGTTTATCTGATGAAAGCTGTCGCTTTTCACATGAAATGATGATGCAGGCAGACCATGTCAACAAGTGGGATACAGTATTAGTTTATGATAATATTTCCATAAAAATTTTTGAGAAAATCTTTCCAGGAGCATAAAATTCTTAGTCACTATGTTGAATTAAGTTAAACAGTTCATAGTTCAATACTACAAGCCAAATTAATACAATATCAATTATTTGATATAGACCCTCAGAATACAAAAATCTCACCAATTCTACAACTTCTGCTTTCTGCATAGGTGACACTCTACAGCAAATAACTGCTTTGCATGAGAGAGCAAGATCTAAAAAGTCACTTTGTGTATCGCAAGCTAACGCATGCTTCAATGTTGACCCGGAGACGACCAGACCAATATTATTTTCTTTGCGAATATTATCTGTACCTATATTTGCAAGTTCGCTTCGGATTGTTTGTCTTGTTGCCTGTGATATGTAAAAATTGAAAGTTAATAGGGCCCTATTCCTGGAGATGAAGCGGATATAAGGATCGTTTTGCTAAATCGTTGTTGTTGTCGGATTGTTGTTGTGAAAAAATCGATATTCTCGGCAACTGATCGACCAATCGATTTCAGATTTTCAGTTCTTGAAAATAGCCACTAAAAAAGCTAACATTCCACTACTTCTACATTTTATGCGGCCCGAAAATTTATGCTTATTGAAAAAATGTCATGACACAAAATTCTATACTTTATTTCTATATTAAATATATATATTCGATATTTGAAGTTCTAGATTTTTAGAATAGCTTTATTTTAGAAATTATCACTTACAGTATGGCTAAAAACGCCATTTATATTTTTGAAAATCATAAAAATAAATTGAGAACATATCACATATTACCCAAAAAATGTTCTAGAATTTATCCGAAACAGCAGATTATTTGATTTTGTCCATTCCTGCTATAAAATAATTCCAAAATAATGATAAGACTTACGTCAAGACCGTTTTTATCCAGTATAACAAGTGACATCGAGTCTGTTAACAAATGACACGAATATCCGATATTTATCGCCGTTTCTTGTTTATCTCCAGTTAAAACCCAAATTTTGATTTCCGCCTTTGACAGTTTTGATATAGTATCTGGAACACCTTCTTGTAATTTATCCTCTATGGCAGAAGCACCGACCAGATGTAATTTTTTTTCAATTAATTCGTAAGCTTCCTCTAACCGTTGTTCTCGGTCATTAATAGCGATGCTAGCTTGATAGCAAGTCTCTTTCCATTCCTAGACGAAGAATACATTTAAATACAAATAAATACAATTAAAAAATATCATAAAGTGACTCCAAGTGTGATATAGTGATTGTACCTAACAACTATGTATGGCATCACAAATTTATATCTCTGGTCCAAATCATGCTCACCATCTCACCCAGGGTATAAATTAGGCAGATGGGAAAAGAAAGGCCAGTAAGAAAATTTTCCCATCTTTCCACAATATGACGATTTAGGCGACTCCGGGTCGTAAATTTGTCACCCAACTGGCAACAAACAGGCGGACAGACCTCGTGCCACTCTGGAAAGCATGGTGTTTCGTTAATCGTTCAATATCGTTAACCGCCGGCCTAATTTTTTAAATGTAAAGTTTACAGCAAACTTTTTAATTTTACCATATGCTTATTTTCTTTGAAACCACCCACCAATCATATCGTCTAATTTCTTGGGTGTTACGGGGCAAAAAAATTTGAGAATCGCTGAGCTAAACAATAAATATTGCAACATACGTAAAGAAGGTTCAATACCTCATATTCTGTTGGATCTAAGTCAGTGTATGCAAAGCACAATGTACGAAGACCTTCACATGCATATTCTTCCAGATGTTTAGTGGTCGAGTCTAAAAATTAGTTCAAAAATGAAAGACACATTTTTTCCATCAATTCATGCATTTGGGAAAACTTGAGAAAATCAGAATTAACAGATAGTTATTTTCAATGATGATTTTATTATTCACTAATTCATTCAATTTATAATTCATTAATTCTAAGACAGCATTCCTACAAAAACTTATGATCCTAAAATGTTGAAACCAGGGATGGCCAATACCGAATAGTTCACTATTTCGAATACATTCGAAATTATTTTTTTCGAATATGAAATTTCGAATACTTCGAAAATAAAATCCACTAATTGAAGCTTACCTAAATGTATGTAGGAATTTCCATACAATAAGCAATGGAATAACTGCTATCTACAAGTTACAACCTAGCTATATTACCAGGCATTTCATATTTGCAGATTATTGCAGTATATATTTTATATACCATGAGTCATGTTAACAGAATTAAATTAATACGACAATAGTGGTATCGATGATGGATTTGAATATTTGGGCAACGCAAAATCACCCTAGTAAAACGCCCATACTTTTAAATACCAACCATTATCCAAATTATTTGTCGAAAAGCGGGATAAAGTATGAGGTATTTTTCCGACTTGTGACGATTTTTTCGTGAGTACAAAAATACTAATCAAAAATTAATTATATTTTGGAACTTTACCACACATTTCAAGTTCGCAGATCGCCGTTGTATGTTTGAGTAATAATACTTTTATTATTTCATAAATATGAAAATAGGAATCAAAAACTATTTATAATCTGGTAGTTTATCACCCATTGTAAGTCCACAGATCGCCGTTGTATTTTGTAAATACGAAAATAGGAATCAAAAATTATTATTATATTATTGCTGTAATATTGTGCCGAATATAATTAGTTTTGATTCTTATTTTCGTACTCACGAAAATTGTCACGAGTCGGAAAAAGACTTTATATTTTATCCCGCTCTTGGGAACTAATTTGGAGAATGGTTGCCATTGGTTTGTATTTAAAAGTATGGACTTTTTACTAGGATGATTTTGTGCTGCACAAAATATTCGAATCCATGACCGATACCACTACTTAAAATGCCTTACCATGTTAATTTAATTCTATTATCATAACTCAAATGTTGGTAAATCGGGCAGTTTACCACACATTTGAAGGCCACAGATCGCCGTTGCATTTTAGAATTATTAGTTTTATTATTTTGTAAACACGAATACGAAATTAATTATAATTGGGCAGTTTACCACGTATTTCATGTCCACAAATACCCGTTGTATTTGGCATTAATTCGCTAATCATTTTATATGTTTAGAACCAGATCATGTTAGTTTGGTAGAATCATACTCACAGAATTAACTATTTTGTGTTTCTCTTTAAAGTAACGATAACCAGCCTGCGATTAAATATCATGATTGGCAGACCCTAAGACCCAAATATAAGGTTACACAAATCATGCTTGAGAAGACTCATGCGAATAATAAGCAGGCCACATAGAAATTAAATAAACATACTTTCTCAATTTTTCGACGTAATGGAAATGAATTCGTAAATTAAAAGCCTCGTACACGAATGTCGGCAATGTCCACCCATGCAAACGTGCAAATGTGTCGCAACACTATGCAACGTACGGTCGCACAGAATATAAACAATCAAAGTGCCGATTCTATTTCATCGTCATTACGTGAGACAGCGTAAAAAGTCGTTTAAATATTCCCGTAAAACGAAACACCACGTTTACAGCGAAAAGTGGCTACTATTCGGAATTATTCGAAAATCAGCCGAAAAGGTATTCGAATACTTTGATATTCGAATACATTCGAAGATTCGATTCGTTTTGGACAACCCTGGTTGAAACATCCAATTACATTCTCGCAGCATCACTGGGGGTCCATTCATTCCCAAGAGGTCGACAACTCTCCGGTAAACTATTACAAGGGTACAAATAGCCCGGAAAAGGTCGAGAACCACTGATATAAGGGTCAACTTGTCTTAGTTAATGAAAATGGAAGAAAATAGAAAGCTACACAAACTAATCTAAAATATCAACATACCTGTGTACTCTGAATCTTTCGCCAGCCTTTCATATATTACATTGTCAGCACCTTTACACATCAGTCGAATTTTTCCATTCGGTGTACGAACAATTACAGACATTCGTTTTCTGGTGCTCGTAAATTCTAATACATTCAATACATCGTATGTTTCTTTGGTGCCAAGCTAAATAGGAATTATTGGTAATTTAATAAAGCGCAAATATTTATATATGCATGTTATAACACAGGGTGATCCAAGGATGCAGGGCCGAGGAAAATTTTATCTTGCTTGAGAGCCGCAGTAGGAGAAAACCCAAGACTGATCAAAACATCGTGAGTTTACTCACCTTAAATATATTTAAGAATGAGAGATTACCGTACTAATCAGTTTTTTAAGGAAGATATATAAAGCCTTTAGTTATTTTAAAAGTACCTCCCGAGAAATATCATGGTATTTCCGGTATCTTTTCCTATGTTTGGTTTTGTTATGTCCAAAAACATATTTCAGGTGTTTAAAATCCATAACATCATAAAATATTCTACTTTTATCAGGTATAATTCTTAGATGAACCGACATAATTTGAAATCAAATCACAAAAGTTTTATTTATACCACATCAACCGTAACAGTCTGTGGTGTTCGCTCCGTGAACTCAAATCCTAATTTTTGAGCGGCTTTTACAAGAGCACTTTCATCCGGTGATGAAGACTGATACCTGCACCAAATACAAAGATGTTATTTAAACTTGTTTACTAAGGGGTAAGTGAACTGTTTGTTCAATAAATAGTCAACAAATAAGTAAGCTTCATTTTGCACATGATGCAATATTTGTGACCTATATAAATCATGACTAAGCAAGTTTGTTTGTCTTTTAGTGAATAACAGTATAGCAGAAGACAAGCAGTTCCTTTTCCATCCAGTTTTAGAATATATCACAAACTATTTTGGTTTTGGATTTCACTGATAATAAATTATCAGTTAACTGATAAATTGAATTTACTGATAAAATTACTTAATTTTATGTTGTAGGATATATGTCAAACTACTTTGTTTCTGTATTTTAATGATAGGAGAATACTATCAGTTATATGCCTATCACTAATTTTCTTTTTTAATTTCTCTATGTTTAGTTAATTCACGCTAAAAAAAAATTTTTTCCTGATTCCTTCCCACGAAAGCTCAGGTATAAAGTGAAACAGAAATTGGATGCTTACTGGACGCCAGAAGGAGTGTTTGGCCTTCTATCTTTTTCCGGAACGACAGTGTGACAAACCGACATTAGTGTGAGGAAGTGTCTGATGGCTGTACCGCTTTGCTATTGTAAAAAAAAAATGAATTACCAGTACTATCAAAGGGTAGTAAAAACATGCATTCCAAATTCCAATATGCAGATATTTGTTTTAAAAACAGTCACAGTCACCAAGCAACTTAATATTTATTGATCTCATTAGGAATACAATCTAATATTGATTTTATAATGAAATGTTAGTTCTTACATGACAATACAAAATTCAGAATTTTTAGTGTCAATATTCAATATAGTATTGTGTAATTTTTCATTCAATTTCTTGAGTTCTTGCTTTAGTAATGCTCCACGTCAGATAAAGTTACTGTCAATACTGCAGTTTTACTGAACAGTGAACACTTCTTTTTATCGATTCGACGCGACCGACTAAACTCATTGAACCCTTTCTAATATGGCAGAGTGATATTCTGAAGTGAGGGCTTGAACCAAAGCACTCAAAAACCACTCAGCAAATGCTTGATTGTCTACACTCTACATGTTTATGAGTAAGCGAAAATTTGTTGGAATATTTGAGTGAAATATGTGGTATTCAAACCTAGCACTAAATAAATTTGAGTTGAATTTGAAAAAAATTTCATACCTTCCCATTATGCAGGTTCTTTAGTAATTCTGGATCATTGAATGCAAATTGACTGTCTTCATTTTCTCTGGGAATAAAAAATAAAATAGTATGAATAGAAGTGTACTATGCACAGAAAACCGTTTAGTATGAAATTTTATACCAAGCTTTTGAAGACAGGAATATTTAAATATGGAATTTTTTGAAAATATTAGAAATGAAGAAACATGACTAAATAAATAAGTTGTAAAATGAAAAAGTCTTTCATATAATATTCAATTCTTTGCAAAATGCTTCAAGAATTTTAACATTTCATTCAAAATCTCCATAATAAATTTATTTATAAAATACTAACAATTATTTACAACTTGAACTAGCAAGAACTGCATATACAAAAATTAAGCATCCCAAATTACTCTTCCAAAAAAATTTAAAACATGCATTTTCACAACAATTAATACTAGAAATAGCATGGTTCTATAGTGCCACACACCAGCACAAAATGAAACTGTGGTCTCCTTAATGTATCGAACATTACGCAATCAATATGACAATGGGTGAGATCTGAAGGCATTATAAAATTGACATCAGATAATAAGAAATTCAAGAAGCCTTCAGAATGATAATGAACAAGCACCGGAGCACACACAAACTAACTACCAGTAAATAAAACTTAAAAAAGATGGCCTCAGTCTGACAATGGTAGCTTGTGTACAATTAATCATATGCAGAATTTTCAGTGGTAAAACACCACATACCGCGGTATGCAAATCATAGATATATTCAATAATTCAAAATAGATAATTGCTTATTTCATAACATTCTAATGAAATATTACACAATATAATTGGAATTCCAGGAGGCAAAACCACATATCAAATCATTATATTTTACATAACAATGGTGCATATGCACACCAGAAAGTACTGTGCTGTGAAACTGCTGACGCTATGTAAATTTTTAAGGCACTTATTGTATTTATTACATACAAATATATTACAAAATATTTACATGAAAATTGACAAATATAATGTTTGATTCACCGAATCATGCATGATGAATGAAAACTAATTAGACTATTTAATTTCTAAGACAAGGAAATTCTAAACAAGGATTATTAAACAAGCTGAGTAAGAATCTTTGTGCTGTACTAATATTATTTACCTTTTCGGTATTATTGTAACATATATTTTTGTACACTTCATAAAGTATTAAATTGTACACGAAAGCCAGACTACGACAGACTAAATGGTCTGATATGACAGAAAATCAAAAACGTCAATTTCTGAAAAATGTGACGTAAGATACTTTGGTTTTACAGTGGCGATATATATATTCATTTACAAACAAATGAGCATGATTGCATCTTAATTACATTTGGGTGGGATGCACTGTAGTTTTACCAGTAATCAACTAAAAATATCCAGAAATTTTATAGTCTTATAAAAACCTCAGCACACAGGACATTTTACTAGTAGGGCTGGGCATGTCGAATACCTGATGATTTCAGAATCTTGTCAAATTTTTTTTTTTTTGAATTGAATCTACAATACAATACCTGGAAGATATTTAACTGTATGTGACTTTTTTATTGTTTTTATTGATTTGTGATGGGTCTTCTAGGAACTTAAATTACCGAAAACATAGAAACCATCGCTCAAGTCAGTTCGCTGTTTTGTAATGTTCAATAAGAAACATGTTTCATAAATAACCCACTTGGAAGAAAAGATACATGTGTCAGAATTACACTGTAAAAATATCGCTTCAACAAAAATATTGAGGAATTCATCTTAACCTTTGACGGACAAAAAAACAACAACGTGGCGCAATTCAAAATTTTCGCTTGAACTGATTTTAGGAATTTTCCTATTAGAATTCAGATATTCGATTCAAAATACCCATCCCCACTTACTAGTGCACAAATATAATGTAAATCAGTTATCGGTAACATTAATTTCACACAATTAATACACAAAATACCTATTCTATGTTATGTTGAATCCAAACATTAACTATGACAAACACACAATTATAAGCAGCATTCTCAATATCCAACTACACACTGATGGCAACTTACTCCTCTCTGGATTCATCCACTATATCATCAGAATAATCCATATCCGATGTTCCTTTATTGTTATCGCTAACCATGGGAAGCGAAGCAATGAAATGAAAATATTTGTTTGGTAATATCTTCACAAGTGATTTTCATAACCAACATTTACTTAAAATGCGTATTGATGAAAGCTAAAATACTTAGAAAATGTATAAAAATCATGTTTCTAACAAAAATTTGCAACGAACCAAAACGTTGATTGAATAGCATCAAGAATAGATTTAAAACAATCGAAACAGATTGTAGAGAATTATCACACCAAATCAGAGTTTCTCAAACTGGGCCTTCAGTATCCATATGGGGCCGTGTGTGGTTCTTCGGGGCTGCGAGCTGAGACCTCTAGAAAGTCATGGAGTAGTTTTTTCGAAGGGCAACAAGCAAAGGCATTCGCTATGTACTACCATTCACAATGACTACATTAATTAGAGTAAATTGACTGTGAATTGTTAAATTTATTCGAGTGTAATACATTTCTATGTTTGATTCCCATTTGTTGGTTTTTTTATTACTAAACATGGTATGAAAATACATTTAAATCAAAAGTAGGTAATTTGTAGTTGTAGATGATAAGGAGGTTGTTTTGAGAGTCATTCGAAAGGGGTCACAGATTACGAAAAGTTTGAGAACCAATGCACTAAAAAAACAGTTCTACAAATTCATATGAACCAAAATAAATGTCATAATCAGGATTTGTAATAATTCCATGACAACTAGTGGCAATACTAAGTCAATTTGAAAATAGGATTTGCTTTTGGATGAAGAAATCAAGTGCTGATATTTCAATCGAAGTATTTTATAATAAAGAACTTAGGTTACAGAAGGCTATGATTAGACCATACAGCAAAATTTCGGATGTAAATACACACCAAAAGTGAAAAAAATATTTCAATTCCATTTACTTTACAAATTTGAACAAAATATCTTCCTTACCCATATTTGACACCAGCGACAGTACATTTCCTAAACAGCATTACATTTCTTGTTAAAGTTCCTGTCTTATCAGAAAATATATATTTGATTTGCCCGAGTTCCTCATTGAGATTGGATGTTCGAGCCATAGCTGGAGTATTCGACTCTGGATCATACATCTCAATGTCCTAAGGAAAGAATAAAGATAACATACTTGGCAAGGCAGAAAATATTAGCAAATATAGGAAAGGCGTTTTTCCCAGCATTCACTGTGTCGGAGGTTATTTTCAAACTGGGCTCTCGTCTCCCTTGGGGGACACAGAGGGGTGCTCTGGTGGCCACAAACAAATGACTACTTTATTTAGTCGACCTGTAACTTGTTTAATTCTTCTACTGTAATGCATTTTTTCACTTTCGTCTGTTGGCTTTCTATTATTAATGAGGAGAGTCTTCTTTTATTGAATATTAACAGGAGGCCATGGAGTGTCGATGTTGAGAGTCTTTGGAAAATGTCATAGTTCATGAAAGTATAGAAGATATTTAAAGTTTAAACTAATCCCAATATTCAAATTAATCACAGGAAACGAAAAATTTTCATCCAAAAGATAGTAAATACACTTACAGAGTTGATAAATATTGCTTGTATAAACTTCACCACTTCAAGAGTAACTAACAATGATATTGGAACGAGATTGTTGTACAGAATAATAAAAGTAAGTAATTCCATAAAGAAATGACGAGCCCCATGTGCTGAAAAAGAATGGATACTACTGAAAAGGTGAAATTTACTCTTGCAGTATTGAAATTAAAAAATAAATGTTCCGATCAGATGGAACTTCACAGAAATACAATTATATGAGTGTGCAGGAAGAATCCTGAATTGATGTACATGACATTGACAACATTTTCACAAAATTAAGAAAGTTTTTTTTTTCAAATTGATAAAAGTATAACAATGTCCAAGTATTTCTATTCAATATAAAGTGAAAATATTACCAAAATTTGGTTACATCATGAGCATAACAGGGTATTGATTCAAAAATAAAGTGCCCCAGGGCAGATATTTTAAACAATTTCCTCATTGAGGGACCAATTTCAATGTTTATTGAAAGGAAATGCTTATTATGACATAACAACTGACACAATTCTTTTGATCACCTGCATGCTGCAAGCAATCTTCAAATGAGAATAAAACATATTTATTTGGAGAGCCTCTAATATTTTATATTTAAATATCTGAATTTCGTTAGATAAAATTGATAAAATACAATTATGAAAAATATTTACCGTCGTCTGGGAGGTACCAGCTCTCAATTTTACTGGTTTTCTTCCATATCTCACTTCCTATAGCAGACGTCAATGAAATGACAATAAGTATAATCATCAAAAACCAAATCTATAAAATAGAATAGAAAATTAGATAAGATAATATAAAACTATGATGAATGATAAAAAATAATTAGAATTTTTTTTTATCTAATTGGCAATTTGTATTAATTTTTGAAAAGTATATTATATTGAGAATATGTGTTGTGATATAAAAATGCGAGCATTAATTTGAATTCAATCACATATCCTTCATATTTAGAACCCAGTACCAAAAAAGCTAGCCCCTCACACAAACTCTAAAATTCAAGTATTATTTCCGTATTTTTTCGTTCATGTTTTACTTGGCAAATTAATCATGAGTGGCATTGATTTTTTTATTTACCCTATTTTGAAAATTATATATCCGCAAAATTACGAGCCACTTGCCGAGCATCTAACATTAATTATATTTTATTTCCAATTTTTTGGGGTGCTGCTTTCCCAGTCGGAAAACCTGTTAATTTTTTTTTATTTTGCCGCCCATATAGTTTCCAATACATGTTCAATTCATTTCTTTTTTCGGTTTAAAATCTTATTTGTATTTATTCTCATAAATAGTATACCATAATTGACCCCTGTACAAGGAAAGCAATTGATCAATTTTTTCAAAATTAAAGACAAAAAAAATTACTTTGCAAGTTTGCATACTGTACTGTGATTTAGTAAAATCTGCTTTAAGCTAATTTATTGATGATTATTACATTACCTGCATATTAGTTGTTTTGTCCACGTTGGACATTTTCAAAGGAGCTCGATTTGCATTCATCATTAGTTTTGTGTCGTGACCTGTATACACGACAATACCAAATACCCATTGCGTGTTCCTCAACATTGCACCTCTAAGAAGAATTTGGTCTCCACCAATTGCAATAGGTCTGAAGAAAAAGTGAATTGATTACATTCTAACAAGACGAAAATGGTTGTTCTGATTGAAAATTCATAACAAAATAGAGGGTGTAACTATAAGGTGATCCAAACAAACATAACCCAGGTCATTTGGAACAAATTCTAAAGAGATCTAACATAAGTAACTTTTGCGCAAAGGGTTCTTAGAATACCGATACTTTTGGGTTCAATCAAAAATTATGGGTTCGTTTTTTGAGTCACCCTATAAGTATAACGACGCATGAAATCCAAATTGGGCCATTAAGTCCATTTTTCTAGTTTTGTGAAAAACGCAAAAAACGTTTTTTTTTGTTTCTTTTTTTTATTTCTCTTATACCTTACATCGAGGATGTCTAGTTTTTATGGTCCACCAAAGTTACAATGAAGGCCATATTAAGATGGTATAAAAAAATTTGTGCTCCGCCCCAATTTTTTTTGGGGTTTTTTTTTTTGGACTTAACCCTTTTTGGCTCTCAATTTTCTGGACCAGAAACAATTTTATTGGACTTAGGGCCCCTTTATTATGTTATTATAGAGGCTGGTATGGACTTAGCGCTTTGTATTATATTTTTTGAGAGGAGCTATGTCCAAAAAACGGACTTAGCCCCAACTTACAATGCAGTTATCCAGAGCTAAGTCCACTATAGTAGACACAGCTCTGTTTAGTTCTCAAATGCCCTAAAAAAAGCAGGGTTATGTCCATAGCTGTCTTGAGATCTAGATCACCCAGAGATAAGGCAAATAGACCAAAATGTAGAGCTAAGTCCAGGAAAATCAGCAATTGAAAATTGTCATTTTTTGAAAAAGTGGACTTAGCACTGTTTGGTTTTTAGGTGTCGATAAGCTCACAATCTACAAATACACAAAAGATTCAAAAAAAATTCTTTACCGTTCATTCTCAATTTGTAGATTGCCATTGAATTCATATAAATGTCTGTTGGGAGCTTCACATTCCACTTTCCCATTAAAATTGTTAAGTTCTTCACTAGTTGTTATATTTCCAGTTTGTTGAACTCCCTTCAATCATAAACAAAGATAAAAATTTCTAATTTTACACATTGAACATTGAAAAGGTAAAGAAAGCGAAGATTAATATTACATTAGTGAACCAGTTGGCATGGCAAAGAGCCAGAATCAAAGTAATTCAATTCTAATCAACGACATTCTGAAGATAGCAAATAATCAATAAGTTCAGTGATAAAAAGATTAATTATGCGGTATGTTATTTAAAAGGGCTAATGGGCTCATAACTTTCACCAGGAAGACCTGGGATAATTCTCAAGAACTATCGCCATTTCTACCACCTATTCGCAATGGCGTCAAATATACGATGCAGAATTATTAATAAAATAATGGAACATCTTATCATGCAATAAAGTTTATTTCATTTCATAACCATAAATCTTGCTTCTGACGAAGAGTTAAATGAGGAAGTAATGGGCAATGGCCTGATATCTGCATGAGCAGCATGATGCCTTGTAAAATAAGGCATTCAACAACCAAATAGATTTATATCACTTCAATAAAACTGTTTATCTTGTAGGCCAATATCAACTTAAATTATACAGATTGATAATAAACGCCGGTTACAATTTCAATTTTATTATGAAGTCAAAACTCAATATATCTCAACCAGATTTATTTTATTTTAATCAGTGTTTATTTTATTTTCTACTTCATTTAGCCTGTACGGAGCAACAAAATGGTATCTATAAATTCCCATTGGAAGGTAAAAAAAAATATGAGACTTTATGAACAACCCTGTGGGATGCTCATAAACTCTGAAGATGCTCAAATACTCATATCATTTTATGTTCAGAACCATTCATAGAAATCCTGAACTTAACAATTGAACCCAACCTGTCTAATTTTCAAGTTAGTTTCTCCATCTAAGTTAGCTGTTTCAATATAACACATAGCTTGAGGTTCGCTTGATGACATCAATATGAGATCAGCAGGAAAAAATTGACCGTTGATTACTTTAACAACATCACCAACAACAACCTAAAAAACGAAACAAGTTGGTAAAACGATGGTTCCATCCTACCTTGAGATCAGTGTACCTTTCCACGAACTTGAAGTTGGAGACCAGGTAAACATAAGTTATAGTTATGGTATATTCTCACATATAAATCAACCCCCTAAAAACGCCCCCAAAATGGTGCGATCAGAGTTATGCCAGTATAAGCTGACCCCTTAGTTTGGCAACTTTTTCTTTTTTGAGTTATATGCAAGGTATATCTGCATGAAGATCAATTTTGAAAGTCCACAAACATAAAAAAGATTCTGGGTCATTTAAAGTTTCATCAGAGATTGATTGGAACTTATGACTGTTACCAAATTGACAAATTTTAACACAAAAAAATCATATGATCATAAAATCAAGAATATCAAATATAACCACTTTTAAAAATATTCAAATTGTTTTTGGCATTCACATTTCTGTCAGAACCAAATATCAAACAATAAGAGTTTATACAAAAATATGATTAAAAGCATAGGATAACAAAGGATGAATATCATATTTATTTATGAATATCATCATCACCAGAGAAGGAATGCCAATAAGACAGGCAGACAGCCTAATCATATTATGGCGAACCATGACCTCCTGTTCGGTTACCAGTCTATGTCGGGTATGAAATTGTTAACTGAGCAACGGTTATGTGAATCACGCTACAACAGCAATGAGGTTTCTAGCAATCCTCTCGCATATAAGTAAAGAGGAATCTGTGAACTCGTGCAGGTAATTAGAGGTGTGATAGCGATTCACAAGGGGAATATATTAAGCTTAGCACGATGTGCCACCACCAAGAGTGTGAAACTGAAATATGATTTTTGATATTAAGTATGTTCAATAAATTTTAGTTAATTGGGAATTCACTATTATTAGAATGTATGAAATACCTATTTCAAAGTAATTCGTTAATCAAAAGAACTGTTTGTATTTTATTAAAAATAAAATTGAATATATATAAAACTGTATTTACAGTTATGTTAAACAAAAGGTATAAGGCAAACTCAAATTTTTTCTCTGTATATCACTAACCTTTGTCCATTTCATGGCCCTCCATTCACCATCTCGAAATATTAGAATTTTCCTGTTATTTACATTGTCATCAGCTCGATGCCTTTTCTAAAATGAAGAATTTAAGAATATCAGGAACAAGCTCAATGAAGTGGCCTAGTGGTTAAAGCAGGGGTAGGCAAGGTTTTTGGATCAGGGCCCAAAAATTTTGCCCTCCTGGACTGACGGGCCAATGATATAAATGTGATGTAAAAAGGACATTTTATGAACAATATTTACAGTGGTAAAAAAGCAAAAGTGGAAAACAATGAAATTTAATCGCAATCTCAACAAATTCTTTGGGCTATTTTGGCTAAAACATCATGGGGGCAGCATCATTGATATTGAATTACCCAACTGGTCGGATTTGGCCCACAGGCCGTAGTTCCCCCCAATCAGGGTAAAGTGTATAGAAAAAAATATGCAATGTAAGAAAAGAGCGTTAAATAAATCTCACTGAATTTTCTTATGATAACAAAATAGGTGATAATGATGAAACAGCTTTTAATAATAATGGCTTCCACCACCGCTCGCAGATTCTGTGTGAGTTACCGGTAACTGATTTATGAAGCTGATGACTTTATAATTATTATGTTCGATCACGTCATAGCGGTATAATATTTCCTCTTCAAATTCATTTTTATCTTATTTCAGGAAATTGCTGTCACACCTCTGTCTTGTCACATCCTGAGGTAGAGCCCATATGCCAAGAGGGTATTGTTATTTGCAATATATATTATAGCAATCAAATAACAAAGAGATCAATAAAGATATCACAATAGATCAGTAGGACTATTAAAGCATTATACCATGCAAAAGCAATATCAGGAAAATACAGAGAAAATTTTGAATACAAAATCGTTAGTATGAATCAATAGGCTATGTTACAATAGATTCTATTATCTTCACAAATACCACATTAGAGATGTGGAAAACATATGGGAATAATGGATAGATAATAATGGATTCTTGCAAATAATCTCCTATTCATAATCATTATAGAAGAATATTTTCAAATATTGAATTTGAAATATATTATTAATAAGAGGTTATGTTATGTTACGCAAAAATCCCACAAAAATACACATAATAATTTTTTAGATGAGAAAATTGGCCCAAAGCGAGGTCACGTACACTCACTCAGAAATAAAAGAGATTGATATCTGAGTGAAAATACCACTAAAAAGCCGAGAGCCACTGAGACTATAACAAATTATAGCGTGAAACTGTGCGTTGGACTTGATGCATTAAATATTTTATTCCCAACAAATATATACTTACATAATCTTCAACAATTTCTTTGATAGCAGCAACAAGTAAAATAAATGTGAGAGGAACGATTGTGGTGAATCGTCCTGTAGGTGAAACATCGGGAATTTGCTGTAAAAGATTAATTAGGTTCAAATAGGTCCAATCTCTAAAGCCTGAAATTTGAAATTGATTTCAATCAATCACTATAAGAAGTGTTTTCAACTGGCATAGTATGCTATTAAAAATAATCAATCAGTTCATATTCTTTGACTCGAAGAAATCACGAATCTGTATTTACATTGCCATTGTGGGCATTGCAAACTAGTGATTAATATCGTAACTGGTAATAGTTAAAAAATGCAAAACAAGTTAAATGACAATTGTCAACCATAGAAAAGGTTGAATGATAGTATGCCAAGAGTGAGAATACTTTAATGATCCTTTAAATGAGTTTCAACACTACTGGCCGCCTGCTCTTCTATAAAAATCTAGTTTAGCTTTATATACATTTCCATCTGTTATTTTATGCGCTACATTTAATGATGAAAATAGCTGAATGAATGAAAAAAATAGATAAATCGCAGTCAAAGGATTAAGCAAATCATAGTCAATTTACTTTAAATGAACTCAGTCATTGGAAATGGTACTTGATGAGGTTTATTGCATGTGGCGACCACTCACCAGAGGATCGCTTTGTAGTGCCCAAACTGAGCTGAGGGCCCAGTTTTTAAAACGACAGTCTATGAACACTTAACTATATGTCGGAATGAGTTTTTCCAAATGGCTTTTTCAGAAAGTATTAAAATATTTTTCATTTTTTCCAATCAGAAATCATTACTTGCATCTAGTTATACTAAAATAAATTCCATTCCATAAGTTATTGCATAATTTACCTGTAGAATAACGATAATCAAGAAAAAAATATTTGCAGCTCTCCTAAATTGTTCAAATAAGAAACGTGGTAGAAAAGTCAAAAAATTGTATTTTCCAGTACTGAAAAAATAAAGAAAAAGATATGAATATAAGCAATATATTGGTACTAAGTTTAGTATAATATAAAAATAGTTGTATGAATAGAAAACTTCTTTCCTTACACATGGATTAGATATATGAACAAAAACCATTTCGCAAAAATTGATATGTTAATGTTGGATTTATAGAACTTTTTTGTGTATCACTGCTCTAATTTATTTATGATTAATTTAATTAACATTAATTTAATAAAACAAAAATGAAAAAATAATTATATTTTACGTTATTACATTATCACTAAAATTAGATAGCTATGATAATAATATTTAACCTGATTTTATTGCCACAAAACTTTTTCTCTTGAAAATCACTTCTCACATATAAAACTCTTCTTTCTGCCATGTGGCTTGAATCAGTAGAAGAGTCTTCCGCCTCACCATAACCTAAAAAACAAAATCGATTGACAATTTTTACATTTCGCAGTAATACGAAACTAAAAAATAATGACTCATATCTTCATAATATACAAAATCTTGTAAGATGGCAAATTAGTACTCCCGTAGTATGTGTACCAGGTTAGGGTTAGGCCATAATTTTATTCCGATTTTCCTTATTTTGGTTCTATTGCGACGAGCTCGGGGACTTTGTGTTAGCCAAGTGAATATACCCCCTGCCCATATAGGCTTCCGTCCATTTACGCAACTTGATGTGAAGTAGGCGAACAAAATTAGTTACCTCCATACACATACTTCCGGAGCGCCGGAAATTAAATCAAACATAGAATGTGTTTTTTATGGTTATGGTTAATTTAAACTAAGCTATGGTTAATTTAAAATTGACTTTTTTTTAAATTAGGCTCCCATACTTTCAAAGCCAAATTCAGTTATTCTATACTGGACTTGGAAATGTAATTTTGCTAATGCATTGACAGCTTCTAAATTAGACCTGAATCAATCAACTTTTTATTGAGAATCTAATGGGATTTGTCCTGTGGTCAATTATCATTTTTTTTGTGAAATCCCATGGGATAATAGTGAAGAATGACATGACAGGAATTCAGATTTAGGCTAAGCATTAGAATGAGAGTATCGTTAGGAATAAACTACTTTAGAATACACATTTGAAAATAAAATTATGTTAATTATGGTAATTAAAATATTTTAGGTACCCTAAGTACTATTAATACGAAAACATCGCAAATAATTTTGAATATACTGAACAAAAACGCATAGAATTTTTTGGACAATCATAAAATGCTTTCTTTCATTCTCTCTAGTGCAGTTTTTTTGCTTATAGAACAAAACGTTTAATATTCTCTTAAACAAGCATGAAGAGAGTCGGCCATGTCTAGAATGTTCAGGTATTTTTTTTGAACCTCATTGTCTGTTGAATGCATATTAACCATATATAGCCTAGTATATCAATGGATAGGATATCTTACATTGTACAATAGTACTGTTTTTTTTTCACAATATTACTTTTATTAGCTCTATAAATGATTTTGCGTTCGAGAATAACAATAGCTGTAACCTTAACCTCTAGTCTCACACCATTATAGAATTTGACTTTATTAGCCAATTTGGAATTCTTTATCCTGTTATATTCAGGACGTCTGTATTTAAACTAGTACAACTTTGAAGAATACAATAGAACAATACAAAATACTTGCCATCTTTTGCATTCATATCCTCCATTCTGAAACTAGTTCCGCTCAAAACAGAGGAAGCATTCTTATCCTTCCCCATATTGATCTTACAGAACCTGACTGTTTGTTGACGCTTTTATCTTATCATACATATCCCACAATATAACAATTCCTGCTGAACATATATATATATATACATAATGAAAAACACAACTGTCAAACTGCTTTGTAAAACGACTGGAGATAAATTAGGACCTGATCCCCCTAACACTAGCAGCTCGCGATGAATAATTTAATAATCTCTCTAAGCACACACACTACAGTAATCGATTACAGAGAAATCATTCTAAATAAGAAATCAATTTTAAATGATTTCACAGTTATATCCATAAAAAAGATTGTACTACTGAACTCTACCAACAAATCAACTTAGACAAACTTACTTCAAACAATCTTCTTTATATATAACCTTCAGGCATTATGTGGTTTGTGGACGGTTATGGCGATATAACGAGATAGTAAATAATATTTCAATACTAAAATGCCTACCTTGCTAAATCTAAAATCCTGTTTGTGTGTGCTATAACAGTACTCACAGTCAAAAACATCAACACTAAGCAATATCTCCCTAATCAACTTGTCTAAATAATATGCTAACATGTCTTAGAGAAAAAGGTTAATGTAAACAAACAAGCTAGTACTAACAGCTTTCAAAATGTAGTTGTGGGCGAGTCTTAGCAAAAACTTAGTTTAAGAAGCGAAACACCCTACTATGAAAGAGAAATGCATTTGATATTATAAAAAAAATTAAAAAATAGTTTTATTAGTACAATTTATACTTGTAGAAATATATACCTAATTATTTCATTTGGCAAAATCTAACTTTTTAATAAAATTTTGAGGAAAAATGAAACTGGAATTTTGTTAGTAGGTATCCTTAACTTACAGAAAACCAAGATGTTAAATGTTTTATTTATTTTACAAAAGTTTAATTTGCTATTTTGCTTTATAGAATATCAGTAATATTATTAATTAAAATATATTCCGGTAGGTAAAAATGCCAAGGTATAATATTTTTTCCTTCTGTAAATTGGATTATTTTTTTCCGAGGAATCCAATGTTGACGTTTTAAATTGCGCTCCCTTTTTAAGCTCATTGCGCAGTTGATTTGAGGCGATATGGAAGCCCAGACTGTCTCGTAAAAGAGGGGATTGCACTCACTGTTATAATTCATGTCTGTTAATAAAGTGGGGGCTATTCTGAGATTCGGAGAACTGTGTTGTACTGTAGCCTATTGTAGAACTTTTTACAATATCACAATAAAACTCCTATTGAATGCAAAACTTTAATATGAAAAATCATGAATTTGAATACAGGTAGTATTTTGATACAACCATATAAGATATCAATCTGAATTGCCTAATATCTGTTCCACAAGGAGGTAAAAATGCAAGTCAAAAGAAAAATTGATATTACGGGTATTGAAAATAGTTCGACCGTCAATACAGATATATTTAGAATCGATTGTACAGAAATTCCGATTGACAGTGTAAAACACTAAACCAGTGTTTCTCAAGTAAGTAGACCTAAGGATCATAAAATAGGCCTAGAATTTTTATTGAGCAGGAGGTCCCGAGAAAATATATGACAATCTAATAATAGACACAAGGATAAGTTTTGTTATTAACACTTTTACTGTATTGTTTATAATATTGAAAACAATTTTATAACACTCAAAATTTTTATTAAAGGTTTGGTGGCCTAAGATTCCCTTTGGCGCTGCAAATGGGCTACATAAGAATAAAGTTCAAGAACCACATCACTAAACGAACTAAGCAACTGCGTTTACATGTTCAAAAAGCACTTTGAGTACTGATACAAAAACAATCTCACCTGTAAGTCTATTCCAAGTTTTTCGAATAAAATTCATCATGTAGCGTTAAATCCATAAGAAAATAAGCTCGTGTAATATTGTATAGCATGGGTCCAGATGACAACGTATAGCTCTAAACCACACTGTCAGAATCAATACAGAATTGTCATGTATTCTAATTCACAATGGAATTAGTATGCCATGAAACATTCAAAATATCAATAATTCATAAATACTGTAACATCACAGAAAGGCAAATAAAAATGTATTTTTATTATAGGCTAGGCCTATAGAATAACACAGTTAGAGGCATGAAATCAGTGGTAACTCATATCTATCTATACTGGACTCACTAGGTTGTACAAAAATAAGTGCAGCGCGACGTAACAGAATCAACACTCTTTGTTTTGCATGAGATTATTATGACCAAACATATAATAAATTCTCAATTTCGACAAGATACAGAGATAGTATCACAAATCTATCGACCAGATGTTAACCTTTTTTCTCAATGTTGGACATTTTTATCAAGCCTTACATAATGAAAAAAGACTTTCTATGATAAAATCCTCTAAACCAGATCACGCCATCTACAATTACCACTTCTGCTCTTGGAGATAAAGGTCATATTGAATTATTTATCAGCCAATTGTGACACCAATTGCATTCAAAAGCCAATGGGTGAGACAACGACATAATAACAAAACATTCATTGGATTAAAACAGGATGTACTATGTACTAGCCAAACAGTTATTCATTTCAGATCTGTACATGCATGGACTTGATAGCATAAGAAGTCATAATAAATGAGTGGACAGAGCATGTAAACCACTACCACAAACAGTTCAGCAATCCTCTTGCACATAAATCCTAAAACGTCACTGTTGCATTCCTCAGAGAAAAATAATCCGATGTACAGAAAAATAACTATAACGAAGCATTCGAGAATTTTCAATCAAACACAATTAGTTAAAACAATTTGGATCACCTTACAACAGATATACGTTGCGATTGATTTATCTTATCATCGTAAAAATCATTGGACAATCTTACATATTTGCTGTTGCGTCAAGCGTCCTCGTTGTAAGACAAACAGAACTGCAGAAAGGTCTCAAAATTACTACAACAGTAAAAGACTTGCTGATACGGGTACTACGGCTGTGTGGGAAGAGTGCTTGTATACTGCTATAAAAGCATTTTTATGCAGAAGTAGTTCACTCAGTCACTCCCTCCTCTCTAAACAAGACCCAATACAAGCATCCACTGATATGATATATGTAAGACCTACTAGTATTAGGAAAAACGTTATAGGCTAATTGATATCTTCTAATGCTGTAATGTCAGAATGTTTCCTTGGAACAAGAGAACTGTGCCATAATGCTGTAATGCAAGTGATATGACACATTATGCCTGACCAAACTTGTAATGTTAAACGCCAAACATACAGACATATGAAATTTCTGGTGCAAATTCTGAGCAACTGAACAAAAAAAGACAAGAACAAGAAAACATACCTGTACGGTACCGGTACGGTATCATACGCCATACGGTACGGTAGGCTACTACTGTACTACTTCACGGATGCATAGACTCGCAGTTTCCAGGTATCCTGTGTCTAAATTATTGGTGACTAGCTGTATCCTATTGCAGTACCGGTTATTGTGCGAGGTCGTGAGTCGGCCACGGTACGGTACCGGTACGTACGGTAGTCCATCAACTCTCTAACATCAAAAACAGATAAACTACCAGTACGGTACCGTAATTGGTATTGTATTATCTTTTCTAGACCTCATCGAGATTACGTGGTTGGCAATGTGATTAAAACGCCTTGTCGGCTTTCCTCTTCCCCGTCATAAATAATAAATTCCTATCCCTCCCCAGGCCTGCCAGGCCCAATAAGCCTAACTTATGCTTTGGCGCTGCTTGTCACCGACGAGCACCTCTGTGAAGCTAGCAGCAAAACACGAAAATGTGACTGACAGAATCGCAGAAAATACCCACGCGTAAAAATAGATGTTCCCAATGATTTTTAAAAGAAAGTGTATATTTTGATTAGTTTCACAATAGCAATTAAAGTAAAACAATCATTAATTACACTCCTCGTATTGTTAATATATAGTAAACAAGCTAAAGCGACTGCTACAGTGCACAAAATGTTTTTATAATTATTTGATAGATGTTTAAAAATGACTGAATTTTCGTCGTGTAACATGGTCGTTTCATGAAAACCTCCAATGAAGGCAGCATTGCAACACCATTGGTGAAAAGTAGAAACTTCAAAGATTCGATTTCAATATGTCAGAACAGTCTCAGTACGTTTTGACTTGACCATATATAATACTAAACATAGCGTATATTGTTCAATTTTTAAAACAATGTATATACAACAAATTTGAAACTGATTTTGTATTTCAACTAAATTTACTGGCTAGTTCACCAAAGAAGATATTTTTCTCTTTGTCACACAACAATAATGCACTTCATTAAACTTAGAATAAGTTGAGGAAAGTCTGAAATACCGAAAAAAAAATTACGCCCTCTTGTGGATTCTTTGATAAATTTCACAAAATTATCGTTTTTAAAAGGGCGATTTCTCAAAAACCGCCAATAAAGGCATCACTACCACACATTCGAAGAAAAGCAGATACCCTATAAATTCGATTTTAATATGTCAGAACAGTAGCAGCACGTTTTAACTGGGCAATACATGATACCAAACATAGCATATAATTTTCAATTTTATAACTATGTAGATGTAACATATTTAAAAACGGTTTGGTATTTCAACTAAATTTAATGGATAATTCATCAATACTTTTCTTCTCTTGGCCATATATCACAACTGTACGTTCATAAACCTGGAATAAGTGGCAAATCTAAAATAACAATAATTGATTTACGCCCTCTTGTGGATTTTTTTCGGAATTTCAAAAAATATCGTTTTTGAAGGGCGATTACTCAAAAACCGCCAATAAAGGCAGCACTTACGACACATTCGGAGAAAAGCAGATACCTTATAGATTTTGATTTCATTATGTCAGAACAGTAGCAGCATGTTTTGACTTGGCCATATATAATACCAAACATAGCGTGTATTCAAAAGGTTATAAACAATGCAGACGTAACCTATTCAAAAAACGTTTGGTATTTCAACTAAATTTACTAGATAAATTTATCAAACATCTTCTTTTTTTGGACATACATATATTACTGTACGTTCATTAAAACTTGGAATAAGTTGCGGAAAGTATAAAATACCAAAAAGCATTTACGTCCTCTTTGTGGATTTTTTTCAAAATTTCAAAAAATTATCGTAAATTGAAATAGCGATTTCTCGGAAACCGCCAATAAAGGCAGCACTACGACACATTTGAGAGAAGGCAGATACCTTATAGATTCGATTTTAATAAGTCAGAACAGTAGCAGCACGTTTTGAGTTGGCCATATATAATACCAAACATAGCGTATAATTTTTAATTTATCAACCATTGTATATGTAACATATTTAAAACGGTTAGGTATTTCAACTTAATTTACTGGATAATTCAATCAAACACTTTTCTCTCTTGGTCATACATCAAAACTGTATGTTCATTGGAACTTGGAATTATTGTGCAAATCCTAAAAATGCCAAAAAATGATTGACGCCCTCTTGTGGATTATTTTTCGGAATTTCGAAAAATTATCGTTTTTGAAAAGGCGATTTCTCCAAAAACCGCCAATAAAGGCATCACTACGACACATTCGGAGTAAAGCAGATACCTTATAGATTTGATTTCATTATGTCAGAACTAGTAGCAGCACGTTTTGACTTGGCCATATATAATACCAAACATAGCGTATAATTTTCAATTTTATCAAATGTAGATGTAACATATTTAAAAACGTTAGGTATTTCAACTTAATTTACTGGATAATTCATCAAACACTTTTCTCTCTTGGTCATACATCAAAACTGTATGTTCATTAAACTTGGAATAAGACGGCAAATCCTAAAATAAAAAATGATTTGACGCCCTCTTGTGGATTTTTCGAATTTAAAAAAATATCGTTTTTGAAAGGGCGATTTCTCAAAAACCGCCAATAAAGGCAACACTACGACACATTCGGAGTAAAGCAGATACCTTATAGATTGATTTCATTATGTCAGAACAGTAGCAGCACGTTTTGACTTGGCCATATATAATACCAAACATAGCGTGTATTCAAACTTTTATAAACAATGCAGACGTAACATATTTAAAAACGGTTTGGTATTTCAAATAAATTTCCTAGATAATTTATCAAACATCTTTTCTCTTGGACATACATATATACTATACGTTCATTAAACTTGGAATAAGTTGCGGAAAGTATAAAATACCAAAAAGCATTTTACGTCTCTTGTGGATTTTTTTCAAAATTTCAAAAAATTATCGTAATTGAAATAGCGATTTCTCGGAAACCGCCAATAAAGGCAGCACTACGACACATTTGGGAGAAGCAGATACCTTATAGATTCGATTTTAATAAGTCAGAACAGTAGCAGCACGTTTTGAGTTGGCCATATATAATACCAAACATAGCGTATAATTTTTAATTTTATCAACATGTATATGTAACATATTTAAAAACGGTTAGGTATTTCAACTTAATTTACTGGATAATTCATCAAACACTTTTCTCTCTTGGTCATACATCAAAACTGTATGTTCATTAAACTTGGAATTATTGTGCAAATCCCAAAATGCCAAAAAATGATTTGACGCCCTCTTGTGGATTATTTTCGGAATTTCGAAAATTTATCGTTTTTGAAAAGGCGATTTCTCAAAAACCGCCAATAAAGGCATCACTACGACACATTCGGAGTAAAGCAGATACCTTATAGATTTGATTTCATTATGTCAGAACAGTAGCAGCACGTTTTGACTTGGTCATATATAATACCAAACATAGCGTGTATTAAACTTTTATAAACAATGCAGACGTAACATATTTAAAAACGGTTTGATATTTCAATAAATTTCTAGATAATTTATAAACATCTTTTTCTCTTGGACATACATATATATTACGTTCATTAAACTTGGAATAAGTTACGGAAAGTATAAAATACCAAAAAGCATTTTACGTCCTCTTGTGGATTATTTTCAAAATTTCAAAAAATTATCGTTTTTGAAAAGGCGATTTTCAAAAACCGCCAATAAAGGCATCACTACGACACATTCGGAGTAAAGCAGATACCTTATAGATTTGATTTCATTATGTCAGAACAGTAGCAGCACGTTTTGACTTGGTCATATATAATACCAAACATAGCGTGTATTTAAACTTTTATAAACAATGCAGACGTAACATATTTAAAAACGGTTTGATATTTCAACTAAATTTTCATAATTTATCAAACATCTTTTTCTCTTGGACATACATATATACTATTCGTTCATAAACTTGGAATAAGTTACGGAAAGTATAAAATACCAAAAAGCATTTTACGTCCTCTTGTGGATTATTTTCAAAATTTCAAAAAATTATCGTTTTTGAAAAGGCGATTTCTCAAAAACCGCCAATAAAGGCATCACTACGACACATTCGGAGTAAAGCAGATACCTTATAGATTTGATTTCATTATGTCAGAACAGTAGCAGCACGTTTTGACTTGGTCATATATAATACCAAACATAGCGTGTATTTAAACTTTTATGCAGACGTAACATATTTAAAAACGGTTTGATATTTCAACTAAATTTTCTAGATAATTTATCAAACATCTTTTTCTCTTGGACATATATATACTATTCGTTCATTAAACTTGGAAAAAGGTTGCGGAAAGTATAAAATACCAAAAAGCATTTTACGTCCTCTTGTGGATTACTTTCAAAATTCCAAAAAATTATGGTAATTGAAATGGCGATTTCTCGAAAACCGCCAATAAAGGCAGCACTACGACACATTCGGAGTAAAGCAGATACCTAATAGATTTGATTTTATTATGTCAGAACAGTAGCAGCACGTTTTGACTCGGCCATATATAATACCAAACATAGCGTGTATTCAAACTTTTATAAACAATGCAGTCGAAATAT